TAATGAAATAGTAACCTCGCCCACGCTCTCGGTTTACGCTGGCGGGGTACAAGTGAGGGATGATAGGTGACGATAAAAACAGATCAGTTAGCCTACTGTAACAAAATCCATTAGAACTAATCACAATGGTTTCCAGGGGGAACCGCGTGGAGGTCGACCTAATAGGATGTATTACTAGCAATGGGTCAGTTATATCCCATTACTAATAATCCATTCCCCACCCCCAAACCAATTATTATTATTTAGAAACTAAACCAATTTAATAATTTTTTTATGAGACCAATCTGTAAGTATTTCCTTTGAGACAAAAAAAGAATTTTTCAAATCGATTTGTAACTGATAAAGTTATCAGGTAACAATAAAAAAAAAAAAATACAGCCGAATTGAGAGCCTCCTTATTTTTAAAGTAAGTTGAAAATCATAAAAACTTGTAAAAAATATAAGTACAAATAAATGGTTTGCAGGTCTTTCTGTTTTCAAATGTCGTTTACATTATAAAACAGAAAGTCCCACAAACCGCCACAAACCCCAATAAACTACTACAGTGATAATAATAATATACATAAAGAAGCATTTGCCTAACATTTTTAAAAGTCACAAAACATTTTTTTTTAGAAAATACATTACTATTGTGAATATTTGCTGTCCTTCAAAGTAAATAGAGGTACCGTTTGCACTTTTTTCAATTTGTTTCGTTGTTATTGTCATTAAAAGTTAACTTAAAAAAGTTCTAGTCTTTGCAAAGCAAAAAATACGATTTGTGCAAATGGCATTTTTTAACGGGGATGAATAGTCCCCGTTATTTTGTAAACTAACCATAAAATCCGAAGGGCTTTTGTTTCGAGTCGGCAACCTTTTTGTAGCTTGTTATACTTGAAAAGTTATTCATTATTCTCTACATAAAATAATATTCGTCAAAATTGCACAACCACTAAGTTGAATAATAAAGTCAGTTAGAGAATCATAAATATAATTAGCAACATATTTTACGGGATATTTCACTCTTTAACTGGCAATGCATAATGGCTAAAAGATTGGATAGAGAGAGAGATTTTGTTGGATTTACCAAGGCTGTGCATCTATGATAAGTTGATACAGATATAAGAGAGGACATTGACCCTACGCAAAATTCGCTGCATTGGGCTAGGTGCAGTTCATGCGCGTATGTAGCGGCGTCAACACGGAAGCGACGAGACAGGGAGCGAACTATACGCCAGCACCCGGCCAGAGCAGGAAAAAGGCATGAATGAGTATTGAAGCCTACCCCAAGAAGGGGGAAATCGAGTTTGCACTGCGGGTACCAACACTTACAGATATAGACAGGCCCAGTGCTTTACACTAAATGGGATCAATAGTGCCTATTTCGCCAAAAAAAAATACGACATGTCCCTATACATAATGTGGAAAAATCTCACATAATGATAATTCTTATTTTTGTTATTTTGTGACATTTTTTCCAATTTTATTATCTATAATGAAATATAAAATTCACTGTTTAAAAAATAATCAAACATAAAACACAAACGACCATGCACTACATAAAACAAATAAACAGCGACATGGAAGTAAACTCAAATGGTTACAAAAAAATATCTAATTCGGTTCAACGTGGCGATAAAATAACGAAGATATCGTATAATATATATTTTCGTACCAAAAATGCAGAAGAATTTATCAGTTTAATCTTTTTTTGTACTTTATAAATTTTATAATATTATTATTAAATCGTACCTATCTATTTAAGTTTACTCCAGAAAAATATAAACAAGTAAACGTCTCCATTTTACATCACATCGTCATTAAAATGAAACAATTAACTACCAATTCGAATATTTACATTTTATTTTTATAATTTAGACTGATTTATGCCTATAATATATGCAATAAAGAATACTATGTTGAGAAACTTAACTCCATATCGTCTAAAGAAAATTCGTAAGGATGTCAACGACCCTGTGCCTAATACTAGTACAGTAAACGCATTTCGCGCTGACACGAACGCGTGCGGGAGTGCGGCAAGCGATTTATTCGCGCGACGAGCGGCAGCACGAGCGAGACGCCGAGCGAGCGCCGCCGGGTGGCGGGGGCTAGCGCAGTGGAACGAGGCACTCACGGTCGTTCACCCCGGAAGATTCAGTGTTTTGATACCGCTCAAGCCTCCGACGCTGGAAAACTGCATTTTCTTTGATGCGCTTCACTTTTCACGCTCTAATTGACTGACAATTGGATAATTTCATTTTTCAAATACGCTTAATTTTCATATGAACCTATACGTTATTATAAAGAAATAAAAAGTGTTTGAATGTACCACTATTAGTATAAGTCGAGAGTTTCCAAATCGATATACACATGAAAGGAAACGAGTTATAAAAGCACATGAAGATGCATGTTACAATAGAGACTTGGTAATACCAATCTTTATCTCACTCTCACAAGAAACTAGGCATAAAGATAAACAAATACAGTAATAATTATGTTGTTTGTACTTAGTGTACGTACAAATATGTACCTTTCTATATATATATATATATATATATATATATATATATCTTTACAGCCCAAAAACAAAAGACGCTGCAATCAAGTCAAAACAACAAACAACTTTTAAATTTAAAACAGTAATATAATAATTTTAAACAAAAATATAAAAAAAATACACAAATTCATACATATATCAATTCTACCAAAAAATCTAATAAACTATGAACTACAAACAGTGCGTTACAAATGACTAATACAGATAGCTCGAAATCATAACCAATTTACTCGAACAAAAAAGGTTGAAACTAAAAATAGAACTTCTGCTACATATACCTAATTCCATTCCCGAAATCAATGAAAGCTATATAACAAATGTTTATGCTATAGTGAAACACGGGCAGACGTTAGGGCAGGTCACAGACGTAGACGTAGGGCACGCACACCCTGGTGGTCGTAGGGCAGGCATGCTTAGTATGCTCACCCTAACCTGATAAACAACCAGAATGAAGAATAGTGACCCTTTTTAATCGTGAATAATAAACAATTTAATTGACCAATCTTTCTTAAGCGTATTTTTTTTTATAGAATATTAATTGGAATATGATGTTTAATAATAATATTGTTATGTATATATTATTAATCCTACTTCTTATGAAATCTATATCATTATAAATATTTGTATAAGCGTTTAAATGTTTTTTTATACAATCTCTCTTAAACAGCATAATATATTTTAATAGAGTTCTTATAAAGTACAAATATATGATAGATAGAGACTTATTGTCTTTATGTAATTGACAAACCCTTTATATATATTGACATAGTTGTTAAAAAAGCTATCTATTTAATCCTCGAAAGTACGTAAACATAAAAAAATAAATACTGTTTTAAGTAACTTTGAAAAAGTGGAGGTATTCCTAAATTGATTTATTTAGTTTTATCCTTCGATTATATAGATAAAGTGTCTCCATATAAATTCTTCAAGAAAAGCGGGTCAACTTTTTCATAGAATTTTGCGTGATAAATAGTTATGAATAATTTCTTTATTTCTATACTTATTTTGTCTTATAATTTCTGTTTTACTTATTAAATAATACGTCAAACTAGATTAAGTGCGTAAGTATTATAGAACACTAATAAAAAACGAGTTAGCTAATTTGACAAATAGCTGACAAAAAGTTGACCCGGTTTTTGAAACTCGATACTCTATCTATATGACCTAAGTGTTTCTTATTTTAAAAACACATACCTACAGGTATCAATGATTTTCAACTAAATCTTTAATGACAGTAAACGTCGACAACAAATCCATTGATCAACGTGACGGCGATAATATATAATATATTCAACAGTTAATTTTAAGTGGAATGCAAAATTTCCTTATATTCTTATACCCTCATATTATGAACTAGAACATAATAATGTTCTATTGTCAATATATCAATATTAAATACTGAAAAATCATATAAATACTTGTATATTCAAGTACGAGTAGATTAAAAAACAACAGGCAGCAAGAGTGCCGACTCAGAACCACTGCTAGCTATTTTATTCGCAGTCCAAGCAGTTTGCAGCTGTTAACAGATTACAGGCTGTAAATAGTGAAATCAATATTGGATAATGGTAGGTGGCAGGGTGCGGCCGTCGGAAGAGAGTGGGTGCATCGCCCGTACCATTGCATCAAGTAACTCTAGAAATTGCATATCGTCGTCTCGATACCAAAAACGCCCGTCGCGCATTTGTGGGGCGAAAAGGGTTAAAACAAGAATGAACGATAGTGGTTGATGTCGACTAATATTAGTAGGGGTGCATGCAGGCTGTGTCGTCGACCCGCGAGAGTGAAAGCGTGTTCCGGGGAGGCGCGCAGGCGACCGCCGCCGCCCGCCCTAGCATGGCTTTCGCTGCCGTTCTCACGCCACTCGCGCGTTGTTTTCAACTTGTTTTAATTATCGCTTTTATGACGCGTAAGTAATGTGGATCGACATTGCATATACGGATTTCAAATGAACTGACTTTAGAGACAGACATAGTTTCGATATAATATTTGTTGTATAACAAATAATTAAAATAAAGTATAAGCGTGTTTTGATATTATCAACTATTCATTCATATATTTGCGTGCATATATTAATATTAATTTTGATATATTTTCTTGAAATTTATAAAGATCAGTTTGAAAAGTCCTATTTCCCGCGGCTATGATGATCGTCAATAACGTGCGAGCGCGGATCGGGAGCACGGTCAGAGCGCACGCCGCGCTCGTTCGCCACACTACGGAAGTAATGAACTTGAATGCAGCCCGTGGCCGCACTGCACTGCGCCATCCCGCTCTACTCTAATAGAATAGAGCTAGGCGTGAACGTGACATACTCACTGCATTTGCTGTCAAATTCGTCCGCATTCTCCGTCACAGGTCGCTTTCGTCGCCTATGCGTTTATCGGAACGAGACGCGAATATATGTGTCGATTGCATTCTAGGCGTCGTAAAAGTGCATCTAGGTCGGTGGGCATAGCGGCGCGGCGTAGGGTTAGTGCGACGCGCTCCGTGGCTAGACGTGGGGCAGGTCGGCAGCACGCTCGCGGCGCGGCGGCCTCCGCGTTGCATAATGCACATCGTACTCGGCCGGCGAGTACGGCGAGGATTCCCTAGTGCACGGCCCGCGCCAGCTCGCTGACTGTAGCTGCTAGCTCTATCGCCCGTGCTGCACGTGCAAATCGGCCGTGGTGCCGACATGAGAGCGGCTCGTCGGCTACGGCCTCTCGTTCCACTGCTGGCGCTCCGTATACTCCTCGAGTACCTCAAGTCGCTTGACGTCGCTCTTCCATCGTAAACAACTGGAATACTTTCAACTACACGACACATACCAAAGACGATATACTCATTATTAAATTAAGCTTAATGAACAAACTACCCACAATGATAGAAGAATGACATGAACAATGAATATTCGTTGTAAGTATATACTGAATTATTTTCCGATAAATCTTGTCCGCTACCTCGATTATAATTTATAAGAGTCCTTCTATAAACCACAATCAATATAGTGAATCCTTGCTTAGGCTTAACTTGTTAAAAATATGATTAAAAACATGTATTTATTTAAAAAGTAAATAAACTATGAAAGCAGAGCTGAAAAATAATAATTTGTACCATTTAATTTGTTACTCCCAAACAATTACACATACAAATATTTTAAATTATAATACAATTTAGTATAAACCTAGATATATAATTGATACATAATATTTATTTATGCTTTAAAATATATAATACCATAATACTTATCTTCTTTAATAATATTTATTTAAAAAACAGACATTTAAAGGGATGTTGATGTAATTAATATTTTCAAAATAAGTTCCGTATACACAGTAATGTGTCTTTAATTAGCAAATATCCAGATAACGAGATCTGTTTGTAATGAAATCGTATATCTATTATAATTATTATTAGACGTCAAGGTTTTCTCGTCGTATTTGAGCATGCGTTATAATTTTATATGCACTAATATATACTTCCGTGATATCTACCTGCTAATACCATATTTAATTTACACGACAGATTTTGATACTCGACCTTGTAATTCTTGGCTCACAAAACTATATTATTTAGTATTTATAATTTAATACATACCGGAAATTGTATGTACGCCATAGGTAACTATGGCGTGGCATAAATAGTTATAGTTTTTGTTAGACAAAATTAGTTACTGTGTTATTAATTATTACTACAACACAGCATTTCAAATTATTAATAGACAATTGTGAATTGCTTTAGATACAAAGATTGATTATCATTTTTTTTAATACAAAACAAATGTTCTTCAATCATGAACTTCAATCTTAATTAAATAAGCGTAAAGAGTCAAGATAGACTCTTTTTATTTTCTTAACATTAAAGCTATGTTAATGTTTTTGTAATAATCATAAAGGAAAAAACAAAAATGTTAATAATACAAATACATAATATTGATAAGAACATATTAATAATATATATTAAAACATGCGATATATGCTCAAAAATCACTTAAAGATTTGTATAAATGTATGCCCAAATAAAAATTCCCCCATCCTCCTCTATTTTCGAAAAATAATGCTTTGATTAATGCACCATGGTAAAACGAAATACAAGTACCAAGTTGGTGTACAATACAAAAGTTATTGTCTTACCATTCTATTATTTTTGTTTGATATTTGCTAAATATTGAAGTCTTATTTTTTACAGTACAATATGAAACATGTAATGTCATGACAGTTTCATTTGAGCTACTTACAATCATCATAAATATAAAAAAGCTATTGTGTTTTAAATGAAGTAGTGTTGTTAAGAAAAAACCTTACTTAATATGGCGACATTGACCTACCTATTAAATAATTAAAATATAATGACATCTATTTTATTATCATAAAATTTTTCCTTTACTTTTGTTTTTAAATATTTACCTACATTTGTAAAATTAATTTAATAATAAATAAATTAACAGTATTTGGTTGCACTTTAGCTTACGTAGATGTGACGTTTGCTTGTGTTATTGATCTAAAAATATCTGGTAGGGATCTCAACTTCTTGGAGTATGTTAGTGTATTGTGTATTATCATATATTATTCCTAAATATATTAAAATACATATAATAGAATAGAATGAAATAAAGAACACACTCATAAAATCAATAAAAATCATCTTTTATTGATTATATGGGAATTTTCGCTATACTTCAACCTCATGACCAAAGTAAAGTTAACGAGACTGTAGTTGAATTTTCTTATTTATTTATTTATTCATAGGAAAACCAGGGCTACACTAGAGCAAAAAGATACAGTTTAGGATTACAAATATTGTAAGATACCTATTTGTGTTATTATCACTTCAGCACGTGTAATTGTAGGAACAGTACATTTCGCCTTTCCAATGTAAAAATTAAAACACAAATTGCTAAGGTCCTGCATAATCGTATGAATTATGAAACAGAATAAATGAATCATAATTTTTTCTCGTGGAATAATCAAACCTAAATCCATTTTCTAATATTATAATCTAATCGTAGTATTATACATAATATTCATTAATATATCAATAAGTTATACATAGCATAAATAATTCATTATGTTAAAAAAAAACAGTAGGTCTATCAAAATTAATGTCAATTACATAAAGAATATTCTTACTTTCATAGGGCGTTATGACTAATAGCATCTAAAATGTATCGCTATACAATGTAGTATGTAAGAAAACGTCAGTAGCGAGCGTGTGTTTACGCAACAGGGCAAGTTCAAGCGCAAACGCCAAGGTTGCTTCCTGATGCGCGCGCGCTCCGATGCAATACGCTGCCATCTAATATAATGCCGTGCAACGTTTCATTATAATTAAATGCTACTATAATTAGGCGCATTTAATTAATTTTCAAGTTTTAGAAATTTTAACATTTTTATTTTATAATTTTTGTTCAATCGTATGCAATATCATGTATGGTGGAACTAAAGGAAGAACGTTCTTATAGAATAGAACAAAAACGTTCTACTTCCTTTTGAAAACTAATTCCTAATGTCTTTGCCAATTCTGAACTGATTGTAAAGAATCCTTTTTTAATCTAATGCTGTTGTTTTTTCTCTTACTAATTTTGACAAGATTGATATTACTTTTATGTGGAATAATATTTATTATTGTTGTATATGCTTTATATAGTGAGGTGGTCGTCAATAAACGATATATTAAAACAAAAAAAGCAAAATTTATTAAGCGCTACTATAGCCGATATTGAATTACGTATACCATTGATACAGTTCTCTTCTGCGTCGAATATTTAATAAATTAATCTGAGCAACCACAGAAATTTCTTAGGATTTTTAGGCGTTATCGCGCAAATATTAAAAATGCCTATGATGTTAACTGTTTTTCGTATCAGTCATATACTACCTGTGGTCACTCATTGTGCCTTTTTGTCCCGTTAGGTTATTTGCGCTCATTTAAAACTCACTAAATGGCATGTAATACATTTCAACTTTCCAATGTCGATATTGTAATACTATAGAGCGAGTATCGCGTGTATCGAGTGACATTGCGCGGACGCATTGCACAACAGTCACGGTCACGTGTGGCCGCCCCTCGCCTTTCCCCCGCGTCGCAATTGTAAACATGCCCTTATGTAATTTACTTTATCTAAGGGTGTGTTCACACGTATTTATCACAATCGTTACACTGCAGCAACACAGTTCACCATTTCTGCGTCGGTCTATTTCCATGTTGGTTCTATATTAATTTTGATAGTATTTTTTACACAAAGTATTCAGTGCCACCAATCTCACCCCACACTTTAGTCTTTGTGTACTCCTGAAGACTATTGTGCTATATTTTTTTATATTAGAAATAGATCTTTCTTTTAATTGAGACGGATAAAGTGCATATACTAACAGTAATACAAATATTATAAAAAAAACTCTACCACTAGTGAATTAGACAGTTATAGCTGATTAAATCGCGATTCTACTACAGTTTAATAAGACGTGTGGAAAGAATTTAGTACCTTACTATTGAATCATAATAGGGACTATTATAAATAGAATAATTATGTCTCTATATTGTTATTCACTATCTAAAAGAAAATATTAAAGTCGTAAATTGAAATTATTTCAAGTAAGGCAAGCAGATAAGGAACGTATTCTTCTATAAGTACTAATATAATAATACTTAATTGAAATTAATTAAGATAAACTATACGATTGAAAAAAATAAAAACAAAAAAAAACTATATCTATATAAATGTAAACAAATTGTTAAATGTTCCACATTCTATTAATTTAACAATCAGTAACCATGATGTATAATAGTAATTAGTTAATGTAATGTATTTTAAAATAATATGTTATTTCTAATTGATTTGATTCCAAAAACAAATCGAAATACTTTTATACATACCTAATTATTTTAATTTAAAAATACTTATTAAATAAATAAATTTATTGTAAAATAGTAAAATAATTTATTGAAACTTTCTTAATTAAAATATTTTTTTCATTATTTGCCTATAGTGATAATATTAAATACACCACTTGTAAATATTAATTAGGAGAGAGCACCTCCACTAGTAGGTATAGTGCAAGTACGAATAAAATTCGAAATAAAAAATTGTACAAAAATGCCTCATTACTGCATATACATGGTACCGCATGCGTACGGTAATAGTTGATAGTAATATCTTTTTTTATTAAATAACTGTTAGTACATAACTATCCATATAATACTAAAAAGAAGTAAATATGATTAGAAATGCAGCGTATTATGTTTATATTGAAACAGGCGGACTGCGTGCGCAGCGCTTGCGCAAGTATTTGAATGTCAAATAATCCCGGTTTGGAAAACAAATTTTTCATTCCCATCTAGCAGAGTCGTCGGCCGCGACTGCGTGGCTTCCGCAATTATGCAATAAAATTTTAAACATGAGCATTGCCTCATATACCAAAACATCATTCCACCGAAGAATCTTTCTCAAACAAACATTGAAACATTAATAGGAATAAATGGAAAGGAACATTTTTTTTTATAAATAATAGTTTTATGAAGAATTTACAAAATAAAAATATTATTAATTAAGGTACATAATTTAATTTTTTGCCATATGATCCCGGCATAAAATTTGGCCACCCCTTCCCTTCCCGTGGTTGTTGTAAGAGGTCGCTAAAGGAATTTAATTGTCGAGGGATGGGCAGCAGCGTCCTTCTTTAAACACCACCAAAGCTTAACTGCTGTTACCAACCCTCTTGCCAAGTGTAGCAACAACTGGCAAAACTCCCCAATAGGGAGAGGCCTATGTTTAGCAGTGGACAGTAAATATGGTATGGTATAATTTGATTACATATACCAGGAAATGCTTTCAATAATTTAAAAATATTAATTTTTTTATAAAATATCGACAACACATATTAAAGTATTACCTAGCTACTATGTGATGTACTCTGGTGTTCCGTGTTCCAGGTATAAGTTGCCAAATTGGCAAATACTCAATACTTCGTCAACAGCAAAAAGAGCATCAATGTTTAATTTGCTTATTTACGTTTATAAGTGTAGGTTTGCTACTCATCGAATAAACATTTCCCTTTTTTATTTTAATATCAAATGTAATATACAACAATAATACACACCTAGATGCTTCTCGCTTAAAAATATTTCCAATTATATTTAAATATGTCGCTAATGTAATGGCAAGCCGAATAGAATATATTTTGGAAAATTTTCTATCTTTTCATAAAAGGTCTTTAAAATGACAAAATCCCCAAATCTCGGTATATTTTTAGATTTTAAAAATGAATTAATATGTACTACATTAACGTTATTTTTGTTACAGGTACAAAATCATTCAACCTATGAAACAGATGTACTTTTTCTTCTGAAAGTTTAACCAATACTTCAAAATGAGATTGGTAAGTATTTTACTTTATGCCTACTTATCTATTAGAACTATAAGACGTACTTCCCTATTTCGTGTTCCACTCTTGTGCTTTTTAGGAATCTGGCAGAAATCAATCCCGTCCTTTATACTTTAATATTTAAAGACATTTTTAGTCTTCAGAAAATATAAATAGGTAAAAGGGGAAGTGTCGGTGCGCAGTGGAAAGTGCGCACTCATCACAAAACTGGGTCAGTAGTAGCACCGCCCCTTTTATTGAACGCCACTTTTCGCCGTCTACATAACCAAAATAAACTCTTTTGGGGAGAACTTAGAATTCTATACTAATTGACAATAAGTGTGCATATATAGCACAAAAAGAGAATCTACATGATCATTTTCCTTGCAATTTTTTAAACAAAAGATTTCAAATAGTAGCAAAATAAGAAATGAATTTATTTAGCCCTTAAAATGCAATTAAAAAATAATATTTTAAGAAAATATATTTTTTAATTATAGCAAATCGTTATAATTATTTTATATTCTTAATATCAATAAATATAATCATGTCAAATTTTATTTTAATTAATTTTATATCGCCAACAGTCGAACGAGGAGGTACCAACAACAACAGTAGTAGGCCGCACTAATAGCCCTAGCGGTACGGGCGCCGTAAGCACCGTGCCTAGTGCAGGCGCATATGATGTGACTCGTATGCGAGAAGAGGAGTTCGAAAGGCTCACGGTGTACATAGTGCCAGATGTCCCATGCGAAAGAGGGACTCCCAACAGAGCAGAAAGAACACTCCCGCGCAGCCTGACTCTCAGACCATCTGCTGTACTATCCACACCCAATACTCCGGTTTGTAGCACTTCTTAAAATCTTACATCAAACAACGTAATACAAATATGCTATTTATACAAACTATTATTATTAACTATTATTTAGACAAACTTTATACAAAAGTCGATTGCTTGGGTACCTTTGCCTCATTCGTGTTTCTACCGTGAAGCAGTTGTGTTTGCATGGCTGTGTTTCAGTTTGAAGGGTGAGATATGGTGTGAATTTACAGGATACAGAGGAATAACAACTGAGTCCTCAGGAATGGCAACGCATGGAGGTATCATGGGTGAAACGGTGTGCTCTGTTATGTCCATAGTACTGCTCATGTCTATAGACAACGATTGCAAATTTCCGTCAGGTGGACCGTCAGCTTGATTGCCATTCTAAGTTGTATAAAAATAAATAAAAAAATTAATTAAACTAAATATACTAAACAAAAAGAAGTGAAACAAAAATATTTTAGGTAACCACTTGCTATCAGGAAGCCGTATGCCTATTTGCCACTTTAATAATATTAAAAAACAATAGTCTACACTCCTTTTCTGTATAATTCCTATAGGAATCATTATAATAAAATAATACGAGTAAAAAAAAAGATGTTAAAATATATTAAAACCTTGTTCAATTTTAGACGGAAGGTGTTTGGAGCATTGGAGTCATTCCGCGCGGTACCCGTTTTGGGCCCTTTGAAGGCTCAAGGACGCCTAATAAACCCAATGATAAAGTGTCTTGGAGATATTACTGGAGGGTAAGTTTGAAATCTCTTTTATAAAACCATGTCCTAATATTTTTGTAAATATAAGTGAAACAACTTTGCACTTTGCTTTATAATTATTGTAAATCAGTAAAGCAATAACAGAGAAATACATTTTTTTTTGCAATACTTTAAGTCTGCTTTCTTTGCGCTTGGGTAGAGGCTTTTAAATACTACCAACAAATCCAACATATACCTCCTGTAAATAAATAAATCATCAGATATATTTTATTGTATTAACATACAATAAGCATTTTAAGCTTAAGCACTTCTCTTTTCTCACTAACATATTCTTCTCTATTTTGGGCCAGGTGCAGGAAAATGTCAGACACCATACTTACGGAAATATAAAGGTGAGATTAGGCATTCATTTCTTTTTATTAAGGTGATGGTTCTATAAGTAAAATATAAAAAAAATGCTTGTCTAGAATTTTAAATAATTAGAAAGTCAATTGTATCAATATATGGTAGATATATTTACTACTATATATTGATAAAATTAACTGCATTATATGTATTATAACACACATAATATATATTTATAGGAAATATTATGTGTTAATTAAATGTACAATTGAAAATCTTAAACAGTCGGATCAGGATTACTATAAGTTCTTTCTATAAAGTACAATCTCTCTAAAATTAAATAACATGACTTAATAGCGGTCTTAGAATTAATCAAATAACGTTATCTGCCGTGTATGTAATACACGCTAACATTGACATTGCATTCGTCCTTGACTCTAGCGCTGAAGCACTCGCCTATCAGTTGCATGCGCACTGTAAATATCCTGCACGTGCCACGTGCTCAGTTTTCCGTTATATATACATATTACAACAATCCTACTTTTAACACAATAATAATTACAAAAATATGTAATTTCCAATCATTCTTGTCATTTGTTACGTTTATAATGAAAATCTCTCTAGGTACAGAGATAAACATATTGCTCTCTATTAATTAAGTTCCTTGTTACGTTTTCGCTAGTAGGCACTTTTTACATTGATATAGGTCTATGTGTATGGATTGTACACTTAAATATTAGTTATGAGTTTTCTTATAACAAGGCATTGTAACATATGAACGATATTATTAGATCGGCATTTCTAGTTCTAGATCTTTCTGGGTATATTAATTTGTTAACTCCCTGAACAAATCACATAATTCATTAGTGAATTTGTTAATACTAAAATTCATATTGTGTAAGTTGGCTTTAATAGATTATGCTAATCACATACGACTTTCATATATTTCGTCCTTTTTACAAGCCATTATGTTAACAAAAATGTAAACAATCTTAAGGGGAAGAACGTTAAGCATAATCTCTTTAGCATCTAATTATGAAATCAATTTATATACTATAAATGTGATAAATTAAAGCATGCGCAACATGTAAATTAATTATATAGAGATGTTTACCAAATTTATGAAAATTTATTATTATACTACTAAAATACCCGAATGCTTAGGAAATTATTTCACTATCTATTCACGTACCACATAGCATTATTTGCCGTGTGATCCCGGCATACAATAGGCCACCACTTCCTTTCATATAGATATCGTAAGAGGTGACTAACTAAGGAAATTTAACGGTCGAAGGATGAGCAGCAGCGCCCCTTTTAAAACATTAGGTACTAAAGTCTAACTGCGGTTACCAACTCGCTTGGCAAGCGTAACAATTACTAATATATACTCCTAATAAGGAGAGACCAATGTTCAGCAGTGGACAATTAAAAGCTGATAAGACGATGGTGATAACATTATTGAAATATAAAAATTTGTACGAAATCTAAAGTTAAAACTAAAAAGTACTAAACATATCTTATACATGTACACGATTAAGTATCAATATATTTTATCTATTTGATTACAGATATTTAAAGATAGCGACTACTATTACCTGGATGGATCCGACACAAGCATCGCGAATTGGATGCGCTACGTTGCGTCCGCCTACTCGTTATCCGTGATGAATCTGGTTGCCTGCCAGCACCAGGAACATATTTACTTTTACACAATCAGGTAACACTTAGCACAATTTAATCACCGTCACTTTTAATTAATATATATAACAATCACATTTTATTTAATATTGTTTATATTTATTCCAGGGATATTATGCCTAATGAGGAGCTAATGGTCTGGTACTGCAAAGACTTTGCAACGAGGCTGGGGTATGATATAGATCCTGAGCGCGCTACATATTCGATATGTAAGTGTATAATTTTTATCCTAACTTAGAGAACTGGTTTCTATTGCTTTTAATGTTTTGATACTAATTATGATTATTGTATTACAGGTAAAGAAGAAACTATAAAGAAAGCATATGGCTTACCACCAGCACCAGTGCATCCTGAAATTGCATTTAACCATATGAAATACGTTCTAGGATTAACAAATGCCAAGGAACTTCTAGAAGCTGAGATTCCAAGTCGTCGAAGGAAACGCGAATTGAATGAGAATCCACCTTTGGTACAACGAGAAGATTCAAGAAATAAAAATGATAGACTAATAGTTAATAAAAATGATGTACCTCCAAATATAATTCACAATAAAACTGAAAATCTTGTCATAAGTGAACAAACACCACTATCGCCTATTGGTTTAATGCAACCACCATCGCCAGTTAAAATTCAACATAGAGATCAAACATTAATTCTACATCAACAGAAAGAAAGCACATCCCATGTAATAATACATCAGTTAGAAAATCCAAGGGTTCATGGTAATAGATCACCAGTACAAAATCAACATGTTAGAGATATTCGAGGACCATCGCCAATGGGACAAAATCATCAAGAAAAAATGGGAAACAAATCTCCAACTCTATGTCATTCTGGACCACCTCACTATGAGCACCAACTAACACCCAATGACGAAGGATATCATAGTAATGGCTATCATGATGATTTTACCCCACCAGAAGATTCTAGCGACTCTGATGTTGAAAATTATGTTTTAGATTGCTCAAACAAAACCAACGAGCCCAAGGAAACTGTAATAGTTCAAAAAATTGACCAAGAAATGCATCGTAATGAGTACAGAAAAGTAAAAATCAAGATGCCTAGAGCTTATCAATATCAAAACCATAAAGACATGGACTGCGAAAGCGAAAAAGAACTTATAATAGCTGATGAGACTTCCAATATTACTCCTCAAAATTTGTCGCCACCTCGTCGAGATCCAGCTACATCTACGGTGATCGTTCTTGAATCATCGCAAAATACAATACTACCTATTAACAAACCATATTACGAAGACGGAACTATTTCACCTAGCCCTCAACCAGCTTTCATGAGGTATTCTCCACCAGATACTCGAATTCTTGAAACTATACTGACTGGAAATAGAATAGATACTAATAACAATGACCCAAACCGGCGTCAACCTAATGCTACGCCACCACCATCATCTCCGACTGAAATGGCATATTCATACAAAAAGAGTCAAAGATACGGCAATGCCTGCAGTCCTGATTCCAGTTCAAATCTTACACCTTTACCTTCGTTATTACCTCTTCCACAACAATTACCGACACCAACTACCGCATCGGTTTATTCATCTTCACCGCCCCATACTATTCCACATACAACTGAAATTAGAGAAATAAGAGAAATTCGTGAAATAAGAGAAACTAGATATGAAAGCCATTATCCAAACTATTCGTATAATATTTATTCACCACCGAATTCTACCATAATCACTCAATTAGGATCGCCACCTAATACCTATTCACCTACAGTAACATCATCACATCAATATGAAAGACCTCAAAATGGTCAAAGCAATCATCACTATCCGTCATCAACAAGTGTAATCACATTAAAAAATTGTTCACAATTAAGTTTAATCCAGAACTCGAATGTGAATGGTCAACTGGTACAACAACACGGTAGTATGAGTCCTGATGAATCTTGCGGTTTAATGGTCGCTCCCATGAGTCCAAATTCACAAGCATCACGTGGTTACAGAAGTTTACCATATCCTTTAAAGAAAAAAGATGGCAAAATGCATTATGAATGTAACGTATGCTGTAAAACTTTTGGTCAATTGTCAAATTTAAAAGTTCATCTAAGGACTCACTCGGGTGAGCGACCTTTCAAATGTAATGTGTGTAATAAATCGTTTACACAACTAGCACATCTTCAAAAACACCATTTAGTACATACCGGAGAAAAACCTCATCAATGTGATATTTGCAAGAAACGATTTTCTTCAACATCGAATTTAAAAACGCATTTACGCTTGCATTCTGGACAAAAACCGTATGCATGCGATCTATGTATGCAAAAGTTTACTCAGTTCGTTCATTTAAAACTGCACAAACGGCTACACACAAACGATAGGCCATACGTCTGTCAGGGCTGCGATAAAAAGTACATAAGCGCTTCTGGACTTCGCACTCACTGGAAAACTACGAGTTGCAAACCAAACAATATCGAAGAGGTTCTTGCAATTACAAACGCTGCCAACACTGAATGTATCGGTAAGTTCCAATTTTATTTTTGTAAATACACTTTTATTAATAATTTATATTAAAATAAAAATTATCATTAGAAGTTTTTTTCTATGAATAACCATTACTGAGATCTATATATTTTTTTGTTATATTTTTTATATTATAATTTAATAAAAGGATATTTATTTATCAACACTTAATTTATTCGAAATACGATTAAACACGATCAAAGTCGCGAGAGCAACTGCAGCGCGTTGCACTTTCTCCTCGTAGGTGAACCGCAACTTTCACTTGCGCTCTCGTCTAACGCGCCGATTTCATTTTCGCGTGCACTATACAGGTTCTGTCGACAAAGACTGCCACGAGAGAGAGGTGCACGAGGCATACGAAGTGCACTCTCCATCGCAGGGAGGGCTGATTGGGACCGGTGGGGCGCGTGTTGCGATGTCACACAGCGAAGTCATGCTGGGTGGACACGCGCACACGACCACACCGCATCTGGTGACGGGGCACGGGCAGCTGTCGCCAGTACACACGCCGCAGTACCGGTCACTGCCGCCACCGGAACACGAGCCGCCACCGCAGCACTACAGCCCTGCGACGGGCGAACCCCGCCCCAGTGTCATCGAATCCAGCCAACCACTTATTATAGAGTGTACCTGAGCTCAGGTGACGCTGCTGCCGCCCCACACCCTTGTCGGACGTGTTTCCCCGCCGCACTATGTGATTTCACTCTTGTGATCAAGCGAAAGTATTTTGTGTATAAACAATTCTAAGACGAGTGTCGATTCGTCCTGTATTCAGTGGCTATGAGATTACGATATGAACGTTAAGTTGTAAATTGTAATATATAAGTACGATGCGATAATAATAAGTACCACTTAAGTACTAAGTACTTGCGTAGATTAGGTCCTTTAGGAAGAATGTACTATATTATATTAATCATACTGCATATTATATCTAAGGTTTCTGCAGCCCTTGTTATAATTAATGCTCAATTTTTATACATAAACTTAGGATTCTATTGTAAATAGGAGTTTTATGACATCGACTTTATTTAATTTGAAAGGTATCGTTATATCTATTGTATATATTGTCATCATGTATGTACGGTTGGCACGTAGCCAGGATCATATTGTGTAAATAAAGCAACACGTATATATTACAATCATATACTTGTAAAATTACTAGCAAAAGTTCAAATAATCCAATTATAAGTACACTTCTAAAAAGCATCTTAAGCACAGTAAAATACGATAAATAAAATATTTCTAAACTGTCACCAAAGATAAAGTCTTCGGACAAACATTGGCATAAACGTACTTACTGTACTTAGATAAGATGCTTTTGTTCTGCAGTCTTGAGCAAAATCTAGATCTGGTAATGTTTATTTGCCTACAGTCAAATCTTAATGACAGTTATTTTTATAATGAAATTCTGAAACTGATTAGTGGTAAGTGCCAAAAGCACGATTTATATTTTAAGTTATCCTAAAGAAATGTTGGTATAGAATTTTAAATCGTTGTTCCTAATGAATAATTGGAGAGTAAGCACGTATGTGCAACAATTTAATTCTAATGTTATTTAGATTAAATGTCGATTTTAATCGACATTTAAATAATAAATTGTGTACATTATCCCTACGCTAGAACAAATGGTGCTTCACATCGTAGAGTAGTAGTCGTTCACGTCAGCCACCTACGTACTGACGGACTATTACATGTAATATTTAATAATTACACCGAGTCTACTAGTTACTATTTTATATTCCAAATTTCAAGTTATTATAATTCTCCTAATCGAAAAGGCTGAGATAAATATATGTTATATTGGGCGAATGAACGAAAGAAGTTGTTTGCATGACGTGTAAGTGTCGAGCGCAGAGTTCACGTTGGATTCTAGTAAATAATAGCTTATACGTGATGTAAAACCAAACGATAGCTTTTTGTATATTTCTATTGTTCGTACGATTAAGACTTTTACATACAGTTTCCTGTAGATTTATTAACTGTAATATTTTTTACATATTTACCTACAAAGAAATCATTTTTATAATAAGTACTCTTACATAAATCCTTTGGTAGTTTTTAATTTCTGAGTTGCATAATATATCAATGTTGTCGTTTACTTTAAATGAATCTACGAATAACGTAAGACAATACAATATTATAATAAGTAACTTCTAAACAAAAAATGTACTCGGTTTATAAACACATTTGAAGCAAAAAAAAAATATAAAATTAATTATGAAAAAATTCAAAAAGTATTGAGCTTACAAGTTATTCAAAGGTTCATTTTATGTGTGTATACAAAATATTTTGCCAATCTTTCTTGTCGTTACATATATTTGCAATTTAAATAGAATTCGTATATTTTAAATAAAACGTACAGGGTTTATACAAAAAGCATCAAACAATTGTTTATAAAACAGTGAAATGTTTCTTAATACGATAATTGATTAGAAGATACATTCGATAAATGTAGCATTCTATATAACCAATTTTAAATTTATATTAATTTAAAATTAAAAGAGATATTTTAATCAAAAACAGTGTTACATGGTTTACTATTTAAAAAAAAAAAAAAACAAAATAATAATTTGCGCATCACAACAATTAAAATGTTTATATGACATCTCATAAAACTAGTATCTACTTGCCATATGAGAGAATGATGCCTTTAAGATATTCATAGATACTTCCTAATAGTGTGTACCGCTTGTAAAATAACTTCCAAAGTCGAAAGAATAGTATTCTACTGTTATGTCCATAAATGCATGCTTCCATATTTAACACAACTTTGTGTAGCATCCTATTTGGAAAATGTACGAGTATATTATTAATCTCAGTCATATTCATAAGGAGTTCTGTTATACAAATTCTTGTCATTCCTTGTTATTATTCTAAGTTACTTTTTTAAGAAATTTTAAATTGCTATATGTACTTATTATTGTACCTATTTGATTTCTTTATTCATAGTAAACAACAGGGTAATCAGATACGAGTATGTGCAGTTAATAAATAAATATTTTTAATGCGATACATTTACTTTATTTTTTCTATATTTATACGGTTACTCTGTTGATTTTATGATACTGGATAAAAGATACATGAAAGCGCAGTTGTACCTACCTAAATATTATTTATCTGTAAATAGTTTCGATGAGTTTTTATCAAATGGTATAATTCCAAACCATCTATATGTGTACTATCAGTCATTAACAATGTATCAATATTTGTATAAATAATAACGCCTAAGAAAGATAAATCAAACATGCATAGTGTATGCATTATCTACTTATGGTACAGAAAATTAATGATATACATTATTATCACTGTATGTATTCTTCAGCTACTAATATTTATGAATATAATGGACTCGCATACAACTTATAACGAGTATTATAATTACTACACAATGCGTCAGATCTTACCTATTGTAAAGACATGTAATTTTGTACACCTCGATCGATAAATTGTTTTACAACACCAAATCCATTAAACAGGAGTAAAAATATATTATCGTAGTTTTATTGCTGGCAATATTTACTCCACAACAAATATCTACCTGTTATTAATCTAAAATAGTGTGTTTTACACTATTTTATTTAACCCTGCCTACCTACAGGATTTATTATACAGGGTGGCCCATAAGTCCTTAGTAATGAAAAAAATTAATTAAAATAAAACTAATTACACTATGAATAATATTTTTATTTGTAAATATAGCTAGAAAAACGGGAATTATTTTTTGTAAATAACGTCGTCCAAATGTAATCCGTTACAGTCACGGCACTCTTGCAAACGCCTTCTGAAATTGTTGATGACTGCGCGGCACGTCACTGCTGAAATGCTTGCCATTTCTCTGCGGATGTTTTCTTTTAGGTCATTAATTGACCGCGGGTTAGAGTCGTACACTTTAGCCTTAAGGTAGCCCCACAAAAAAAAATCCATTGGAGTCAGATCCGGGCTACGTGGTGGCCAGGAAATGTCTCCTCTCTTAGAGATAACTTTGTTTGGAAAAAGTTGACGGATAACGGGCATAGCAGTATTGGAGGTGTGGGAAGTTGCTCCATCCTGTTGAAACCATGTTCGGGCATTAAAACCTGGAAAGTTTTGCAATTTTTGTGTGAAAAACTCCTCGATCATGGCCACATATCGCTCCGAAGTAACAGTAACAGCACGCCCTCTGCCGTCTTTAAAAAAGTAAGGCCCTATGATGCCATGGGCTGACATAGCGGCCCAAACTGTAACTTTAGGGCTATGTAAGGGCTTCTGGTGCTTAAGTTTTGGATTAATCGGGCTCCAATAGCGGCAATTTTGTTTACTAACATGTCCGTTAATGTGGAAGTGTGTCTCATCAGAGAACATTATGTTATTGAACGAAGTAAACCGATTAAACATTTCATTAGCATAATTCACTCTCTAAATAGCATCAGTTTCTTTTAATTCTTGCACCAACTGAATTTTGTAAGGGTGCATAAGTAAATCTTTCTTCAAAATCCGTTGTAACGATGTCCTGGATACGTTTAATGCACTGGAACGCTTACGAGTTGACTGTGTAGGATTTTCACGAATAGATTGTGCCACTGTGTCGATGTTTTGTTCCGTACGTCCGTGATGTCCTTGGGCGACCCAACCGCGGTTTATCTAACGTCGAACCGGTCTCCTCGAACTTAGCAACCCAATTCTTAATCGTTTGGAGAGCTGGGGTGTCATCAAAGTTGTATAAACCTTTGTGGTCTCGAAATTTACGCCTCGCAACGGTTGCCGAATTGTTGTTTTGATTGATAAAACTCGCGCACACATCGCGACTAAATTCCCAGAAACCGAAGTTACTGCCCCCGCTTCCCCTGCACCGCTCACGCGCGCCGTTTTCGTTTAATTCAAATTTTACTTTTCTAAGGACTTTTGGGCCACCCTGTAATTTTACAAACAGGTGGGCCGTCAGCTTGTTTGCCATTCTAAATTGTATAAAAAAAAAGTAAACAAGTTACGTTAATAGTCGTGATTAGTTGGTGATACTTGGTGGAAGTTTGTATACATATTGATATTATTAGAAAAATACTTGTACTCTTCTACGAAAATGTTTTATAATAAATGCCTGAACTGTTTCACTGTAATTCATGTACCCACTTATTTCTAATAATTTCCAACTATCCATTTTATTTCGAAAACAATCGAAAACAGTACGTAGACGCGATTCAGAAGAGACATCGGTCTATAGTTCTTCAATAGGGTGTTGTTACCCTTCTTGAAGAACAGAACTACTGCGCTTCTGCTTCACGCCTCTGGCGTAACACTGTTAAGGATGACGAAATTAAATAGCCTCTGAAGGACGAAAAGTACCGGTTTCCCACCCGCTCTCAGAAGCTCTTCTGTAATTCCGTCCTCCTACGGTGTCTTACCGTTTTTAAGCTGTTTGAGAGCCATTTCAATCTCCTGCAAACTGACATCCGGGATATCATCAGTATAGTGTCGGGTGGCTTTTGCGCTTTGGTCGTTATTCGCATTGAGATGCGGTGTTAACGACGTTCTGTATAGATAATGTCTATATATTAATTTTCTGTTATTAACAAATTTCTGTATGATGTATAATATTTGTAGGAGTATCGTAATACAGATCTACAGAGAATATCTTGTAATACAATTTACAAATATTTGTTATAAACTATCTGACCTCAAAACATATTACATAGAAAAAGAAAAAATAGAGACTTTACGTTTACTAAAAACATTTCCAATGTTTCCCTTTATAAAAAAAAAATTTGTTTCGTTTTGTTTATTTTTGAGAAGCATGTACGCTTTTTATTCCAGAATACATTAAAATGATTTAAAGACGGTTTTCTTCCGAAATTAAACATCTAGCTTTTTCTAAAAGGGTTCTATTCTTTCTTTCAGCTATACCATTTTGGTGAGGAGTGTATGGAGCTGTTAATCGTCTTGTTATACCGTTTTTCTTTAAAAAACATTTCAAATTCTTCCTCAAACTGCAACAAATACTTAAAAAAAAAAATAGCACAATTAGTCCTCAAATTTTATACATAGCAATACATTTAGAGATTCGTCTTTATTTATATAGATTTTTTCTTATTTCATCACTTCAATTCCATCAGCAATCATACGAATTCCTTAGGAAGGCAACACATGAGGGGTACAAAATACGTCACAGTGAAATCAGTGTCGTTTATAGATTTTTTCATATTTCATCATCATTATTTCAGCCATAATCCGTTCACTGTTGGGCATAAGCCTCCCATGTAGACTATCATAAAAAAGCGATTATATTGTAATCACAAATCAAATCGTACTTATAAAATAGTCTGAAGAAGATTCTAACATTTATTTATTTTATTTATTCCTTACAACCTTACAAAAAAAAATACTTACCACATTACAAAAAAAAATAATTGGTACAAAAGGCGAACTTAATACTATATAGTATTCTCTTCCAGTCAACCTGCACTACTGCACATTATGATCATATAAATATACATACATGAATACATTAAACAAATATTACATAAATATACAAATATATAAAATAAAAACATAGATACAAATATAAATATACATACATACTTATAGATTATATACGATAACACAAAAAAACAACGATAGAGATCAAAAGTGATGATGATAAAGATGATGAACTGCTTTCACAGCTTTTTCAAAAGATTCGTCGACTTTTCTCTTAAAAATAAATTTGTTAGACATTTGTCTTATGTCAATGGGTAGCGCATTCCAGAATCGTGAGGCCTCAAGAATGAAGGAATTGGAAACAAAAGTAGAAAAATGTAGAGGAAAAGAGAAAACAAGAGAGTAGTTAGAACGAAATTCGCGTGAATTAGAATCACAGAGATATTTGGACCTACATTTTAAGTATTCCAGTGATTAGGGACTAGTGAGAAGAGAGAAAATATTGCAAAGCAACCTCAACTGTCTACGTTGGCGTATAGAGAGCCATTTTAACTGGGAGCTGTACGAAAATATGTGATATATTTACGCAGACAGAAGATAAAACGAATAGAGCTGTTAATTAAATGATCTAATTTATGAAGAAGATCTTCATTGAGATCAGGATAACACACATCAGCATAATCAATAATAGGGAGAATAAGTGTTTGAACAAGTGTAATTATAGTTTTAATAGGAAAAAAGTGCTTAAAACGGTTAATGTACTGAAGTGTGACTATGAGTGATCGACTAATCTTAGCAATTTGTTTGGCCCAGCTCAGTTTGGAATCAATGGCCTTTATGGCCAAGATTTTTTAACGCCCGTACAGTGAGTAATAATCGAATTAACGTATGTTGCAGGTAAGAGAGTTATAATTGATCTTTTCCAACTGTCTCGAGCTACCAACGATTATTGCTTGGCACTTTCTTGGACTTACTGGGATGCCGAATTCATGGGACCAAACACTGATTTTTGTAGTTCATCGTTCAGCTGTACAACAGCTGCATTTATATCTTAGACAGTTGTCTGTACATACATTTGTAAATCATCTGCAAATAGATGGTAAGAACAACCAATTGTCATCAAAAGAAGATGAATAAATATCGAAAACATTGAAAGAGACAAGATGCCACCTTGCGGAACACCTGATGAAAGACCTTTCCAATCAGACATTAAAGAAACATTGAATCTAATGAGTTAACAGTATAGAGCAGCAAAAATAAAAATCTCAAATGATTCCTTTGTGATAATGAAAAACAGTAGGTAAATAAAAAGCGGTAGCAATGGTAGATTTTTTAAATAAAACCATTATATATTCAGTAAAGGAGAATTAATGGCTTTTTCAACTAACTTAAAAATGAAGAAGGTTCCTCATACCTCCGAGAGTTGTAATCTGATTTAAAAAATATGATCTTATTAAAAAAGATATACTTACAAACTGGTCCTATAGAAATTTTATCAAAGTCGGTTCAACAGTTTAGCGTTAATATCAAAATAACTGGTGTTGCCACAATCCAAGTTAGTTTTTTTTTTGACACAATTTTTAATTTTATTAGATGGAGTGGTATTTATAATGAGCTAGCTATTAGCTATGAGTATATATCTAGTATATTATTAGTATGTAGTCTAGTACATTCCGATAGAGTCAATAACTCATATATGACATATGGTAGTTTAATTAGAATAGATCTGCAAAAAAAAGGAATTTATAAATAAAATATGGTACTTTCTTATATAATATCCTACAATTAAAAACATACAAACAAAAATACACTATAAAGTCGGATTGATTTAAAAACCTCAAATATTGATTTTATTTATTATCCATAAAACTATCTCTTATTGTATAATGATACATACCCATATATTTGTATATTATAATACAAAAAAGCAATATATAAACTTCAAATTAATAAATTATATAGATACAAAAGAGTATTATAAGTACTTACAAATAACTTGTAAATAATAATTATATCTATTACTAAACAGGCAAGTACAGTATATTACTCACATTATTCATATTTATAAATTACTTTAAAATAAAACATGTATATTCTCTTCATAATGTCTTTTTCCAACATATGAGTATTCTTATGGTAATGTACTGTAATATCAAAATAATTATTAAAAATTTAAAAATATTTTAAAACAAAAAAGGAAAGTTTAGCATGAAGACACCATGTATACGAAAACAACAGTACTGACTTTTTGAAGGGACTAACTAGCTAACAAATAAATGTTTAATACCAACAGTCCATGTATAAATTGGTCATCGTTATATATAAATATATATTCCATTTTTCACCTTAAAACAAATCCTAACAAAAACAAAAGATTGCTTTCTTACTCTGTACATCGGTACAAACTTTTCAGTTTCGCGTATTGCAAGATCTAAAATATTTTATTTTTCAAAGACTTCAAAACATCTATATATATTAATCTACACGAGACTTGTTTCGAAACATCGTCAAATATATTTCAAAAGATTTTACAACAGACATAATGCATCTCAATATATTTACTTTAAACAATATAATCGATATCAAAAAAAATTAAATTTTAAAAGTAAATTTTATTATAAATTTCTTATTCACTAGTGGCTTGTGGTGTTAGATCAGGCGCGTTGCATTTCTTGAAATGTGTTCTCATGTTTGAAGACTGCGTAAACGCAAGTTTGCATCGTGGACAAGAATATGGCTTCGCTCCCGTATGGAAGTTCAGATGGGACTTAAGATGGTGCTTCTTTGTAAATGACTTCGGACACAGTGTACATGAGAATGGTTTTACGCCTGTGAATATAAATTAGTAAATTTTACTAACACTGTGGGAAATTTTTTTAATAGGTGATAGGTAACAAAATGATAATCTTGCCTGCGCTCTCGGTATGCACTAGCTGGTTTAGTACCATGCTAGCGTATACCAATTCACTTACCATCACTTACTGGATTGAGTGATAATAAATAAAGGAGAAAACGAGTTGAACCATCGTAACGAATTCATTAAGATTAACCACAATAGTTTACAGGAAAGATCGCGTTGAGGTCGACCTGACACTATATATTAGTAACAATGAAGCCGCTAGTCAGCATTACTAACAATCCCTGAACTCTTTACGAACAAACTATTATGTTCCTTCTAAAATTCATATTTAATTAACAGTCACAAATTATTATATTTTGACATCATAACTTTTCACCTTTTGAGATTAAAATCATATTAATATACGATAATACATTATCTATTGGACAGAAGCATCATGATCATAAACGTCGTCATAGACAAAACTCATGTCGATTTTTTTTATGTTGTAAGTAATCCATTGTCATGTAAATTCAGTAGCTAATTTCTTATAGGTACACGTTATATGAAGAACCTCTATGGGTAATTTTGAATGTACATATTATTAGCATTATGGTTTTAAAAATTTCATACTCAGTCGACGAATGCTACACCGTACATACATACTGTATTCCGGGGTTATACTCGATGAATTAGTATTATAAATTATAATATATATATTAATCTTGGACATAGTCAATTTGTGTACAAAATTTCATTAAATCTGTTCTACCATTTGAACTTAGAAATATCTTTAAGGAATTCCTCACTTATGATATTAACCTAATAGTACTCGTAAATTATACTAACCAGTGTGCAGTCTCAAGTGCAACGTCATGTTGGATCTATCCGCGAAACGTTTGTCGCAGTGTGAACAGGCATATGGCCTCTCGCCCGAATGCGTCCGCTGATGCTGCTTCAGCAACATTTTCCGAGAGAATGCCTTACCGCATTGTTCGCATACATGCGGCTTAACACCTATAAATTTTTTAGAAAATAATTATTACCCATATAACTATAAAAATATAAATAAAAAAATAAAACGAATTTTTATTACAAATATACACAGGTCAATTAATTCCTGACCCAGACTTATGATACGGAAGCTATCAAAAATATAAAATTACTTCGAAGTTATTACTTAATGTTTTCTTGTACAACAATAATAGAGAATATGTTATTTTTAAGCAATAAAAATGATATTTGTGCCATAAACACTGGCAGGGTACCGTGAGAGATGATCGATAAGAATAAAGTCAGGTCAGTTGAATATGTTTTTCATTAAAAAATTCTTATCCATCTTCTCTCTCTTTCGATTTCTTCACACATAAATTTAGATTTTGTTTCACAAAAAGAACAAAGACTTCAATCGTGATATTAATAGGAAACAACATGGAATTAAACTCTATCAAGTGTAAAAAAACAGTTCAGAACTGGTGAAAACATACTATAAACCCAGACAAATTGAGAAACTCCACGTTTTGGAAGTTACTAAAATGTTTAGGCACGAGTTCGAAAATTATCAATAAGCGGTTACAGCGCACGCTAATAAGTTATAAACTTATAAAACGAAAAATTATAAAAAAAAAGTTATAAAACGACTGTCATAAAATCAAAGTTCAAATAATTTATTATTTTTTTCCACTTGCATATGAAAGTATGTTATTTTTACATATGTGTATATGTACTATGTGGTATAAATTTTAATAATTGCTCACCTGTGTGAATCCTCACATGCATATTATAAGCAACACGTTGATTGAAAGATTTAGGGCACATAGTACACTTGTACTCCTTGCGATTCCTGTAAATGTATATATAATGTTATTTTAACGACTAATTTTACTTTAGGTATTTTATAGTGCATAAACCATTTCACTCAATCAGTTGAGTATAAAGTGAGAGAAATCGTTTCACAAATACTTATAAAATATGAATAAGAGAGAAGTTTCTAATAAAATTACTTTCGACTAAAAGTCTCTTAACATACACATTAAAAAATACAGGCGAATTAAAAACCTCTTTTTTCAAATCTTTTAAAACAATAGAGCAATATCCATCCAGATAAGCCAAATAAAACACCACAACTCACAACAGTATACCTATAGATACTAATTAATAGCGTATTTATCCTTCTTTGAATTTAACTCAGAGAAGGTAAGATGGTATTACAACGTCAACAAATAATCCCTTGAAACAACTCGCATTAATATCGTTTAGTAATCGATAAATTAGAAATGATTCTACTGACTTATGTATTTTCATGTGGCTGCTGAGATATCCCCTATCGTTGAAGTATTTCCCACAAACGGTACAGGTGGCTGCGAATTCTCTGGTGCCGCGATGCACCGACATATGATATTTGAAGTTACGCAGTTGTGAGAACGTTTTACCACATTCCCCACAACTGTATCGGGCTGTTGTGGAATTCCGGCATGTATGCATAGTTAAACGGTCCTTAGTAATGAATCCCTGAAAATATTTGAGTCCATTTAATAATATAAAATATGTGATCCAAAGTAAATAGAAAAATGGATCTTTTAAATTATAGATATAGGTACCAAAACTTTTCAATATCCATTATATAAAGTTTAAAAATAATTAACTAACAAAAATCTAAATATATTTATAAACTTTTATGATTATTTTCCACGGCTTCATTGCTACATATAAATTAAAGCCTCCATTGATATTTGTATACCCATAACGGAATATTTAATTTTCAATTTTTTTCTAGAAATAGAGTATTGCAGTTATTTTGAATAAGCCTTAAACCTTCTGGACAATATAACAATCAGATAGGTAAATAATCAGCATATTTATAAATTAAGTTATTGATTGAAATTCATAAACAAATACCTGATTGCAAACTGTACATTTAAAGTCTTCAGCGCCATTCAAAGCTATTTGTGTCACATTTATTTCCTTCTCCGACGATTTTATTATTTGTTGAATATTATTATTGCCATCATTTAATATGTCTTCCTTTTCCTAAAATGTAGTTAATTATAATATTCAAAAATCTTTATAAAACAAAATTAGAATTAGCTTTTAGAAGACCACAATTTTACATACCATTTTATTTTCTATGCTTTCGCTGAACGTTTTTTTACGAAATGGTCTATAATCTTTGGGTAAACGAGGACTCCATGGACTTTCCATTACTTGATTTAACACAGATCCTGCTTTATTTATTGAACATACATTTTTATCTAAATCTTTTCCATTGTGTTTCTTCAAATAAGCTGTAGATTCAATTGAATTTTCTGCACTTGAGTTAAAATTTGTTCTCACATCTGAAATAGATTGACCCATCCTAAGATCTAAAGACAACACATTAACCCCTGTTAAAATTTGAGACGCTGGTAATAGTTTCAAAGATGATTGTAGGGATTTAGTCACTCGGGAATCTTCGGTAGATTGTTGTAACAAAGTGGTATTTGCTATTTTATCACTAGTATTTGTTACAAGACTATTGGCTTTTGAATAAGTTTGATAATCAAAATTATCATATTTTTTTGTACATGTTGTCTTTTTATTTGTAGCGTAAGCGGCGTACTCAGTTGTTCTAATGGATATCTCAGAGACTGTGTCGCCAGTTCTGGGATATTTGCCATTTGCATTCGTCAAGAGAACAGATGTCGGAGCATGATAGCGTTCATTTGATATTGCTAGCACGCTTGAAGTCAGACCGTTAGCATTACCGTTTCGAGGATATGTCTCGATAAATAAATCACGTAGAAAAGTGCTCCTTTGTCGGTCTGCATATGGCGATGGTAAATTTTCTAAAGAATGCTGAAACATCCACCAATTTTTATATCCTGTTTGCTTATCACGAAAATTTAAATTACTTAGTGAACATTGAATTTGTATATCTTGAATAGATTCTCCTTTTCTTAAATTTACATATTGTTGATTTTTACTGCATCCGCTACTTAACGAAAACACATCATTTGTTTTAATGCATTTACTTTCATGATAATAGGATAGTTTTAAATTATGATTTCCTAGAGTTCTATGTAACTGTTGTAAATATTGATGGTCAATAAAAATTTCCATAGCTTTTACAATATCCATAAACATTTCTAGTTTCTGTTTCTGTATAGTAACTTCGCCGTTGTAAATGTAATGAATTACTGACGACATTGCTTCAATATCAAAGTCTGGTAAGACGATAAACGTTGGAGTCTCTTCTTTGGCACATGACAGCAAAATTTCCTATAAATATGAATATTTTATAAGTATATTGTAACACACGTATTTCTACTAGACTTTAACCCTTAAAAGCCTGATTTTTTAAATCAAATTAAAAAATATATAAGTGTATCCTTTACTATGTTTACTAATAGGGAAAAATAGTAAAAAAATCAAAACGATATTTTTATATATTTTTTTGAAAAAACATTTGGTATCATTTTTTATACTTTAGGCATTACGGTAATCAAAATATTTAAATTTATTTAACAATTAAACAATGCAAACCCCGGTACCAAATTTGAAACTTTAGGTATTTAAAGTCAAGCATCAATTTATTTTTATAAATTGATATTGATTTTAAATTTATTTTTATTATATTTTAATAAAGTCGATATATTATAGATATATTTCAATTCCTTACTCTGAGAAATGTGCTGACACTAGCTAGCACAGCCCTATGTGCATTGAATGCATGACCACCGCAAACTAATTGTACGTCGCACCACTCTTCACATGAAAGCCATTCACACATCTGTAATCAAATTACATTTTATACAATAATTATACTTATAGAAATATATTTACGAGACTCGTAAATCTATAAATATTATAAATGCAAAAGTATGTATGGATGGATGTTTGAAGATTTGTTACTCATTCAAACAAAAACTTCTTTGAATTTGAAATAAATTTTGTACACGAGTAGATTATACCCTAGTTTAGCATATATTCACGGTATATTTTATATAATTACTTATTCACGCGGGCGAAGCTGCAGGATGTAACCAGTATATAATGATATGGGCAACTTTTAAAAATAATTGATAAATAAGTTATTAATAATAAGAATTGAAATGTACCTGTCTAGATACTAACTGTTAGTAAATGTTTTATTAAATCAATGGAGATTGTTATTAGTGTAATACAAATGCAAGCATAATCAATGTGAGTGTATATAAACATAAGAATATTATATTATACTTTTTACCCGTCCCTTTATCTACGTGACCAGGAAACGCGATATAACCCTCTCTATCCTAAATGCTACGCACTCGGACGAATCAAATCCATGATGTGTTTAAATATTAGTGAAGATTATATCAGCATTTTAGTATATTTGGTTCCGTAAAGTAGACTATTCTTCTGTGATATTTATTAATTATTATCGGATCTAAACGAACATCACACGTACCTAAACATTGTACAGACACATGAAATAATTTCATTATAGTTTGTACACAAAAATAACAAAAATAGGGGTCAAAAATAATTGCTAATAGCCCATGAATAACTGCCGTTATCAAAACGAATTTAAAAAATTATCTCATGGTATTTTTTTCTGAGCAATTTCTAAGCAATTTTATAGGAGTCTGTGAACATGTAAGATTCGGAGTCTAACTCGAACATGTACAAACACGACATGTTTGCGGCATACTTTTGATTTTTCGATAGCAAACATTCGTTGCATGGACGCTAGTTGTCGTATTTCTCTCAATACCCATCCTGAAGCAGTCAATGTAAACGGTCACTACTTACTCGCAGCAAGACAAAATTAACAAAACACATATACGACCAGGTCAACGTTTTTAAAGTAGCACCACTCGTGAAAGTGTAGAACAAATAGATCTGATCAAACAAGAGAAAAATTAGAAGTCTCATCTCACCGTTTTTTCTACCTACTGTGGACACTTAGATAATACGTGACACATCCACAGATACACCACACGTGCACGCGATGAGAATGAGGACCTTCATGTTACACGGCGCAGACATAATTGATTTTCTTTATGGGAACTAGGTACGAAACGTATTTGCTTTCTAAAATCAAATTTACCTAACTTACCACGGCAACCATCCTCGATTCGAATGCTATTCACAACATCTTAGATACTTTTTATTTATTTTTTATAATTTGGGAGTACATTATGGAAACAATATTTCACATAAGTATTCAGGTAGCATACTTACTAAATCTAGCCTAATTTGATATTGTATTTTTAGATACAGTATTAACAAGTAAAATATTTATATTAAATCGAAAATAGATAGACAAGTCATCGTCGTTTAGTAGTATATACTGGACTCATTTCGTCTTTCCAAATTTATTGAATGGCTAATTAAACTTGATTGAAATAAATTGCGTAATCTTTTATTAATTTATTATACTGTACGTACTTTTAAACATATTTTTATTGAATTTGTAATAGACGTAATAGATATAGAAAGCCCAGACCCAGTGATAGTACCAATTCTTTTCATTCATGAAACTGAACAAGTTAATACAGGGAGAGTTTCAAAGTATTTTTTGAGTTTTTCATATTCAGTCATAAAAATCGATCATATTCAGTCATGAAAGTTCATTCCACAACCTGAATGTTCGCAAATAAATAAAAGTATTAAAATACAATATAAGTATTAATAAGATAGTACACAATTTTAAAATTCGAGTCGCCTTTATATTGTCTGATTTCATTCGCGGCACATCAACAAATACATTAGAAAAAAAAATACAGAGTAATTGAAAACTTCCACCTTTTTTTTAATGGATGATAATGGAATGATAACCCCACCCGCGCTATCGATATACACCAGTGGAGCACCAGTGAAGGATGATAGGTGAAGATGAAATAGGTCAATAAGCCCATCGTGACGAATTCAACAAGAATTGTTCACGATGGTTTCCAGGGGGAACCACGTGGAGGTCGACCTATTAAGGCATATTGCTAGCAATGGGGCTCTCAAACTCCATTGCTAACAATCCCTTTCCCCCTATCTTCCACCTTATTAAAATCACTAGATTACAACATACTTTTTTCTGTATTGGTTAATGGTTTAAAATACCTATTTTAGGAGGGGGAGGGATGAGTGGAACCGTGCCCACCAAAAAAAGCTCATCCTAGGATATGAGCGGAGCCTTTAACTATGCGAAAAGACATGTAGCTGAAAATAAATATGCGCTTTTTTTAAAGGAGCCAGGCCCCCTCCCTGGAAAGAAATCTTAGTTATACCAATAATCTAGCTATCTGATGGTTGTTTTTTTTTATTTACAACAAGTTCATTTGAATTTATTAGTATGTATGTTTATATTAGTCTAGACATTTGACATATACAAAAAGGGTTTAAAAAAAAAAGTATTTACAGTAACTATATCTATCTGTTGTTTGATACCCAAAATACAATCTCTGCTTTGTATGGAACCATGTGACTCTAGGTAATAGGCATATCCACTAGTAAATATTTTGTATAAATAATTAGCATGACTATGTGCACATCCAATTTCATAACAATTGAGGTACAATCTCTCTTTTACATTTATATGATTAGCAAAGATAGTAAGAAACTAAGGATTACCTTTTTGGTTCATTGTCAACTAACTAAAAAGGAAGAACTATATTTTTAGAGTTACGTAACACAAAAATAAAAACGGAACCCTTATAGGATTCCTTTGAAAAAAAAAGGTCTTTACAGACGGGTAGACCTTTTTTTCTTATTAACTCGTGAAGATATCAAACCGAACTTAATATCAAACACTTGAGTCTATAATCTCTTTATATTATGAATAAAATCAAACTTCTAAATCCGCGCAATCAAAAGATACGGTCATTTATAGCATATATTTTGACATTTTCAAAGGTATCAAAAACTATAACTAACTCTTTACCTAGAATCATGAAATTTGGCAAATAGCAATAGTGTTTAAAAGATCTGAAAACTATATATTTATAATTACGTCGAAATTTTTTAAATATATTTTTAGTTACAATTTATACGGAACTCTCAGTGCGCAAGTTTGACTCACACTTAATTGTTTTTTTTTGTATGTATGTTATGTGACTTATACTGAAAACAATAAAATTTACTACTTCTGCCTACCCTACTGGGAGACAGGCGTGACAGATATGTATGTATGTACTTCTCATACTATGGTCCCAGACTAATTTGGCTCCGATTTAAATCAGTCAAACTGGTCTCTTTGTGGCAGATCAATAAATATTTCCATTATAATACATTTTAAAAAATGTAAAGAAATATCTTGGCACATTCTGATATATAACTATACAACTAGATATACGAGTATATATCTGGTATACACATTTATTGTCGGTATATCCAATAAACATTTTCTTAGTATTTTAGATGAGTATACCTATTATTATTAGTGATAGATACTTAGAAATATTTATAACAATATGTATATTTTAAGTCAGAATATAATCTAATCGTGTACTAAATTTTATTCAAATCCGTTCAGTAGTTTTGGCGTGAAAGAATAACAAACATTCATCTATTCATACAAACTTTCGCATTTATAATTATTGCTCTAGGACAGGATATAAAATCCATATAGGTAATAGATAAAATCTTTTCATCTTTTTGGACTGAGTAGTTTTCCTGTGTTGATAAAAATAATAAATAAATCAAGATATTTGCCTTTATAAGTGCATGAGATAACTAGATCAATATTCTTTTGCTCCTATAGAAAATCTTTCCTTAATAGGTGTCTTTACCTTACCCTATTATATATAAAATAAACAGACTAAATCAAAACTGAGTTAACTAAGGAAAAAAATGTACTTAATTAAATTTATATTTAAAATCTAATATATTAATTAGGTATTATTAAATTAATAAATTGTTGTTGGGACTGAAATTTTCAACTATCAATTTTTTTATTCCAAAATGTGTTTTATTAGTATTAGTTTGAAGTAAAAATTTAATTAATGCTTATTTACTTACGGTTCCAAATATTGAAGTTCGTTACACAAATAACTTTATTATTTTTATTCGTAATATTGCATATAAAAAAAGCACGAAACACATATCAACCATGTATGATGGTCGAACGCGAGTGAGTTCTACACACTGGCGTAAACAGTGACTTTTGCGGACTGACGCGGAGCCGCCTGCGTCTACACATTATTATAGTCTCGGACACCAACTTCCAACACACGGTCATTTCATAATGACACCTGTAAATAAGTAGTGCACCACATATTTAGGGTTCCGTCTTAATACGCTCCTGTATCCAAAATGTACAAAGCCTACGTCTTAAGATCACAGCACTCTACATCATAAAGGCATTTTTTATGACACGAAAGGTGATAACGATCGCTTCTGAACATGAAAAACACCACGGACGTCAGAAAGAAACTGTGACGCTTGTGGCACTCCCCATGCGTTGTTATTTCTGAGGAATATGGTGTTTAGTATACTTCCGTACCCTGTAATTTCACTTGTAAACCTTCTCTGATGGGTATTTACTATCTCGTTAATGTATTGATAAAATGTATAAGCTGTAATTCGTTCTAGTGTAGTCACTTTTGTAGATCAGCCATATTTAAATTACAGGCTAGGGTTAAAAATTATATTAATAAAACCGTCTCAAACACTCAGATATTTACTGAGTATTTAATGTTCACCAAAATTAGCTGTAATATGGAGGACAATAGCAAATTATCATTGTTTGCAGAGAAATCATTCCCATATCTATAAGAATCCTATTAATATTATTAATGCGAAAGCTTGTAACGATGTATGGATAGATATTTGTTATTGTTACACTTTCACGCAATAACTACTACAGACTTAAATAAAATTTGTGAACAGGTGGTTTTAACTAATATGATAATTCACTACTACTAATTCTAGCGGTTGAAATCGCGGGATACAGCTAGTAGACGATTCTTATGCCTTTCTTACCCTTCCTCGAGTAATATAGGTACATAAGTCACAAACTATTCACTAATTAGACCGTGTTTAAAGTAAATTCCCACTATTAAGATGTCAACACGTGATGTCATGAAACCGTTAATGTAGGCCTAAATAGATGTTCTAAGTATAACACGTACTTACGTAGTGCCAGAGAAGTAAACTTATAATTTGAATGCAGCAATTAAACTTTAATGTTGACGCACAAAATACGTGGAACAGCTTATATAGCCATATAGTTCGTTATTACCCTGATTATAATCTGAATTTTATTAGAAAGTCACTTTAACAATCTGCATGGTAGTCGAAATTAACCATAGATTCAGGATAAGTAGGTAGGTAGATACCAAAACAATAAGAATTTATAGTAAATGTTTTTTTTTATAAACATGATCATTCTTTTCTTAAAAGGAAGGGATTCTTAAAAAATAGGAACATATCCATTGATAATGATATAGCAGAGTTAATTAATGAACAAATATTAGGTAAAATAACCTACCCGAAGTCATAAAGCCTTAATTTTTCAATTTTTTGTTTTGTTCAAATTTGGCCAGAAATAAATAAAAGAAATTCAAAATACTCAACTACAAGTATTTATTAAAAAAAAATCCAGTACAACATTTTTTAAGATTACAACAAAAAAACAGTACTTAATCATTACAATATTTTATACAATTTTTTATTTAACTAATTTAAATTTTAACTAACATATATTATTTACATACAGTAGGGCCTCGATTATACGAATACCCAAAATTTACATGCTGTTCGGTTCTATGGAGAGTTCGGATTTTCAGTATGTTACTTACATTATTAAAGGTATTTTTTGCAGAAAAAATTATAGTTTTGAAAAAACATATTATTATTTTAAATATATGTTAATTATTACATTTTTTTAATATTAAAATATTGTACGCTTATATAGCAGGACATGGAGATACTATTTAACTCATGTAATACCTTAATTTGACCTATGATCCACAATAAAGTCATTTGTATTTGTATTTATTATTTAAATAATCTGTTATGGTACTATGGCGCCGAGTATTGAGTGACATAGAAAAAGCTTTATCTATCAATTTACGCAATAGCATTTTTTCTGGAATGGAAATATCTACTTCGTCCGCCCATTCCAAGCATTCATTTAATGTAGTAGTGTAGAACCTAAATTAATTAACACAATAGTACGAATTAATTTATGCACCGAGTGATATCTAAAAATAAATAATACACCACTGCACAGCGTGACCAGGAAGTCATCCAAATTATAGAGGAGTTCGGTTTTTTTTATGCAACTTAGAATGGCAAACAAGCTGACGGCCCACCTGATGGAAAGTGGTAGCCGTCGCCTATAGACATGAGCAGTAGCATAGACATAAAGTGTATTCATTCGCTCCTGATAAGGGGTTCAGATCATAGAGGCGTATCTATAAAACTACACACTATAAAATCTGAAGTAGAGGCGATGTTAGCAAATCATAGGAATTTATTAAATAAAATATAATCGTATAAAGAGCGAGTTTCAGTATCACGCAAAAAATCTGATGATTGATGTGTTTGAATTAACATCTGGTATATTTTTTACCTTGACTATATCTAGAAGTGATCTATGACATTGGTACTCCTACTTCCAAAATCCACAAACACATAATCACAACCAGAGACTAGTTATACTCGTATAGGTAAAACAGATACTAAGCCTTATTGAAATTAATTCTAACAGTTAAAACTAAACAATATTTCAAAACAATGGACCGAAAAAAGCCACAAAAATGTTCTTTTTTAATGGATGACAATGGAGTGGTAAGCCCACCTGCGCTAATGGTATACGCTGGCGGAATACCAGTGAGACATAATAGGTAAGATGAAAAAGTAGGTCAGTTAGCTTATTGTGATGAATACACCTGAAATTCAGCACGATTGTTTCCAAGGGGAACCACGTGGAGATTGACCTGACAGGGTATATTACTAACAATGGAACTGGTAGTCCACATTACTAACAATCCCTTCCCGCCAGGTATAAAAATGGACCAAAACTGACAGCAGTATGTTAGTATAGGCACCTCAAAGCCATGTTTCTTAGGGGAAAAAACTTATACTAAAAAGAATAATTTGATTTCACTTTGTAAGTGTAAATTACAGTTTAATTTAATTTCACACACTTAACTACTTTGCATAATTGCAATAAGCAGAGCCAGGATGTTACTAGCAACCATGACCCTAGCCATGTTTTTGACGACGCTGTCCCTGATAACCGATGAGAACAGTAATTTGATGGTGGGAAAAAGTCACCATCCGTTTGGATGTCCCCCACACTGGATTCGATATATATATATTGAGTTCTTCATTTTTTTCGGACAATTAACGACGAAAGATGGCCTTATCACCTTACAATAATATTACCCGGTACCCCTTTCATACGCGCCCTCTTGAATGTTGAAGCGCTCCTTCGTATATTTTTTTATATGAGAGAATAGAATAGTGATGCCACCTGCACTATCAGTATAAGCTGGCGGGGCACCATTAAGTGGTGATAGATGAAGGTGAAACTAGATCAGTTGGCCCATTGTGACGGATCCAACAAGAATTAATCACGATGGTTTCCAGAGGAAACCGTGTGAAAGTAGACCTGACAGGGGATATTGTTAGAATTGGAAATTAACATTCCCATTACTAACAATCCCTCTCCCCCCAACCCTTCTCCCTATAAAGCCAATATCAGTACCTATATAGTTTAACCAGTTTCATCAAATATATTAAAGCCAGTATAATCACATGACTCAATATCTTTTACATATGAAGTAAAATAAGTGCCATCTGTAGCATTACAATCATACTTTTTACATACACAATAATAAGCACTTTTACCACAGCCTCTACATTTACTTGCATGCTTCAATGTTATTTCATCAGGATATTGACATGATATAAATTCTTCTAAGCTATACTCAAATTCTGTTGGGCCTTCATAGTCATTCAAGAGATTACTAATTAGATAATCATCAACAGCTTCAAAACTGTTGAGGTGATTGAATACTATTTTTTGTTGTTTAGTTAAAACCTTTTCAAGCATAAACACTAAATGATGGTGGTAACATTGAAAAGAAATATTAGTATACTCCTTATCTTTCATATTCATCCATAATTTAACACAACTCAGTGGAGTTACATTTGCTCCACTAAAAAGTGCAGGATTTGTGAGCAGTGCACTTGCTGCCATTACTCCATTACATTTTAATGTATCATATAAATTGTCTGCATCAGACAATGATTTAATTCCACCATTTGCAATCAATGGTATTTTAACAGACTGACAAACTTGATGCAGGGCATCTGTGTCAATGTTATCACTACTCTTTTGTTGTGGTGTTCTACCATGTACTGTCATAAAAGTAAGTCCACATTTTTCCAATTGCTGACATAGGTCAATAGTCCTTTTTAATTCTTTTAATATTCTTATTTTTACAGACACACTAAAATCATTCGGAAGACAGTTTTTTATACCTTTAACTAAGTCATAAATTGTCTGCATATTGGATAATAAAGCACACCCATAGCCATCTTTCATAGCCCATTTTTGAGGACAACCACAGTTCAAGTCAACACCATCAACATATGGATACACTAATTGTGAGGCATCCACAAAATCATTTGTAGTATTAGCAGCAAATTGTGCAATCAAAGGACTATCATTGACTGTTGTGGAGAACTCACTCATCCGGGCTTTAGCATTTTGACAAAATGAGTCTGCCAAAATCATAGGTGTAAAAGTTAAGTCGACACCATAACTGAAATAAAAAAATAATAGTTTTGCAAATTAGAAGTACCTAGGTAATTTCAAACAATAGATATAGTACTAAAACAAAACAAATCTACACATGCTAAAATATCACTACTTTATTTTCAAAGTAAAATCTTTTTTTATGGAACTTAGAATAACGAACAATCCACAGCCCACCTGATTCTAAGTGATAACTGTCACCTGCAGACATGAGCAGTACCATATGGACATAACAGAGTATACTGTTCTGCTTATGATGCCCCCATACGTTGTCATTCTTGAGGACTAAGGTATTTTTTTTAATGCATGATAATGGAATGGCAACCATGCTCACACTAACGGTACACGATAGTGGGGCACCAGTGAGGGATGACAGGGGAGAATAAAAAAAAAGTAGGTCCATATTGATAAATACACCTGAGATACAAAATGATGGTATCCAGGAGGGACCACAGGGAAATCAACCTGACAAGGCATATTACTAGCAATGGGACTAGTAGTCTGCATTAATACCAATTCTTTCTCCCCCCAACTAAGGTGTTATATCTCTGTACTCTGTAAATTCACTGCCAGCTATGGTTTATTGTTATCTTTTTATATATATCATTTATTCAATTTTAAATTAGTTGGTAATCCTATTAATCTATTCCACTAAGCATGTAATTCTTAGGTGAAATAGGTAATAATTTATTAAAAATTCAAAGTTTGTGTTCATAAAACTCTTAAATAGTCCTGATCCTAGGGGATTGTTAATAATGTGATCTAACAGATCTGTTGCTAGCAATATAACCTATCAGGTCTACCTTTATGCGGTTCTACTGGAAAACATTGTGATTACGAGTATACACTAATTTATTAATTCTTGTGAAATTCATAACAATGAACTAACAGAAGTGCTTTCATCCTCACCCGTTATCTCTCAATACTATTGTCAGTGTATACCGATAGCGGTAGCGGGATTACTATTCCATTTTAAACGATCAAAAAACTCTCAACTCAAAGTAAAAAAAAGAGAGAGTATTTTATGTAGAGTATTTTACGAACGTATAACGCATTCTAATTAATAATAATCACGGTTATAAAAATTATAATGATTATGATGAAAGCTTGATCGGCAGTAACCATGTATTTAAAATTAATATAATCACAAAACTATTCTAATAAGTTACTAACTTCTTCACCAGTGTTCTAAAATGAAGTTTGCTATATCTAACCATAGGTGCAGATACTTTTACATATGTCTGATTAGTTCGAGACTTTTCAAATAAATTTAAAACATTCAATTTATTTTTCGTGGTCATAACTTTATAAGGCTAAAAAGTATATAAAGAAGGAATGGATAAAGATATATTTTAGAATGCAATAGAATGAAAACAATTCGCAAAGTATATAAACAGATTAAAAAGAAACACAGATTAAAAAGATACACTATACACAGATTAAAGAGACTACGTATATTGCAAAAATGTCAACTATATTCTAGTCAGCCTGCGCCACTTCGAAGATTTTTTTTTGTATATGTTATAGTTAAAAATGGTAACATATTAATAATATGTTATCATTTTTAACTAATAATTATTTATTTATTTATTTATTATTGCATTCCATAATAATTAATTAATACATAATACATAATTAGTACATAAGGTTTCAATTATGGACCCTGTTGAGCACAGCAAGTAGGAGAGAGGAGGACAACACTTTTTTCACTTTCGAAATAGTGTATCACGATATGTACGTATTTTGGGGGGAAAGGGATTGTTAGTAATGGGGTCTGATTTCCCTATAACTAGCAATATACCTTATCAGGTCGACCTTCGCGTGGTTCCCCCTGGAAATTATCGTGATTAATTCTGGTGGAATTCGTCACGATTGGCTAACTGACCTGCTTTTTCATCGTCACCTATCATCCGTCACTGATGCCTCGCCAGCGTATACCGGTAGCGCGGGCGGGGCTACCATTCCATTATCACACATTAAAAAAAAAAAGTACGTATTTTCTTCATATTATTATTCATTATTTAAGTATTAGTGTGTATCTACGGTACAATTATTATGTATTTTAGCAAATAACCAGTTAAAAACAAAGTTCTTGCTTTATCCACGAAGTTACAGAGGGGTCAAAAGTGCGATAAGCCGCTTCGAGAAAAGGATGGGCCGGCTGAGGTCGCCTTGTCAGGGGTATGGTTGTGCTCCTTGATTCTATGGTAATCCTTCATAATAATAAAAAAAGACCGTTTTATTCCGGATAACTCACAATCTCCATCAGAAAGTATATTATTTGAATCAAATTGTCTTAACTCAAACATCGACTGCACTAATATCACAAAATCTCAGAATGAAACTATGAATATTGTCATATTAGCCATTGTCTTGATATGATATAACAAACTAATAGAGAGATACCAAATTTTAACTCGTAAACAATTTGATGCACTAGTTTTTGTGTGATGCCGGACAAACATACAAACAAAATTTCTAAAAATTATTATTTTTGCATCTATTAGTCTTATAATAGTTTTTTTAAATATATATATCTGTGTGTAATATGTATATATATGTCAATATATTTTTACCCATACTACCCAAGGTTTTGGTTTTTAATTTTACGACCGGTCGCCTGTCTGACGTCATCCATCTGGGGATAATATAACAATAATAATAATTTATAGTCATTGTTTGATAGACATTTATAGACTTTAATTAAGACGAATCTAACGACATGTTATTTATAAGAATCCAACAAGTTAAGTGAAAAATATCACATTAATAAATTAAAATAATACAAGTATCAAAACTCTTTCAAATGTAATCCATACCTAATTCGGCTACACGTTTATTTGCGATTGCGTATGTGTGTTACACACACATGTGCAAATTAATGCGCTTTTGGCAAATTTGAGCGACATAATTTTGTAATAGGCCTCTTAAATATATATATATCCGTCAGTATTCTACGACTATGACGATATAATCATCATAGTCATTGACAAATAATTGACATATCAAACATTTTCTATACACTAAACTGCTATATATTGAGAGAAATAGCAACTGATGGTGTATCTTTCGTCCTCTTTTTACTTATTATATTTGCATAAGAAAGGAGGCAACTATATGAATTAGTTTTTATTTTATCATTCCTTCTATGTAATTTCTTGTTCTTAGTGTCATCCTATGTCTAAGATATAGTCTTTCTCATCTGTGACTGTGTCACTTAAAAGTCTAACCAAAAATACAACACACAGAGCAGTTGATTATCGTTCTGTATCTTTTTCTCTAAATGTAATAAACCGACGAATAACCAATAAACATATAATTTAATTATAAGATTTTCCAATTTGGAAATGTCCTCAACCAAAGTAGATATTGGGTTTTTGGAGGAGAAAAGTAGTTGGCTTTTACATCCTCGATTTTTTCCCAGCAAAGTTGGAGGTACACCCGCATGGTTAGATCTGCAAAACTTACCATTACCAACAGAACTAACCTGTAAAGTATGTAGTGACCCATTAATATTTTTATGCCAGGTAAGTATCTACTGTTAAAGTTAATAACTTACTAAAATATTATGGTTATGAGTAAAAATTCTATTAGAGTTAAAATCTTTCAGATCTATGCACCTTATGAAGAATCAAGTGATTGTTTCCATCGAACTATATTTATTTTTATCTGTAGAAATGGTTCCTGTTGTAAAACAAATTCCACGGACAATATCTTAGTCTTGCGTTGTCAACTTCCTCGTAAAAATATGTTCTATTTATATGAACCTTATCAAGAGGATGAAAATGAGGTTTGTCCGAGTATTTAATTTGATAAATGATTAGGCACCTTAAGGGGATTTTCTTTTGTATGTGTATATCTGATTGCTAATTGTATTAGTATTATAGTTTCATTCTCACTCAATTATTACCCATGTTCTTATCACAACCAAAGACTACCTTTCATAAATACCTTAGCTTCTTTTTAAGTATCTAAGTAACAAATACAAAGAAAGGAAAAGTGATATTTTATTGTTCATAAGTACACATTATATTTTAATGTAATAATTACTAATTTATTTATATATGTATTTTAGTTGAAAAAGCGTAATTAGTATAATAATAGTGATAATATGACAGCTAATTGAATAAATTTGGTATGAAATTCTTATGTTCAAAACTAATGGATGACCATGAAAAAATCTGTAGTACTGAGTTAATTTCCACTTGTGTATCTTTACTTATAGCATGTGCTCTAACTAAAATACGAAACAATTATCTGTATAATAGTAGTGGAAAAAACATAATAGGAAACACTAAAATATTCAATGGAAAATGATTATAACAATTGTTTATTTTTAACAACAGGAATTTCCTACAGATAAATGGGCCAAGTTTTGCAACATTTGTGGTGCAAAAGCTCCATCACATTGTTCAAAATGTAAAAAATCATATTATTGTGGTCGTAAACATCAGATTCTTGATTGGCAAAAAGGTCATAAAGAATTATGTCCAAAATCACAGGTAAGATAATATAAAAATAATTTTAATCTCAAAAAAAGGAGTGAAGATTTATAAACTTATAAATTTTTTAGTGTATATTTATAAGATTAGTAGGATATATATGTGTAAGTTTGTATCTTTATAAACTTAACATATTTATAATTACACATTCTAATAATTGGCCTTCATTAGAAAATCTCAATCATATCTACAAATAAATCTTCATTTATTAAGATGTATTAAATTGTTAATTAACAAAAAAAATTTAATATCAGTATAGCAACACACTAAATATGATGATACATCTGGTGGTAATCATTGCTCATAGATATGAACACCATGGACAATACATTAATGTGCATAGTATCTGCTCCCCCTCCCCTCTAAAAATTGTTATAATTGGGGATTAGTGTTACATTAAGATCTCTCTAATTAAGAGAATCATTAAAGTACCTTGATTATATTTTTTTCAGAACACAGTACTTAACAATTTTATTGTCACTGAAGCAGGAAAATCAATTTTATTCAAGGAATGGGAACTAGTGGTAGATGAAGAATCTGAGGTAAGTACCTATGTACACATTTTACAACCTCAAAAATCTCCTGCATTTTTATAGCTTCTTTCATAATTTTCAAAATAAAGTTTACATATTTGGATGGTTTATTATAATTCACATTTTTAGTTAATTAATTTATTATTATATATTAAATTAATAAACTGTACAATGCTGAATATAAGCCGCACCATTGAGGGGTCATATATCACCATGATATTGACTAAATGAACAAAGTTGATATTAAATTTTATTCCTGTTTATTCATTTTTCCTACATGATATATTAGTAAATAATGCTTAGGGTTTTTGAAACTGAACTCTTAACAAATTATCATCTACCATAAAAAGACTATTTTTCTGACATCTGTTGAAAGAATTGTATTCTAGAGAATAATTATTAAAATCATTATAAAAGGTACAAATCTCGCCAATAGATAAATAACTACCTTATTATATTAATACCTTTTAAATATACTATGTGATCAACACCAAGAAAAGATTCAAAATTAAATTTTCAAAAATGATGAACAGTATTAAATAAGTATACTTAATGAAAAAGACAATGTAAATTTACTACATTGACATGGAATTTGAAGTGCTTGTTTAAATTTAGGAAAGTTGAGACAAGTCTGTGGGAATTTTATAAAAAAATGGGTGAATATGGTAAGGTATGGTGACTTTGCCGGCGCTATATACGCTGGCGGGACACCAATGAGTGATGATAGGTGGCAATGAAAACAGGCCAGATGAATTCAATTAAAACATGTCCATGTTCATAGCTAAAAGCTTTACTCCTGATTTTAGGGTAGGCAATTACAACACTCTGTAACTTAACTATATATTTTATAGGAAGATTCTACTGACATTGATATGAATCAAGAAATGGAGAAACTAAATAAATTGCTGCAAGAAAAAAAAGCCGGAACATTAAATAATGTTAGTGAAGATGAATTACAACAGTACACAACAGCCGTACCGGTAGACAAAGTTTTTAAGAAATTTAGTAAAAGGGTATCTAGACATCCAGACCAAGTCCTGCGATATGAAAGGGGTGGAACTCCCTTATGGATAACAGGCAACAGTGACAATAGTATCATAAATATACCAAACTGTCAATATTGTAATGGACAAAGACAATTTGAATTTCAGGTAAGTTATTATAGCCACAGTAAATACAAAGAACTAGTTACTTCTTGTACAGTAGTTTCAGAAAGGGACTATGTAGGCCCCTTATACCTGAATACCTTATACTAAACTGCCATTAATTCGTTCAGTACATGTTAAAGGTCAACACACGCATTAATGCTTTTCTATTGTAAAATAGTTAAATTTTAACTACTTGATTATTTTCGGTCAGTGAAATTAGTTTTTATATTGTATTATATGAATAGTAATATTACTAAACTTAGATCGACCTGTCAAAACGTGACCAAACTTGCCCAAAATTACGTAACTGGATTCAAAAAGTCGACTCAAACTCATTTCGACTTAATTTAATAATTGACCAAATTTCAAAAGTCCAACGTGACTAAATTTGACCAAAATCATTTAAGTCGCGTCGCGTCGATTTAGAATAATTTTGCCGTGTTGAATTTACCCAAGTTTGGATTAATTTCGCTAAATTTGATCAAAATAGAGTTTAATATGTTTAAGCGAGTTTAATTTCCCCCCTTGGATTTTAATATGGATAAACAATTTCATTTTTATGTTGTACAATTTTAAATATTACAAAAATCCATATTACCAGATTGAATGCAATATTTTTTCATTCAAAATTATTCAGAAATGATATTCATATCTAACATATGAAAATAGGAATACCCAAAAAAAATGGAAATGCACCATAACCATGTAATTCACGATAATTAGTTTTGAGGCCACGTAATGCATTTGAAATTATACCATACGCAGGACGCGTTATAGATACACCTACACAGCCGATTCCACGTTGCGGTAGGATTTTGATACATATGTTACATTGCTGGTTTTTGATATTTTACAGTATTATACTATAAAATATTATTTCTTTATATTATGACATAATACAGTTTAACCGATTTAAATGCGGTTTTCACTAATGCATTACGGTTTGCTCCACTTAACATTTAGTGTTTATTTCAATCGGTTCATAAATAAAAAACTATATCAATCTAAAGAATCACATGAAATGCAAAAAATAACCGATCAGTTGAATTGGTTGAAACCATATGAAGGGTATTTTTTTTTTTTGGTAGAAAATGGAATAGTAACCTCACCTGCGCTAACGGGGCACCAGTTAAGGGTGATCGATGAGGATGAAAACAGGCCAGTTAGCCCATCATAATGAATTCATCAGGAATTAATCATGATAGTTTCCAGGGGGAACCACGAGAAGGTCGACCAGGTTGGGTATATTGCTAGCAATGGGATTCTCAATCTCCATTACTAACAATCCCTTTCCCCCAAATATGAAGGGCATTAGGTATGTAATTGTCATTTAAGTATATAATACAATATAAGACCGAATTCATAAAGGGTTCCAATTGGAATGATATATGGGAAGTGTATATTTAGAAGCAGGCAATGCCGCGGGAAACAATATATATATATAACTCCCATTTTCGCCCATTCTCATAGTATGTTAACTGTACCCCCTTTAAAACTGCTTTCCATAGAAACAAATATATAATAGACTATTCTTAATACTTTCAGGTAATGCCACAACTTCTAAATTTCATTAATGTTGGTATAGATATTAACAGCATAGACTGGGGTGTGCTTGTTGTATATACCTGTAAAAGAAGTTGTAATGATGGTCCAGCATACAAGAAAGAGTTTATTTTAAAACAAGACTTATTAAATTAAACTATAAATATACTTATTAAAATGTACTAACAAATTAATTCATTATTTTATTTGTCGTCAACAGATTTTTTTCCATATTCTTCTGATAAATATGTTAATAAATCATTCAATCCACTGAATTCAGTTCTTGACTGTGGTGGATTATTCTTTGGAAGAACTGGTAATATATTACCCATTCTTATTCTAAAATCTTTTAACTGAAAAAATAAAACATTTACTATTAAAGTACATAAATTTTTATCACTTCATAATAGATTGCTATTAATGGTTAAAATAATTATAAAATGAAGCACAATCGCTTAATCATTAGAAATAATTAATGCATTTTTCTTTATAAAATGACTACATTTGCAATCAAATGTGGCAATAAATGAAACTAATGTTTCTAAATATCAAACAATTTCTGGCTATTATAAGCTATTTGCAGATATTTGGACATATAATAACAAAATCATAATTGCCTTTTATATGTGTGGTTAATTTAGAATTAAGATAACAATAAATTTTAGTATTGTAATTATTACCCATTTATTACAATTTTGTTTTTGACTCCAAAATATTTTTAATAACTCTTGTATTTTATGGTTTTTAAGATATTGTTTAAAACTGCAATGTTCATACAAAATCCTCAAATAGGAACAATTGTATTCATCAGTTTCTTTTTTTTTTTTTTAGACAGATAACCTCTCAGTGCCTCTATCCTTTTAGGAACATATTTTTTAAATATTTTTGAGATTATTAAAAATCTCAAAAATATTAAAAAAAAATGTTTATATCTCATTCATACACAACTACTAGATTTCATTAAGATAAAAACATATTACAAATTCAATTACATTGGTTGCACCAGAGAGTTTCCATATTCCATAACATAAACAAGAAGTTCCAGTTATAGCATAAAGTGTACCCCAACCTAGAGCTCTTAATGCTAATATTGCACCTGCATCAGCTAATTCTGCACTGCTGTGTAACCCTGGAAAATTATGAAGAATAATTAAATACTTTAGTGAATACAGACAGATACATCAACCTTAGGTTAGACTGATGACTAAGAAAAACAAATATACATAAAAAAATATATATTACTGGCAGTTAGGGTTGCCAACCTTTCCAGATTGCCCAGGAGGCTCCAATAATAATGGTTAACTTTCAGGAGTGCAATCATTTCTCAAATTTTTCTAAAAATTAAATGCCTCTGTTGCTCACACATTGCTACTCACTCGCTTTATGGTCTCTAATGCATCATGTGAACGCGTATTCAAAATGATGAACCAAGAAAATAAACTGAATGAGTATTTCTTTAGTAAAAGCAGAATTACTAGAACTTTGATTTTTTTCATATAAAACCTTTTATGATTTTGTGTTGAAAAATTGACAAATATTAGATGCTCCTCGAAAACAAAATAAATATATATTTAAAAATTAATTCTAGATTTTCTTTTAGTAAAATCTATAAAATTATCTGGTGACTTGTAACACAGGTTCTTCTAAACCTACCGCAAGCACCAGTCTCTCACAAAATTGGTCTTCATATCAAGTTGGCACTTTATTCTACCTTTTGTGAAGAGAAAATAAACTATTCATTCATTCATTCAATTCCTTAACATTATTTTCCAGAGTTGGTCCTTTTGATATTTTTTTTATGGGTGAAAATGGTATGGTAACAGTAACTCCGCCTGCGCTAATGGGATATGATGGCGAAGCACCAGTGAAGGGTGATAGATGAGAATGAAAACAGGCCCATCATGATAAATTCATCAGGAATTAACCATGATAGTTTCCAGGGGGAATCACGAGGAGGTCGACCTGGTTGAGTATATGGCTAGCAATAGGATTCTCAGTCTCCATTACTAACAATCCCTTTCCCCTCTCCTTTCAGTAGTTGGCAATCCTATTGGAAGTACTTTTTTTTAATGGATGATAATGGAGCAGATACTCTGTCAGGGCACCAGTAAGGGATGATAGGTGCGAATGAAAAGGCAGGTCAGTTAGCCTATTGTGAAGAATACATTTGAAATGTAAGACAATGGTTTCCAGGGGGAACCGCATGGAGGTCGAGCTGGAAGGATATATTTCTAACAATGTGACTGGTAGTCCACATTACTAACAATCTCTTCTCCCCTACTAGTGTATTCATAGTAATACTGAATAAACAAGTTAATAACTCACTTTATAAACAATATAGCAGGCTGTTATGTATATACATGGTGAAATTAAAATTATCAACAATATATAAATTTAAGAGTACCCATGCCATATGAGGACAGAAATTTTGTGAATCAAAAATTTTTGTACATTCCATATAGCTAAATATTGAATCACACTGCTAATGCTGAAATTGGCATTATTAAATATTTGATTCAAGAAATTGTTTCCTGTAAAGGAGCTTTTCAAAATACAAACATGATGAAATTCTGAGCATCTAACTTTTTTTAACTTAATTTTGCTAATTATATAGGTAATAATAATGCATAAAAAACAACAGTGAATAATAAATTGTTTTTAAATCTAGGAAAAAGGATATCATATTTCTGTTATTATGGTGTAAAGAATTTACCTTTACTGAAATATTTAGGGTCAGTTTTTTTCGCTGCAGCTAAAGTAGCGCTAAAACCAATAAATGCTGATATACCAGCAACAGTTGCTAGAAATACTCCACCTAGAAATAACAATTTTCTATTATTCATCGAATTATAAAATAACCTGCATACGAATAATGTGGCCAACAACGTGATTAACACCTGTAATTATTATATACGTAACCTATGACTATCATAATTTTTTACCTTTTATTCTTTGAAAACGTTGTTCATTCTCCATACTTGAGACTTTTAAAATATAATTTGTATAATATTATACCAGTGTTACCTTTTTAGTCAATGAAAAATGGAAACTAATTTAAAAATAGGAGTAATCTATTTAAAATATAGAATTTTATAACATTTCTGTCAAAATCAGTCGTACCCTTCCTTTTATAAAATGTAATAATTAGTTGTTTGGAGTGTAATAACACTCCAAACAACTAATTAGTAAAAATAATTGTTTTCTTAGCTCTGCACATCAGCAGATAGTTCTCTATTATTTCCATTCACTTCACCGGTTAATTATTTTGTTTGTAACAGTCAGAAATATGTAGATTAGAGCAAAATAAATGTTAAAGTATATTATGTAAATATGTTCAGTATGATAGAAATTAGTTTTTTTTTTTCTGTTTTCGTCACAGACATATTGTCTATGGTTTTCTCATCAACAGCCATATACAAGGACTAACGATACATGAGAAGATTCATGGTATTAAATTAAGAATGTCTATGGAATTTTCTCATCAACAGTCAATGATAAAATTGATAATTCTAACGCTATATATAGAAAATGTTAATCTTCATGGTATTAAATTAAGAACAATAAACTGTGAATATATAATCTAATAAAAGGAATGATAAAATTGACAATTCTTAGTAGGCTAGTATATAGAAAATTTTATGTAATTCCTTATTCTTAGGCTAAACCTTAGACGATATTAACGATGCACGACTTTACTACCCGACTACTAATTTTTCGACTTAGTGAACCGTTCGGATTTTTCAATTGATTTTTAAATCATTCGCGTACAATTTTTATTCAACTGACTACTAATGTCAGACAACTATTAATGTTGTTCGACTTCTAATATAATTCATTAGTAGTCGTTGATGTACGAATCGACACCAACCTCGTTAGAATGATTTAATTTTTTAATGAATAAGAGTGTTGCCAATTGATATGTTGTAAAAATAACCAAATTTCCGATAAAAGAAAGTACAGTTTTATTTAATTGCGAAAGTATAACAACATGTAGGCATTATTAAATTGATATATCAGTACCCAGTGTTTTTTTACTACCTGGTGGTGGTTTTATCTAAAATAATAACATTAGTAATTACTAATTATTCGAATAACAAAATCATTCGGATTTGCGTATCGCTAGACGGTATACTAAGTCTATCTCTAAGAAGAAATTATCCAGATTTCGGAATAACTATGCGTTAAACGATTTTTTTTTATTAATATGTTTTACGGCTCTGGATACAAGTCCTTTTGAGCCCGAACGAATTAGTAAAGTAGTCAGGGTTGCCAGCAGCGATTTGTATTTTTACGAAAAGTCAAATATATTTTTTCCATATCGATAAGATTTCCTAATTTTTACCGTATCACAAAGTCGTATCACTTATTTTTACTATGTATTTTATTTTATTTTTTGCTATGCAATTTATGTGCCACAGTTAAAGTTCTGTTCAGTTATAAAAATAAAAAAAAAATGTTACAACCCAATTTTAATCTACTCTTTGAATAGTCGAGCACTACGAATAGGCGTTTGAATGTAACGAAGTGGACCGATAGTTTTAAAGTAATTTTTGATTTTTTCGTGGTCACCCTGGTGATAAGAGTATTCCGTCCCTACATCATATCAGTGTATCTCGACTCCTACCGAATAAACAACTATGTTAGGCTATCTATGTAGATAATCTTAAACTATGTAGATATTAACTGTATACATATAAACGTAGGTAGATATATACATCCACGTATAAAATTTGTCGTTTTAGGCAATCTAAACATACCTACGTAACTACTACTTTTAACTTGTAATAAATATATTGTAAATATTATAATCAAATAATATTTACCTAGTGATGAAGTCCTCAGAAATGGCAATGCATGGGGTATCATAAGCGAAATAGTATACTCTGTTATGTCCATGGTACTGCTCGTAGGTATCTATAGACGACAGTTTTTTTTTATAGGTGAAAATGTCATGGCAACCCCGCCTGCGCTAGCGGGATACGCTGGCGGAGCACCAGTGAAGGGTCATAGATGAGAATGAAAACAGGCCAGTTAGCCTATCATGATGAATTCATCAGGAATTGACCATGATAGTTTCCAGGGAAAACTGCGAGGAGATCGACCTGGTTGGGTATATTGCTAGCAATGGGATTCTCAGTCTCCATTACTAACAATCCCTTTCCCCCTATAGGCGACAGTTGCCACTGTCCATCAAATACGCCGTCAGCTTGTTTGCCATTCTAAGTTGCATGCAAAAACTCATGATGTATCACATGAAATTTATGCTACTAGAGGATCTCCACAGGATGTCTTATCGCCTTTTCTGTGGCTTCTAACAGTAGATCAACTCTTAGAACGAATAACTGATGACCACATCGAAGTGCACGGTTATGATGTATCACATGAAATTTATGCTACTAGAGGATCCCCACAGGATGTCTTATCGCCTCTTCTGTGGCTTCTAACAGTATATCAACTCTTAGAACGAATAACTGATGACCACATCGAAGTGCTCGGTTATGCAGATGACCTTGTAATCATGGTTAGAGGTTTTTGTAATTACAATAACAGAACGTATCCAAAGTGCTCTTAAAATCATAATAAAATGGAGTAACCAATTATTAGTAAATCCTAATAAACAGTAATCATCCAATTTACTAAAAGGAAGAAAATAGAAAAACTAATACGCCTACAATAAATGAGAAAATTATCAACTTCTTTAAAGAAGTCAAGCGTTTTGAATAATGTTCAATTCATAAGTCATAACTGGCAACACGCGATTGTTAAAGACTTTGCCCTCAAATTTTGAGATTTTCCAGATGAGAAGGTGCGGCGTAGTTTCCTGAACGCTGTTCAGCCGAGTCGGATTCGTTAGTTGGCCTCTCGGTCAAAGTTAGACTTACCTAGTCGGACAAGTTGTATACATACATTGTAGTGTTTTCAATCATAACCGGAATAGGTGTGACATGGATGTTGGACATGATTTTAGCCTTTTTTTTAAATGAATGATAATGGAATAGTAACCCCGCCTGCGATAACGGTATACGCCGACACCAGTGAGAGATGATAGGTGACAATGAAAAGGCATCAGCTAGCCTATCGTGATTTCACGATAAACCGCGAGGAAGTCGTCCTGACAGGGTGTATTGCTAACAATGGGGCTAACTAATCCCCATATTTAACAATCCATTTTTCCCCTGATTTTAGCCTTGTCCATGTTCATATTAAGACCTACCTGTTGAGAAGCACTATTAAGTTCATTGATCTTAAATACTATATTCAAGTTCTCCAGGGATTCCGCCATGATTAGTATATCATGCGAGTGATGTATCCGCCATTGATGTTTATACCATAACTTTTCCACTCCAGGAGTTTGAAAACACCTTTCAGAACAGCTGTGAAGTTTCGAAGATATGACGTCTCCTTGTCTAATACACCACTCTGCACTAAGATAGGTATCGTACTCTGGTTCGTACGATAGCCTTACTATACATATACTTAAACACTTCAATATACCTATAGTTAATCTGGCACCGCTGGAGGGACTGTAGTATCGCCCATATCTCGACCGAATCAAAGGCTTTCTAATAGTCCACAAACTTTTGACATAGTGCCTTAAGTAAAATTTGTCGTAGCGTATGTATGTGATATATGGTACCAAAACTCTTTCGGAAACCAGTTTGTTCGGGTGGCTGGAAGTCATCGAGTTTGCGCGTAAGAGCGGAATTCTCGAAAACATTACGTAAACGCGATTCATGAGGAACATCGATCTATACTTCTTCAATTGTCACTTTTCATAAATAAAAGGCTGTAATTCTGTCTTCCCCAGTGCCTTGCCGTTTTAAGTTATTTGAGAGCCATTTTAATCTCCTGCAAACTGAGATCTGGTATATTACGGTATAGTGTCGGGTGACTTTAGCTTCTGCGGTCGATGCGATGTTAACGATGCGTCGTTAACATAGCATCATACAAATGATACATCGCCATTTCACATCATACAAATGATGTTGACAAAACCAGTTACTTTTATTTAAAAACCAAATTACCGAATCGATTTTAATAAAATTTTAATGTGACTATATTCTTTCAGATAGAAAAAATAAAATTCCATATTGATTCATAAATGACGGACTAACAGGTACGGAAGTAACAAAAATAAAAAAATAACTACTATATGTATATCATATATTGTATAAAACCAGTAAAATGTTTGGTTTCTAAAAATGCAATTTATTAACGGGATTATTATATATGTACAATTTATTAGATGTGTATTGAAATAAATATTGTTAATTTTAAAGATTACTATTCCTTACTAATAATATAAATGTTGGGGGGAAAGGTATTGTTAGTAATGTGGTCTAATAGCCCCATTGCTAGCAATATACTCTCTCAGGTCGACCTCCACGCGGTTCCCTCTGGATCATGGTTAATTCTTATCGAAGTCATCATGGTGGGCCAACTGACCTGCATTACTATCGTGGATATTTTTAACGGATTTTTTTACAATGGGCTGACCCGCTTTCACCCTCACCTATCACCTCTCACTGGTGCCCCGCCAGCGTATACCGATAGCAAAGGCGGGGTTACCAATCCATTTTCACCTATTAAAAAAAACTGACCTGAATTTATTCTCACCAATTATCTTCCACTGATGCCTCGTCGGTGTATACCGATAACGCGGCCGGTGTAACCATTCACTTTTTACCAATTAAAAAAATATATATACTTGTGAAATATGCTTATAGCGCCTAAACAAGTCAAATAATTGCTATGAAATTTGGTATACACGTACTGTATGGGATTGAAAAGGATACAGGCTACTGTTAATCCAGGTCATGCGAACAAAGCCGCTGGTAAAAGCTAGTTGTTAAAGTAAATAAAAATAACCGTTTTGAATTAGTATTAATAAATCACGGAATGACAGAATGTGTCTTGTGTAACACTGTTACATGCCCACACAAGTGTAATTACTTACCTTTCGTTTTTTATGATTGCATTTCCAATATTCTATATTTAGATATCCGTGATAACACCAGTAATGAATAATATAAATTATAGATTAACAATCGTACCTATGGCACGAACAAACATTTTACGTCTATTTTAAGTTTTATAATTTATTATTTGATAGAGATATAAACTATTATTATTTCAGCCGTTAAGTGTCAACTGCTGAACATAAAGAGTTTTGCCAGTAGTTGCCACGCTTGGGAGACGGGTTGGCAACCGCAGTTAGGCTTTTAGAGATATTTGAAGAAAGACGCTGCTGCCCATCCCTCACCCCCCCTTAGTCGACTCTTGCGACACCTACGAGAAGGGGTGGCCTATTCTATGCTGGGACCACACGCTGATAGGTATAGAATAAGATAAAGAAAGAGAAGAATGCAAACAAATTATTGCGGAATAAGAGACATAATGATATTACATGTTACATTCAAGATTAAATTAAACATGGACTAATGGACTATGCAATGCAAAGACCAAAAGTTTAATAAGTTTATTTTATTTCTTTGTCTAGCGACTTATCATAACTTGTAATTAACTAAAAAGTAACAAAAGAACAAGCTATTCACAAATTAAATTTACATTACAAAATAGTATAGTAAATACACATGTTTAAATATCTAATATTTACAAGTCCATGAAATAACTATACACTTTCATTTAATTAATAATAATTTAATAGACATGGTACATACTTGGACAGGCAGTTCAACACTCATTCCTTTTAAACTTTTTACTTGATTCATTCATAACATCTTCAAATTTATTTACTCTCCTCGTTTTGAGGAATGAATTATTATCACTTTCACTTACATTCTGTCGAATACAGTTCAAACTGGATACATTTTGATTATGTACACCATGTTTTTTATCACCCAAAGTTTTATTATTCTTATTAACTATTAAAGTATTTTGAATGTCTTTAACAACATCACTAGTAGTATGAAGCTTTATAGGTATTAGTATTTGATTTTCATTATCAACTTTCTTGATAAAATCCTGTTTTATTTGGACCATAGATCTATTTTCCGCATCACTTGAAAGCCTAATTGTTTTCCTTAAATGTATAGTTTCCGAAGAATCAGAAAAATTTCTTTTCACCAGAATATCACCCGATGACATTTGCTTTACAAAAGTAAGTGTTGTTGGTCCTTCAGATTCTTTGCTATCTGACTTAAGTAATTTGCTCGAACTAGAATTACCTTTATCACCATCTGAGCCATCTTCTTGTTGATCCTCAGTTTCTATTAATTTACCTAAAATACAAAATATTATAAAGCAATTGAATTAAGATACTATATTTGTGTAATAAAAAATTCAAGACTATGACAAAATACCATTTAATGTAGGGAATGTTATGTCTGGTAAAGTCAAATGTGAATCTGGATTATATTTATTCATCAATAATTTCAATAAATTTGAAATTTCCTCTCGTTTCCGCGTGACAACAATCTCATCAAACCAGTTTGCTAACTGTTTAATAGGCAACGAGTAATCTATGATGGGATCCTGAAAAAAAATTATATGCCATTTAACATATGCATACACAAAATCATCATAATAACTAACACAGAATTATAAAATTACAGATTATAATGCAATTTTTTAATACTGGCAAATTAAAATAATAATAACTGTTCTTTATTAGGGCAACCTTTGGCCCTCTCTCTCTTTCGAACCTCACATGGTATAGCGTCCAAGTTTCTCACTCTCGTATAGTATAAGTTCATCTATTATTTATAGATATTTAAGTAAATAAGATATATTTATTATATATTTCAATAATATAATGTATCGTAGAATAGATTTCCAACAGTAGCAATCGTGGTAAGTCTGGCACCTAGCTCTTGATTTTAACTTAAGGATCTAAATGTACTATCTAATATCTACTATGTAATATCTGCCTACAGTGTAATAAAGAATCAAAATTAGATTGGCAAGTCTTTTTTTTATTCTTATATATTCCCTTTAGTAAAATATAAATTATCGATATAGTCCACTTTTAAAATACTTTGTTATCGCCATCAAAGAATTTCAAATAAGTTAAATTTGTTACCTTAAAAAACTGCTCAACATATTGCAATAAATATAAACCACAATCTGTGAAATTGTTCTGTTGTGGAATTTTTGGACAACTGCCTTTCATATTATCTTTGTTGAAGACTTTGTGTTGAGATACCTGTAATTAAATCAACATTTAATACTATATAATTACTATGATCATATTTCGAATTTAATACTATACAGCTATTTATATTTTATAAAGAATTTTTTTTTAATTATAGGTACAAATAGACTAATTATTACAAAGTAAATATTGTCAATAAAATATTTCTATGATAAGAACAATCTTTGCACATATTGAATTAAATCTGAATATTTTTTTCATTAATAGAGATTTATGTAATAATAATAAGCTATATGTTCAAGACCATAACAGCTACTGTTAGTAAAATTCTTTAATTTTAACAATAAAGATTTCCCAGTTTATAATTTTGTTCACGTATTAACACAAACTTACTTTGGCTTGGTATTCACAGGTAAGATAGTCACGTAATGTGGCCACCACCCGTGACCTAGATGCTCCAGCCAAAGAATCAAATATTAATATACACGGCCTGAAAAAAAGAATGAATTTACAATATTAAGTTAAAGAAATTGTTTATAAATTTATTATTTTTAATTTTAAATAAAAATGTAAAATCTCACTGTTTAATGGGTTCTGATTTTCCAACAGGTTGAATCTCAGGTTTCTTTTCAACTATACTTTTTTCTGCTTCTTCCTCGTCTGAATCACACTGCATATCTAAATCACTGTCCTGCAATGTTTCAAGATGTACCAAAATGTTACAATAAAATCTACTATTGTGAAGTCAAGATTTTTACACATTACATATAACACAAATTACACAAATATTTGTCATCATTACAATCTTTTCTCCATTCAAGTTTTACATTTATTTGATAGATAATTAAATAGCAATTTCACAAACAGATATTCTATCTTTACGCTAAGTCCCCTCAAGCAGGGTAGAATAAACTAATTTCCAAAATAAATGGACTATACATTTGTGCAACAGTGCAATTAATTATTACATGCAGGTTGCGTGAATTTTTTTTAATTGGATTCAAATAAAACTGTAGTTCAGAACAAAATTAATATTATTAATTTAAATAAATATTTTTTGTTTTTTTTAAATTAATAATATTTTTTTAGTTAGTTTAGAGTTTTTTGCCCGGGATAATGAAATGAATATATTTAATAGTTACAGCAATTATATAAGAAAAATCATAATAAATTATTCATTCAGTGATTTTAACAATGTTTAACTTGTGTTTGCACATTTATTAATTATCAAGACTGTAAATAAATCAATTTCCGTTAACTATATGTAGCAAGTTTTAATTAGCTTACTGTTGTCATATGTATTTTATTATTAAGTTATTATAGCTGTAAACTTCCTTCAAAAAAAAAAAAAAAAAAAATAGGCTACTTCGAGATGAGCAATAACAAAGTAAGCCTTCAAGAAAACAATAGTGAAAACAGCATACAGTATCTAAAAAATATTGTTTCGGCTTCTATTACTCTTATTAAGACTTTCCATATTAACTTTCCTAAAATATCTCCCATATACAAATATTGTCTACTTACAATTTTATTACATCAGTAAGTAGAAAAAAGATTTATAGTACTGTTCTCTATGCCCACCATACAAAAAAAAGTAATGTTAACATAGATTATTATTAAAAAATTACCTCTGCTTCAGCTTCATCACGTTCACTTAGATTATCAGAGTCACAATTTAATGTAAGCTGCTCCTGTTTTGTAAGTGGAGTTATAGTTGTGTTCCCTATTTGCATAGACGATCTACGTTCTGTAAAAATAAAATATACTATACATATATATTAAATTATACACTATACAAAATATAAATGGTTTAGTATATATATTCAGGCGTCGCACAACTGGGTGCTCTATATCTAGAGTATATTACAATTAGGTGTAATACAACCTACAATTTAATACTAATAGGCAGATTAGAAGGAAGGGATTGTTAGTAGTGAGAAAGTTATTCCCCATACATACTATAGACACCTGGCAGAGTACATTGTTAGCAACTGCTGACAATATATTCTGTCCGGTTTGTTTTCTATTATAATATAATAGACAAGTAGTTTTATAAGATGGAGGGCAAGTACGTAACATTTGAACCATAACAACTGTAGGCAAAACTGAACATAGTGTTTATAAAGTGTTAGTTATAGCAACTTTTACTATCACCAGGGGTGAGGATAACATAGACCTGTATTGACCCAGTTGAGAAACGAACCCGAAGCCTTTTTTATTAAAAATAAAAGTGTAAGCTAAATTTACATAAGACTATTTTGCAAGTGATATTGAATCACTGCAGTGATAGTACATAGTAATTATACCCATAAAAATAATGTTGTCATATCTGTAGGTAACATTATCACTTACTATCAGATCAGTAATCTGTTTAAAACTTTCAATAGTATAAATGTATATATTTGTTTATATCTTACCTCTTCGTTTAATTTCCTGAGGGCTTACGGTACGATTGTCAATCATACTTCGACATCCATCTACACTTGGAAAACAAATTATTGCCACAAACCAGTGGCAATTTTCATTAATAGGAACTACAATGTAGTCTTTATCGAAAATATTGACATTCTTTGTCCACGTCTTAACACGCGCATGCCGCTTCTGTGCAGGAGTCAAACTGTTATCCCATTCATGGGGATTAGAACTTTTGTTTACTTTACTAGGTTTTGTTGTTAGTCTTTTATAAAAAAATGTGCTAAAGATATGAGTGCTTTCTCTCTGACTGTGAGTTAACACATCATGAACTAAATATTTTAGGTAAAAATCAATTATAACATCATTTAGAAACTGGTCTTGTGCCAAGCACATGTAATCCTCAGTATTTATGGGTATACCACCTTTTCCTGGTGGATAAATTAGTATTTGTCTTATCTCAGCTGGGTTCGAACTAAAAATAAGAAAAATTTAAGTTACAAGATAATACAGCTCACATTAAAATGTCATGAAAATATATTCAAGTATAAATACCTTTTCGCTCCAGAAGCGCTGGAAGCACTTAGTGATCTAGTAGTCATTTTTGTGACATTATTACTCTCTTTGGGGCATGTCCTTACTAATATATCGTTAGCCTCCCGAGCATTCAGTTCGTCCATCAGTTTACCAAACAATGTTTTAAATGTTGCCTTAGCTTCTTCCGATATTGATTCAGGTAATAATGTTATCCTTTTATAAGGATCAATTTTTGACATTGGATTATAATAGGGACCTAAACAAGATTTATTTAATTATTTCCTTGTCACAATATCTTTACAGGATAGATCTCAAGTTAACAAAGCACAACAAACAATATTGGTTTAGATTTTAGAATAACATTAATTAATATATTATGGTAAATATTTTCTTTATAACTAATTATTCTTTACTTTAAAGAAATAAATAAGTATAAAAAAGAGAAAACTGTATTAAGGTATACAAACCAGAGTCTTCAGTCATATCTAATGCTTTTCTTATATAAATTCCACATTTGCTCATTGTATATAAAAAAATCACTGGTAATCCTTTTCCAAAATGTACTAATATTCTAACAACTTCTTTTAATTGTATTTGAAGTGCTACATCTTTGGATTCATTCTTTAAAGAGGGTGCAACAATTTTAACACCTTTTGATGATATGTATACCTGAAATAAATATTTATTATCAAAAACTATTACACACACAGTTACAAATATTTTTACATACAGATCAGTATGCAGTGTTCATTTACAATAAAGTTGTTTAGATAGTTATTATACAACACAACATTGACCTGAATTTCAAATTATTGCTTTAACCTCCTGAGGTCAGAAGTCCTATTACTAGAACAAAATCACATTGTTGTAAACGACCAATTTTTAAAATAGCAATTTGGGGTCAACACCCACTGTACTAATACTAGAACAAAATATTTTCCGTCATCTGCCGCGTTTGAATTACGTGCCACGTTGTGTATTCGATGTCGTTTAGTTTGTAAATAATATATTTGGCATTGTGGCAGTGCACTGCTTTCAATGGACAGAGAATTTTTTTTTGTTCTTCTGTCATTCTAAGTCGAAGCGATGGCAAGTACAACGATAAAAGGTTTGTTTAATTCATTTATATCTTTTAAATCTTTATTCTTTCTTTATTCTTTATTGTACACAAAACATACTGGTAATTACAATTCATTATAAACATAATGTACAAAGGCGAGCTTATCTCTAATAAGAGATTTTTCTTATATCTTATATATAAGATCTTTGTGTTATATTTACGAGATTTTGTTTTTTTATCGGGACAAAGGGATGCAATTTATATAAACACTATTATTTTATCGTAATTTTGTCAATATAAATATGCTTTTTTGGTGATTATTTTTTTTTTTACTAATACTAGCACAATGTTAATACTAGTACGGCGGGCATTTATACCTTTAAATATCTTCCTTCTAGTTAGTCTACGCGATTGTGCTGACACAGTTTTCCCTTTCACAGATAGTCAAATATTAGAGATACTACATCAATCAGATTTCGAAGACCGACGAGGGAGATCCTTTTACAGGAGAGGATACTGGCAATGAGTACGTTCCAGATAGGAATGATGCAAGCGAAACCAGTATTAGCTCAGAAAGAAAGAGTCTAAGAGCCCACCACCAATTCTGAAAAGTAGTCGAGGACGAGATCGATCGCGCATGCGAGCCCGTGGTCATGCACATTACAGCAGAAGATGTGAGAGCACTCCGCAAATTACTAGTGCTCGCGGTGGCAATAATTCAGATAATCAGTTTACATGGGCTGTAAAGAATTTCACAAAAAACTTTCCTATGCTTTCTGAGCCATCGTACTCGATACAAGACAGAACAAATTTTTCAAAATTAGACAATTTTACTCAATACTTTAATGATGAGCTAATAGATATGTTCGTAGATAAAACGAATCAAACAGCCATTTATAAAACAGGAAAGAGTCTGCTAATAACAAATGGCGAGTTAAGTTTTCATAGGCTTGTCCTTGATTATGGCATGTATTGGATACCCAGTAATAAGGATGTACTTATTGGGAATTGAATTATTTGTTATATCAGGTGTTTAAATTTCCATTTTCTATGGGACTTCAGGTTATATGTAGCATCCCAATGTGATAAATATAGAACAAAATATTTTGGAGTCTTTTTATTCTGTCGGGCAAGCCTAAATCAATATTAAAGTATCCCTAAAATATTACACCTATATCTGTTGTGGTTACCAAGATATGAACAATTTTTGGTCTGGGCATTTAGGACTTAATTAATTTGTTCTAATATTAGGACACTGGGTCTTCCTCGGATGTACTCACTTGGAAAACGGGCCGCAGGAGGTTAAACATATTCAAATAAAAAAATTAATCGTACATATAACTGCCAGAGATTGAAAAATGGAAATATTAGTAATGGACACTTAGCTTTCCCAATGCAACATTTTTGTCCATTTTAACTATAAGACAGACAGACTATTGTCATTTCTGAATATCATCATGCTTAATTCATCACAAAAGAGCAAACTGACTTGACCTCTTCACTGAGTATGCGTTATATTACACATGTACTTAAACTGATTAAAAAAGGGATAGAAATTGATGACATGGAGAAATCATATTACATACCTTTTCCTTTGGTGTATACCTATATGAACCAATTCGTATTGTTCGACAAGTGAGTGATGTAACAACACCTTGCTGAGCACTTTGATTAATTTCTTCTCTACTGCCATCTGAAACAAATACATATTTTATTTGACCTAAAATAGTCATATTAAGAATCCTAATGCTTTTTCACATGTTCTAGCTATTGGATAATTAATTGCATACCCAGTGGTAAAACTATATTTCATGATTCTCGTCATTCTGTAAAATTTTATATAAAAATATATCTATCAGTGTTGTTTCTGGAATAGTTCTACAAAAAAGGTATAGACAAAGAAGAGATACCAGATAAGTTTAATACTTTTGCAACAGGGATGAAATATCAGTGCACTCAAATAAATAACATTGGCAATAACCCATTAAGAGCGCAAAATAACTATGAAATGTAAAAAGTTTTAGAAACACTAGGATTATTTAGATTTCAAATCAATATCAAAGTCCACTAGAATTGTAAACAAAGTCCATAACATTCTATTAATGCAGATCACATTAATGGAATGTTATAAACTGTAAACAGTTTAGGAGAGAGTGGATCTCCTTGTCTTAACACCTCTGTTTATAGGAAATGAATCTCATTTTGTTTCTAATTTAATGCAACTTTTGGATCCTTTGTAGACAGATTTCATTATTTTGTATATAGGCCACATCTACTCCTTGTTCTTGTATACCCAGCCAAATAAATTTATGGCTGTCAAAAGCCTTGGAATAATAATTTGAAATGAGGCTTATTGGTCTATAGTTGCCTATGTTATATATTATATATACAGTGGATTTCATTTACATGTAGCAACCATTTGCCTATAGCAACATTAAATCTAAGTCCCCTGAATTTAAAGCATACTTTAGTATAAAATTCATGTGGCTATAGCGACTTTGGATGTAACACCGAGTTCGGGTGTACAGACTGTTTTCAATGAATAAAAAGTAACAAATATGTGATTTGCTCCATTGTTTTAAGATGGTATCAGTTGTTAAAATATCATTGAACAGCTTGGTTAGAAATGGGCTAATTTCTTCTAAAGAGCCTCTCATTATCTCATTAGCTATATTTAGTCAGGTTCTGGAGCTATTTCTAGCTATTATAAGGTCTATTTAGTTTAGGAGTTTTTTTTTTAAGACAGAATTGAGTAATATTATGTTGTTTTGTAGTAGAAGTTCAATTATTCTATAACTGTTATCACTGCTCTTTTCATATCCATATTTCCCCCAATATTGGTTCTTCACCTGCTTTTCTACAGCCAACCTTTATATTAATACCATCTATGACTATGAGGTAGTTACTGTGATTTTTTTTATAGAATCTGACAAAATAGATCAAAAGCTTTAGCTTTCAAATTTGGGTGCTTACTGTGGGTGAAAATACTTGTATGATTGTCTACGGTTTTTTGTATCTTGGCATATTGAATAAATGAGAGATATTGAATACTAGACTAGCAGTCTTTCCAAAATTCCTATCAGCTCAACTCTTGTATATAGTTTTTCAATGTTTTTCAGATTCAGAAGCCCACTCTTCTGTCCTGCTGATTCTCCTTTTTGGTATAATATGTAATTGTTGTCTTCCACTATCTTCTCTTCTAATGTTCTCATTACTCTTATGCCTAAGATGTAGTATTTTATGTGCTATAGTGCTTCATAGAATTCCAATAAGCTTTCTTCTTTCTTCAGGGTTCTTATATTAAGTTTTGCGATATTGTATGTATCACTTCTTTGAACTGTAGGATTTTGGTCTAGTGTTTCCGTTGGGACCAGCCAAGAGATAATTTGTTTGATGTTTTTGTATGTTATTATTTGTTTGTGTTTGTTTCTATGTACACATGTCTTAAATATTCACTCCATTAATATTAAATTTGTGTTATGTACACAAATTTAAACTTAGTACATAACATGCAAGTATATTAATGTATTGTTCAGGTAATCTATTCAAAACACGTGTACAAAGCCTGTTTCAATAATAAAGCCATTTAGTTAATAGTTACAAAAAGAAGAAAAAACTAAAGGCTTCTAACCTATAAATTATAAAAATATTTTTAAACATGATACAATGGGAACCGTAACATTATTTTTATTATGATTGGTCTGTTTTATTAAAAATTAAACATCGTAGGTAACATGTACCTAATGATAGAAACGCAGTTAGAACTAAATTTCTTATAGTATTAAAGAAAAATAAACAAATTTGCAAAATATGGAATAGCAAAAGCTTCTTAGAGCTTTCTTAAAATTTGTTTAATAAAAAAATATATTCCGTTTTAAGATGAAAGTGCCAAAAGTAGAATGACAAGTTAGGGGATGCAATTGTTTTATTGTACGAAAAACACAACGCCATAACAGATATTAATAAAAATAATAAATACCTTTGTTAGTATTTAATGTTTCCTTAAACATTTTGTTATTAAGAAGAAAATACTTTGTAAAGTATAAGAAAACTAAAATACTAGGGCGAGATGCATTGCGGACATTTGTATTTTGACACAGATTAAAAATCTCAAACCAAATTTCAAGGCAATGTACGTTCCGTTCCATACATACGATTCAGAAGATAAGAATATGATTCGATTAATCATTAAAAACGATAAATAATTAAATATAAACGATAAATAGATATTTTGAATTACAAATTATGTGAAAAATCGAGTTGTTACACTAAATAAAGGTAAATTTGTTAGTGTCATAATATTAATTTGGGTCTGTTGAGAGTATTGTATAGACTATTCTGACATATGACAGGTGTCAACTTGACAATGTTTTTTTTTTCTCTTCTTTAGTGGCATTCACCCCGATATTAGGGTATTTTGCCAAGAACAAAACGGGGAAATGACAGTAATAATAAAAATATAAGAATAACCTATCTAGTAATTATAATGTTCAATAAAGCACAATTATAATGAAAGAAATCATTTTCCTGTATTCACTACTTTAACAATTGGTGATAGTAAATAGACTAAAAAAAAACATTTACTCCAACATGTTTCAGAACTAACTTAATACTGTTTTTTTATATCTGATGGATATCAACAATTTCTCAATCAACAAATTCATTTCAGTGGTCGGCTACGTTCGTAGCGACTTTTACATGAACAGATACTAATGAATGATTTTAGCGATTAGTAGAAATGAATAAAGTCTGTAGTCGAATTATTAAAATTAGTTATCACATAAATGAAATTAGTAATCAAATTATTTTAAAATCAATCGAATAATTAGTAACTGTATTAGTAAATTCGCGCATCGCTAGGTAGCATTGAGATCAATACACAACTAGATATCGATATACGTAGGGTACAGTGGCTGCAAAATGCTTATAAATAGGAATTTTTAATATCGAAACAATCTTTTTCAAACATAAATATCGATATAATTTATTATTATTTTGAATGATATGAATAAACTAAAAATAACAATAAATACATAATAATTTATAAAATGTTAACATCCGTTTTGAGCGCTAGGATCTCTCGTCATGTATACGAAAACAATATCATGTCTAGCGTTTAGATTGGATGTAGGTGTAATAGCCCTAAAACGAAGGAGCTGTTCCTCATTGATTCTGTCGATAGCCAGGTGATTAAGCGGAACCGTCAAAATTATTCGCCATTTGGATAGATTAACAAAAGGCGTTCGATTCCGTGCTCCATTTATGACTCCTAAGAATAGTTGAATCAATTCGAGTGTTTTTGAAGGTTGTATGGATGACGAGAATGGACGACGATCCTTACTATCCAGGGTGAACAATTAACGAATTCCGCTGATTAGATTAAGTTTAAAAAGATAATATTCCAGGGCGATTGTTTGAGTCCATTTCGGTTTTGCCTATTCTGAGAATTCGGGGACTGCATTTTAGAATCGGAGAGGAGGTGCACGAGTGTGTCTCACCTTCTGTACATGGATGACTTAAAACTGCTAGCTCCGGGCGTCGTCGAACGCCTGACAGAGCCACTAAATATCGTAAACAATTATAGCAGTTCTGTTAGAATAGAGCTCGGAATAGACAAGTATGTGCGGCGGTCCTGTGTGCGCAATATGTCATAAAATATTAGTATCATGGAGGCGGATGTGAAACGGTCTGTCTGCGAGGAATTTTTTGCGCGCCTTACAAGTATACTGAAAAGTTTCTTGTTGGGCGCGAATAAAATCAGAGCTTAAAACGGTTGGTTCAGATCCGTATTTTTTTTTTAAACTTACGACGTGCTTAAATGGTCTCAAATCGATCTTGAAACCCCGAGTCCAAAAGTTCGTAGAACAGAAACTCATATACTCACTCACAAGAGAGAACAGATAGCCTCAGGGCATATTTCGAACAATTACCGAAAGCACATTAGACGAACAATTATGAAGAATGGCACTGAGGACATATGTCGGGCATGTCGCCATCCCTGAGAGACACTCAGATATATGCTTTCGGGTTTCTCAGCTCTTGCCAACACTGAGTACTTGCACAGACGTAAGCAAATTAACCAAAATACTCCATCAAGATTTAGCTCTCAAGTACGGCCTAGTAGATGTTGCCGTACTATAAATACGAGCCTCAGCCGGTCCTCGATAGCGACAGCATCAGGCACTACTGGAACCGATCCATCATCACCGACAGCACAATTTCTGCGAACAAACCTGATATCGTGGTGATGGATCGGCCATACTCGAGTGATTTTTTTTATGAATGTAACTATAACGCATGACGATAACCTCGTGAAAAACCAAAGATGAAATATCTCGACATGACGCCTCACGAGGTGACCAATATGTGGGGGAATAACGTTTACCGAAATCATTCCAATCATTCTATTGGTGAATGGTCTTATCCTGACCAGTCTGAAACAACACCTCAAACGGTAGGAGTTCTGAGGCGGCTCTCTTCTGGGAAGGATGCAGAAAAAGGTTTCTCTCATTGGGGGCTCCGATTGCGCTTTTGCCTGGTGTTAGTTTGCCTCCTCTCTTGGGGTTAATTTGGTTTTAAACAGAAATAATGAATAAACAATAAACGTATCGAACGATATTACAATAAAGAATAACTAAGCTGGGGGAAAGGTATTGTTAGTAATGGGGGTTTAAAAGCTCCATTGCTAGCAATGTACGGTAGGTCGATCTCATCGCAGTTCCTCTTAAACAGCACCGTGGTTTATTCTTGATGAATTCGTCATGTTGACCAATTGATCTGTATATATTTTGACCTATCATCTCTCACTAGTGCCTCGCCATCATATACCGATAGCGCGGGCAGGTTACCATTCACTTACTTAAAAAAAATACTAAGCTCGATACTAGAACAATTATGATATTTAAATATAGAATAGTTTCAAAAGTTATTTAAAAGTAGAATCTATGTGGATTGAAGCTGTAACTTTAAAAAAGTAGCGCAGCGTTCATTGTATCAAATTCATCAAATGATTGAAAATAAACAGAGGTATACAAGTACATAGCAGTTAAACACTACTAATTATTATACCAATATTTAAGTAAATTTACATATTACATTAGTAGTTATTATATTAATATAAACCTAAGTATATATTTTTTGTTAAATCTACTGCAAAAGTAAAATAAGTAGATGTTATAATATAGTATTTCATTTTCTTTGATATCACTCTTACTATTGACAAGTATGACTATTTTTAGGAAGATCTAAGCAAGCATAACCCCTTAGTTCTCAGTAATAGCAATGTACGAATGGTACCATTGATTTCACAGTAGATTCTGGGTGATTTTTTATGTCTAAGATATAGTTATCATTTTATATCAGATAGGTTAATGTATATTATTATTATTTTAGCTATCTAAGAGGTCACTTCCAAAAATATGTATGAGTGGTGTTATTGGAATCATAGTATTTTTCCATTTGTCAAATAACAAAACATTATACAGCAACATTTTATGTACTTGGAAAAAACAGTTTAAACATTTCACGACCTTAAACATTTTGCTTCACTCCTTTGACATTTCAATAGCTCTTTTTTCTTTGTTTCTATATATATATATATATATATATATATATATATATATATATATATATATATATATATATATATATATATATATATATATATATATATATATATATATATATATATATATATATACACACACACACACACCAATTTATGCAAACAGAAAATAATGATAAAAGAAATAAATCTGAAATATATTCTTACAAAAAATATTCTCACAAAATATATGACGACATTTACGGAAGAAATACAGAAAATAAACTGGAATCAAATTATTATAAATCACAATGACATTAATAAACGTTATAACTTATTCGAAAATATTTAAAAAAACAAATTGAATATATGTATACCTATAACACGCGTAAAAATTAGGAAAAACATAAAAACATGACTAACAAATGGTTTGAAAAAATCTTGTAAACATAAAAGACTATTAAAAATATTCACAAATCAATGGGAAAATATTATTCTAAAATCATACTCGACATCGAACAATTCGATAAGAATTATAGTATGAGATAAATTATTTTGAACTGAACATCAGTAGAAGTTCTTTCCGGAAAATTTTAATTTTTTTATTAAAATCATGTAATCTATGATATTATCACATAATATAAAGAAACAATAATATTTTATAGCAAAATAATATTAATAAAATGATACTTTAAAGCGGAATCAGTTGTCGCTGTGTAAGGCCTTAAGCGTACGAAAACTACCTATGAAGAAGCTACATTGACCGGGCGATACTTACATACGTATCATGCATGGTGTAGATTATTAAATTTCTAATATATTATGCAACGTCAAACCTAAGAATTGTTAATTATATAGCTATGGTGCATTTCCGATAAAAAAATAATCTGAGTTGAGTTTTCGTTTTAGCCAACCTGTCCCCTACACCATATATATATAGTAAAAGGATATACTAGTACTAAGATTACAAAAATAATTGATGTCAGATAATTTGATCTTTAAAGATTAAAAATTGTTTCTATCATCGTTATGTGTATTTTTTGTTTTTGTTTTTTTTTTACAACTTAGAATAGCAAACAAGTATTAGAAAAGAATTAGTAGCTGTGCATCTACTCCTTAGCTACTCTTTTAAAAGCGTAAGAGATAGAAAACCACTTCAAAAATTAATAATTTAAAAGGATATGAGGGCATTTTGAGGAATACTGGATCTCGAACGCCAAATCAAACCGAAATCCAAAACTTTACGATTTAATGTAACAAGGTAAATAGCTCGAAATGTGAAGTAAACACAGGGACGAGAACATAATATTACCTACCATTGTAGTCTAAAGCCAATAGATAAAACTCAGTCAAATGTAAAACAAAAGATCAAAAATTATTTGTCAAGTTACAAATGAAGTTGACATAAAAGACGCTTTTGGGTAAATTATACATTCATATGAGTACATTGAGTTTGATGCTCGTAAATGTATAGTCGAAAACAACTTTTTTTTACTTCATTATTAATGTAAGTATATATTAAAACGTTCACTCAGATGCGATTGATTTAATGAGAGAGAATGAGAGAATTATTAAGAAAAAAAAAAAGACAAAGATATTATAATAAATCATAATATAATTTATTCAATATATTTGTCTTCTACTAAACTATAATTTTGTTTCATTGTCAAAAAACCAACAAAATAAATAATGTCAAAATTAGCTTTTTTTTATATGTACATAACACAGTTGTTACATACATGACATTTAGATTTACTTAAAACGAAGATCCAAAAATATCTGGGGTTATATATATATATATTTTTTTTTTATTAGCTATTTAGTCAACTTTCTAATCTTATACAAACTAAAAGAAATTTATTAATATATTATTTTTGTAAATAAAGGCTTTATAAAATCAACACAAGAATAAAATATGTTTTATAAATGTTTTGTATTTGTATTCCTAGATATGAAGGAGATAGGAAATTAATATATGAACAACATTTATAATATTAGTTTAAATGAATTGGTAATTTTATACAATAAAAATACATTTTGTATGTATTCTTGTAAACTTAATTTACTAAACTTACCATCCATATGATCAATGCCAATTCCACTATCTGGCGTGCCGCCTTCAATTTCGCTCAGCGATGGTTCTTTTGTATTTATGGATTGCTCATGCTGAAATAAAAACAACAAATATATATTGTTACAACTGAAGATATTGTAAAACATTCTAATTTTAGACCTATCTAGACTTTTATAGAGCTTTGCAATACAAGTAGGATAAATATATAATTAATTCATCAGTATATCATCATACAAAATATTATTTATACAATATTATGCTGTAGATATGTCACGCAAGCTATTTTTTTTAGATAGTAAATGGGTTTGTTGTGTAAATAAAATTTAAAAATTATTTCAATAAATATTTTTCATATTGCACCGTCGCCCGTATTTTTGTTTCAGCGAGATTGCACACTCGTTCAGAAAACCAAAAGAAACAAACAATCTACTTCCTATTTAAACCATAATATTATCAGCGAATTTACATAGTATTCCAAATTTCAGTATAATCTGATGCCAAATATTGTTAAAAAAACATACATACACGCTAAAGTAAATTAAATAAGTTTGTAAAAATACTAGCAAGGCTAGATAGCAATATTTAGTTCATTGGCAGGCGATGTACTTTATCCACGAAAGAAGAAGATACATTCTTAGGATCACTTATGTAGTTAGTGCTAGAGATTAATTCTATTGTAGAAGAAAATACAGTGACATTGGAAAGTAATCAAGACAAAAGATTAATATGTCATTTGCAATGTTTTCTGCTCTCTACACAAAATATATTTGATATTTATTAAAAATAATATGTCTCACCTGATTACTTAACATAGAACTATTAGAATCCTCCTCATCAGAGCTTAGGGTTAATATAACAGGTTCTGGATCGGGCTGCTTTCCTCTAGGTTTTCTTACTCTCGTTGGTTTTTTGTCTTGTACAATCTGTAGAATTTTTACAATCAGAAATAAATATTTATTACATAAAATATTTATTAAATAATTATATAATGCAACATAAAAATGATGAAGTGAAAACTACGAAATATTTTTAGAAATGCAATTTATACTGCATGTAACTCATAATGTTATAGTACTATTTTTCACTGTTTGTATGTTGGTTTGCCTGTTTCAGTGATTGTAACAAATTATATTACTTTTATACTTAGAAATCTCAAATATGTATAATACTCACTGTTTTGTTATTGATTGCTTTCATAGTAGTTTTTAAAAGGTTTAATTTTATTCCTTCCGTACAGGCACTAAAACAAAAGATAGCATGGTAAAAATAACAATGACAAAAATAGGTAATTATATTACTTTCTTCATATTTTATAAAACTTACTTTGGTTTTTCTACTTGTTTTTCAGGTTCTTTCTTTTTTTGTTCCACCTTCTTGCTAGCTATTGGTACGCTCTTAGGTTCCTCAGTAAATACTCGCTTACATCTAGAAACAATAGGTTTTATTGTATTGATATGAGTGATTTGTTATATATTATATTTTTATATTAGCGAACTGGCTTAGTTTCGCACAGGTAGATAGAATTTTCGAAAATGATATATAGCTTATGTTACTTTTTGACAAAAAAGCTTTCATAGGTGAAATCATTTTTAAAATCAGCTAAGTAGTTTCTAAGTTTATCTATTACAAACAAACAATCGAATCTTTTCTTTTTTATTATTATTAGTATAGATAATTTATAGAAGAAAAACCAACCTTTGACAACGGCTGAAATCGTAACCTGTATAACCGCATGATTTGCAAACCGCTAACATCCCATCGACATATTTGGGAGGTGGTGAGCGCTGTTCTGGAGATTCAGGGCTATTACTTCTTGCTGCAAGTAATAAAAATTATTGCTTTTTAATGTTTTTTATATTAATTTGAGATAAGGTGGAGTTAGACTAAAGGAATAAAGATCGCAGTACAGGAACTAAACATAAACAAGTAAGTCTAGACTAGAGAGAGAGTTTTATTTTTCTACTCTATAGAATAGAAAAATTAAACAAGACTGATCACAAATGTTGAGTAAATTTCGAGAGCAAGGAAAAATACTGCTGTTTATCTTGTTGATACTAAATACATTTAAAGAATAAATATAAAAACGAGAGTGTACTCTCGTCATCTGATTCCATTTCTACATTTATATGACAACAACAATTGTAAATAAATATTGATATATTCATGTACCAGCATCGGGACACTGTGATTTCTCAGGTGTTGACACCTCACTACTTTGAGGCTGAGGTAAAACATTCGGAGAGCTTCTACTATTTATATCTCCAACTAACATCTGTAATGAATATAAAATTACAATTACTCAACAATGATTTCCATAACAATATTTTTGTTGGTTGTTGTTTAAAAAAATTACTAACCGGATGATTCTCTAACATTTCTTCAATTCTTGTTGTTGAACCAACTGACACGAAATAGTCTATTTCACTGCTCGTATTTTGCATACACTGAATGTTAGTATCTTCCGAAAATGGTACATTAACCTGAAATACAGAAGAATTTTATATTATACTTTATTGAACATGATACACAAACAATTGTCAGATACATAGTTATAACGGGGCTGATTCTGAGGCGCTGTTTCTCTAAATCTATCCCTAAAATTTAATTTTCAATTTGCTATCACAGAAATTTTTATTGTAGACCAAAATATATGGACCAAATACAAACTAATTATTTAAGTAACTTAAGTACATATTATTTCAGTTTATGACGTTCCATAAAACAATCATTATCATATCAGCCTTTAACTGTCCACTGCTAAATCTTATATTTAGAACTTCTCCCATAAGAGGGGTTTTGCTTGTAGTTGCCACGCTCAGATTTGGTGATGTTTTAAAAGGGAGGCTGCTACCCATTGCTGCCCACTACCTCAAACATTAAGTTCCCTCTTATGACACCCACACGAAAAGAAAGGGTGGCACATAAAACACTAACTTCACAATATTATCAAATTTAAATATTAAGTTAAGGAATAGGTTTAGAGAAACGGCATATCAGAATCAGCACCAATGTTAATGTACAGAAGGTTTTTATTAGTATTATTATTAGTTATTATTATTTTTAATGGCTTTATATTCGAACCTGTTCAAGAACTTCTTGAAGAGTACAACTTTCTTTAGGCAGTGTAAATGTAATTAGTCTTTGCTCTCCATTTTGAAGGAATATTAACATCTTAGCAGACTGTGGCTCCGATGTCTGTTCTGAGGGCCCGCCAGATGTATCAGGGTTTTCTGAAATCGAATAAAATATATTTATTATTAGCATAATAATTTCATTTGCCTTATATTTATATTTATAAAAATAGTACAATTTGAACATAAATTACTTTAGTGAAACTTTTTACATTGTGCTTGATATTTGTATTTCATCTTTATACTTAATATTAATTTTTGACTGATTAGGCATATAAGGCGGAGAGACAATAGGGTAAACATAAATAGGATAAACAATATTTGGCCTAAGTCCATGAAGTTACATTACGACTTTTAGTTTTGCAACAGGGTCGAAATAGCGGCGAACTCAAATAAGTACAAATTATTTGATTCTTATTATACACTAGTTTTTTATCCATTACTTCATATGCGAAAAATTCAGAAGTAGAAAAATTTATAAAATAATAGACTTGACTTCTGGATGGTGTGTCAATATATATATGATCTAATAGTATATACATACCACTTTGAGGAGTTTGTTGGGTTTGCATGGGTGGTACACGCTGAACTGGCCTTTGTTGTTCTTTACTTCTAACTAATGTTTGTCTTCCTGTTTCTCTGTAATAATAAGTAGTTAATAAGTTAAGAAAAATAACTATATTATGTATGTTATATGTTTAAAATTATGTATTATTCATAAATATTCAAAATTAATTGGCTCAATTTTTGGATAAAAAAATGAGTTTTTTGCCATGTACTTATGGCAGAAATATCATCAGCATAACACTTTATGAAAATGTGTTCTATTCATTGTTTGGTAAATAATATAATGGTATTATTTATTTATTCGTATTGAGGGAAGCTTACAGCTATAACTTAAGTATTTTACCTTGACTGTTGGTGTTGTTGTGGACGCACAGGTTGCATTCTACGGTAATCAGCAAGGCTGATTCTTTGACCATTACTCAAAGTAACTAACTGTCTTTCTTCGTCTATAGCTTCATCCATTAACAATTGGCCAAGTGACTGTGGATGTTGTTGCAAAAGAGTCTGTTCATAGGTAACTTGTTGCTGTGGGAAGCCATGTTGAGGACTAAAATTTATCTGTTGATGTTGTTGCGTGACAGAGCCACTGGCATGATTCTGACGCATTGTTGGCGGTGGAGTGTGAAACTGTTGAGGGGTATTCATATTATCATTAACAAGGTTTTTAGATACTATTGCAGCAGTTATGCTCTCTTCTAAATCATCCATGTGATTTGCATTGTTTGGTTGAACAACAACTTTCTTCACTTGCTGTTGAACTTGCTGTGGGTGAGGTGATGATCTTTGTGATATAGCAGTTAATGAGTTTTGAGAGGGTATTGGTCCATTATTTTGGTTTGCCTGAACAACTGTATGTTGTGCCAATTGAGCTTGAATATTTTGTGTAACAATTGTGCCTTGTTGTGTGATGATACGAGCAGGTGATTGATGAGATTGATTTGGCTGGTTTAGAAGTAATTGTTGCTGTAACAATAAAAAAACATTGTATATGCAGAGTGAAATTCAAGTTAAAAGCTATATTTAATAACTGTAATAGTGGATACCCGTTATATTTACCAGAGGAAGACTTTGTACAAAAGTCGATTGCTTGGGTACCTCTGTCCCATTCGTGTTTTAACCGTGAAGCAGCTGTGTTTGCATGGCTGTGTTTCGGTTTGAAGGGTGGGATATGGCGTGAATTTACTGGGTACAGAGGAATAACACCCGAGCCCTCAGGAATGACAACGCATGGGGGGTATCATGGGTAAAACAGTATTCTCTGTTATATCCATGGTACTGCTCATGTCTATAGGCGACGGTTACTACTTTCAATCAGGTGGACCGTCAGCTTGTTTGCCATTCTAAGTTGTATAAAAAAAATTGCTAGAAGGTTAATGAAACAACTTTGAACAGATCTTGCTACTGTTGTATTGTAGAACGCGGTAGATTTTTTGAGGGTGAAACTCTATTTATTACTCTTTTCAAGTGGTAACAACTTGTTGTTAGGGGGATTGTTAGTAATGGGGAGATCTTAACCTATTGCTAGGAATATGTCCTATCAGGTCAAGTCCAGATGCTCTCTCTTAGAAGTCGTCACAGATAGTTCTTGATGAATTCATCCTTATGAGCCAATGGACTTGTTTTCATCTTCACCTATTCATCATCACTGGTACTCACCAGTACATACCAATAGAACAGGCAGGAATACCATTTCATCAACATGTATTAAAGAAGTTAGTTGTATAATTAGTTACCTATCGAGTTCGAAACTCGTCGAGCAACTCCGAATTTAAAACGTGAGTAAAGCCGACATAAATATAACTCAATAAAAATAACTCAATTAACAATACAATACAAGCCTGAATTTGTGGAATAGGTAAAACCATAAACTACAGTAAGATTAACAATTAAATATATTAACAATACAAGAATAAATACCTGATGAGGGGAAAGTTTAATCTGATTAAGTTGCTGTTGATGAACTTGTTGACCAATGATATGTTGAGCTAGTTGGTGTTGTTGTTGCTGCTGCTGTTGGATCTGTTGTGGCTGAAAGATGAACGTTAAAATATTAACTATTAATAAAATTACAGTAAAATAGATAAACTTTCTATAAAAGACTATTTGACTATCTTTGCAGAATAGGTTTCAGTTTGAAGGATGACATGCCGTGGTTAATATTATTACAGGGCATGGAAACTTAAGTCCTCAACAATGGAAATGCATAAAGGGTCCCATAGCTGTTACATAGCATTCTGTAATATCTATGGCGTTGGCCATATCTATTAATGACGGATTCTATTTTCATTTCAATTTTCATATTTAAATTGAGTAAATTTCTACAAGGAGTGTGACTGAAATCCCACTAATATTATAAACTAGTTTTCTCTCAATATAACAGTTTTTTAAATACACATTTCTTAAGCAAAACTTTTTTAACAAAAAATATTGGAACGAAATTAATCCCATATTATTCAGTGTATAAATATGTGTTAAGTTAGAATATAACCTATCCATATACCCTATTTTATTGAAATCGCGTTTACAATAAATGTCTGAACAATTTTGATTGAAATTTAGTACATTTGGTTTGGTTTACAACTTACCACATAGGATATTTTAAATACTAATTTATGTGGGCAAAATCTAGTGCGAAAATTTTTTTTTAATGAATCATCACACAAAGAGCTATTCACCCGACACTATACCGATGATATTCCGGACGTCAGTTTGCAGGAGATTGAAATGGTTCTCAAACTGCTTAAAAACGGCAAGGCACCAGGACAGGATGGAATTACAAAGAACAGAGACAACAGAGATTCTAAGAGTGCATGGAAAACTAGTATTCCTTTCAAAAGCTATTTAATTCGTCATCCATAACGGTGTTACGCCTGAGGCGTGGAGTAGAGTTGCTTATCTTATTCTTCAAAAAGGGTGACAAAACTATATTGAAAAACTATAGACCAATATTCGTTCTGACTCGCGTCTACGTAATTTTTTCGAGAGTTCTAACCAATCGTCATACGTGTAAACTCGATGACTTCCAGCCACTAAAACAAGGTGGCTTCCAAAAGGCTTTAGCAGCATAGACGCTACGGCAAATATACAGAAGACCGAAGAGTATAATTTCCAACTATGTCTGACGTTTGTGGACTATGAGAAAGTCTTTGATTCGGTCGAAACATGGGCGGTACTACAGTCTCTTCAGCGGTGCCAGATTGTCTATAGGTATACCGAAATATTGAAATGTATGTACAATAAGGCTACGATGTCTATCCCAGTACAAAACCAAGGTACGAAACCCATTCTAGAGCAGAAAGGTGTAAGACAGGGATATGACATTATCAATACAAACAGTATTGGAAGATGTTTTCAAACTTCTGGACTGGAAAAAATATGTATATCAATGGTGAATACATCACTCACCTTCGATTTGTCGATGACATAATCAATGGTACTTCTTAACTGATAAATCTTAAGATGAACATGTACATAACTAAAATCATATCTAACATCCATGCCACACATATATCGGTCATGATTGAGAACATTACGAAAAGAATCGAAGTTGTTGACGAGTACCTGGGAGTACTTGTCCAACTAGGTAAACCCAACTTTGACTGAGAGAGGGAAGAAAGGATTGTTAATAATGGGGATTAGTAGCCTCATTGCTAGCAATACACCCTGTCAGATTGACCTTCTCGCGGTTCCTCTTGGAAACCATCGTGTTCTATTCTATTTCATCCTCATTTATTATCCCTCACTGGTGCCCCGCCAGCGTATATCGTTAACGCAGGTGGGGTTTGAAAAACTTTAACTAAGAGGTCAACCGACGAATTCATCTCGATTAGGCAACTTTCAAGAAACTACGTTATCTATCTCATTTAGAATACCTCAAAATTTGAAGACTAAGGTCTTTACACCACGCACTAGGCATGTTGGCAATGATAACTTATGGGATAGAATAATAGTCCTATACGATTGGCAGTATGCAAAAGCTTCTAATTATTCGGCAAACTTTGAGGCTATGCTCGGTGTTTCATTGCGTGACAGAATCTTTTTTTTTAATAGGTGATAATGGAGTGGTAACCCCGCCTGCACTATTGTTATACACTGACGGGGCACAAGTGAGACATGATAGATGAGAATGAAAAGGCAGGTCAGTTAGCCCATCGTGATGAACACATCAGAAATTCAGCACAATGGTTTCAGGGGAGACCACGTGGAGGTCGATCTGACAGGTTATATTGCTGGCAATGAGAGTGGTAGTTCCCATTACTAACAAACTCCCCCCCCCCCCGCGCGTGACAGAATCAGAAATGAGGATATTCGCAAAAGAACCAAAATCACCGACATAGCTCGAAGGAAAAGCAAGCTAAAGTGCCAATGGGCTGGTCACATAGTTCGAAGAACCGACAACCGAGGGAGAAGAAAGATTTCTAAGTAGCGAACGCAAACGCAGTATATATAGGATAACTACCCATTAGATGGAGTGCCGACCTCAAATGCATTGCAGGTAGTCATGGGATACAGGAGGTTCAGGACCATGCTTTATGGCAATCTATGGGGGAGGACCATGTTCAGCAATGGACGGACAAGTCAAGATAATGATGGTGATGATATTATAGATGTAGCCATATGATTTGTATGAAAAACAACATTAAATTACATTACAGAATACACAAGTTTTAAATAATATAAATAATGATCAAATTATTAAAAAAAAATCGTTACTTCCCATTTTATCATAGCAAAACAGTGTATTTGTAAACTGATAGTTTAATTTACCTGATGTAGCGGAGTCCGGGGTCTGGGAGGGCGATGTAGCGCATGTGCAGCATGAGGGTTGAGAACACGGGGTGAGGCAGGCCGAGGAGGTCGCACGGGTCTTGCGCCACGTCCCGCAACCCCCACCACGCCTGCCACACCCGTTACGCTTCCACCACTCGCCACAGCCACAGTATGCGTACCAGCGTTCGCTCCCACGCTCACTCCCATAACACTTGTCGCTCCACGCCCGCTAGCGACCATCGTCGGTGTGCTCACTTGAGCCTGCATTCGATTTATTAATATTGTTATTTTTTTCAGTTGTCACATTCACTACTGCTTGAATGTTATTAAAATTCCAAATTACAGGATATTCATTCTAAAATATTTTAAAATATTACAGTAACTATCTGTATAATTTAAAATTAAGTATCAATAAAAAAAATAATTTGAAAGTCATATCCCAAATATAGCAATTGCCATATATGGGGCATGGCTTTCAAACTAAAATATCATTATCATATCAGCCCATAATTGTCCACTGCTGAACATAAGCTTCTCCCCCTTGAAGGGTTTTGCCAGTAATTGTCACGCTTGGAAGGCGGATTGGCAACCGCAGATAGGCTTTAGTGTTTTAAGAGGGACGCGGCTGCCCGTCCCTCACCACATCCTTTAGTCGACTTTTACGACACCCACGGGAAAGAAAGGGGTGGGCTATTCTACGCCGGGACCACACGGCCAGAACTAAAATATACACATAAACAATTTTCCAATTTGTCTCTTATTATCACGGGTAGCATTAGCACATATCTTTAAGATAGAATATCTTAGGCTGGTACTTATTATATCTACCTGTTGATGTTGAGTATTGAGAAGTCTGGCAGGGCCTTGTATAGGAGAACCAGTCATAGGAGATCTAGCGGCAGGTCGTCGCGGTCTAACAGTACGTACTGGAGTCCGCACGAGCGTCACTCCCCCTGGACTACTTAGAGTTTGATTTAGAAGTCTAGGTGGTGCTGGTCGAGTTGGTGTTCCCTTTAAAAGAAATACTGTATTAAAACACTTCACATTTATACAGTTATTTTTACACTTAATCTACATAATCAACAAGCTCATAAATAAATAATTGGTGTAAGAACCTGTTAATCTTAAAAATTGCAGAGAGACTTTATTGATCAGGCACTATCTTAAATGGAACTATAGTGTTCAGAGACAATAATTTTCAAATTCAGTAGAAATAATTTATTAGAATGAAAATGTTGTCACAAGCTAATCAACTCACAGTCTGGTTGATGTATGCTGCGTGCATAACAACTTGTTGATGTTGTATTGGCTGTGGCTGCATGTGCTGCTGTTGTTGTTGCTGCTGCTGTTGTTGCTGCTGCTGCTGTTGATGCTGAAGTTGCTGTTGCTGTTGAATTTGATGTTGCATTTGTTGTTGCAAGTGAATCAGCTGTGTTGGTGACGCCCGAGGTAATTGTTGTTGTTGCAACTGTTGCTTTAAATAAAAAAGAAACGATATCACAGATAGTTGTGGCTGAGAATCATTCCTTAAAAATGAGGCCTATGCTTGATAGTAGACAATTAACAATAGATTGAAAATGATATTGTACAAGAAGAAATTCTATTTGACCCTTGAGAAGTGTTGATAAAGCCAGTGTGACGTTTAAAAATTTTGCAGTTAAATATTTCAGATATCCTTTAATTTTCTTATATTTTATACAAATAGCAAGGTCTTACTCTTGTTAATTTAATGGAGAACTACTAACATTACTAACAGTTTGTTGTTGGGTATGCTGAGATTGTGGCGGGGGCGGGGGCTGCGGCGGAGGTTGTTGCGCGGGGTGTATCACTGTCGGCTGTGATAACACATGAGCAGGACTCACCAACTGCTATAAATCACAAACTATATTATTCATATATTATTAACAGCAACATATAGTTTGAAACTATATTGTAATTATCAATGAAATTGTTTTATAAAAAAATATTTCTAAATATTTTTATTTTCTATACTAATGGTAATGGCAAACAATCGGACGGTCCATCTGCAACCGTCATTGTATAGACATGAATAAACCGATGGATAAAATATCTTGTTATACTCAAGGCACTCTTAATATGTCTAATGTTAAATTGGAATTCAAATAATAATATTTAGTTAAATTAATTATATGAATGTATAATTAATTCGAAACAATTGTAGGAAATGACAATACTATGTATATGTTCATAAAATTCCTGTTATACAAATGCATAGACAACGTTAAAACAAGAACACCCTTAATATGTTACCAGTACCACTCATAAAAATAAAGGTGTTACACCTTTTGTGTCACAGAGGTAGTTTAAGGTAGTCCTTCTACCTATTTAGTCAGATGCGAAATAAATAAAAATGTAGTCATGTCTCTACTGGTAGGGTAAAAATTTAAACAATTCTTTTCTATTACATTGTACAACCAATTCGCTGTTGACATTAAGTAATAGGAGTATGATATATTTTTTATACTAAATAAATAAAAACAAATTGAGTAAATACTACAAGACAATATGATAATTGAAAAGACTGTTTGAAATAAGATTTATTTATATTATAGATATATAGCCTGTGCTATAATAATTTTGTTAATTAAATAATGTAGGGTTTAGCTACCTAAGAGATTAATGTAGAATTTTCTATCAATACATTTTGTGACATGACTACATAAAAAATTTCGTTATTTTACTATGATATCATGGCATTCAGTAAATTTGAACTGGTATTAATAATGGTGAATGAAATTGTCTATCATTGGTAAACTATAGATTACACAGAGAGCAAACACTATAGACCTAAGTAAATTCTTATACACATAATTCTATAATAAGATAATGAGTTATCAACCTAAATCTACTAAGAAAAATAGGAGTAACGATTAGACACAAAGCTAAACATTCCATTTCGTACAAAGAAAATAATAGGAAAAACAGAATATTTTCAGGCAACATAATTTAATTCCGCTACCACATCCACAATAGAGAACAATAAGTGTAATAATGAATTTTAAATTAAATAAAAATTATGCCTATAATTTCTTGCTTATTTTGAAATAAATAAGGCATAAGTTTTATAATTCTTTATATAAATTTCAATATGATACAAAACAATTCATTGTAAGTTGCTATTGATTAATAATGAAAAACCATTAAGTATATTCCAAAAATATATTGTTAGTAGGACCCACTGTTTACCCATATGATTTACACCATCTGTTATTAAGAAAGCTTTGTAGTGCAATAATCAACATTATTAATAAAGAAGCTTTCTGATATTGTGTTATTAATAAGCATTATAGACATGATATGAACATGTTAACTGCTGGCAATGTTGAAATGTAATAAAAACGAGCAATATGCTTCACTATGATTATATAAGTAAAATTTTCTTACATTTTTAGAAACCAATAGCAAATATTCGTTTAGGGATTTTTTTTAATCTTACCAAACTATTGAAGTATCAAATTTATTACAAAAATAATTCGATAATAGAAAGCTATTTAATCCTTCCGTAATATTATGGTATTTTTAAGATTTCTGTAGCGTTGCCTGTGTAAATTAGTTTTAATGAATGTGGTAATGTAGGACAATGGTCATTTTATCAAATTTTTTAAGACCTTTCCCCATGACCATGATTAAGTAATAAACATGTAAACATTTTTCATATATATAATAATATTAGGACTACATTCAATGGTTACAATATTTTTCTATGACTCCAATACTTTCTCAGTTTTTATTAAGTTTAGTAAGTTTAATAGTAACACAATGTACATTTTTTAAACAAAATTAAGATCACCTTTTCGGATCATTATCACACAATCAGATATGACTGTTGTATGACAAAGTCTAACATCACAATAAAATAAGGAGTTGTTGGATGAAATATAAATATGAGAACTATAGATGCCCAGCATATACCAACAATTTTGATGAACTTGGAAAATGAAGGCCAGAAATCTTATTATTTATTAAGTATCTTTATTTCTTTCTCAAATTTCAGATTGTATTAATTTATATCTGGAATTTTAAACCATAATCATAAGCAAAAAAACATTTAGTATAAAAATTGCAATTATCACCAATTCATTTTATGTATATTTTCTTTATTGATACATTTTGAATAAAAGATGAACTGTCATCTCTAATTTTCGTCAGCAGTGAACATGTTAATTATGTAAATAATTATACACTATTGACTTCTAAACTGATATTTTTTTTTAATTTCTCTTATATATATATATATATATATATATATATATATATATATATATATATTGTTAAGTCTTGATAAAGATTGTTTGAAATTCATCATCATCATATCAGCTATTAACTGTCCACTGCTGGACATAAGTCTCCTCCTATTGGGAGATTTTGCCCGTAGCTGTTATGCTGGGCAGGGTTGGCTACTGCAGGTAGGCTTTGGTAATGTTTATATAGGGATGCTGGTGCTCATCCCACAAGTATTACGTTCCTTTAGTCACCTCTTACGACATCCAGGGGAAAGAAAGGGGTGGCCCATTCTAACGCAGGGCACACAGTCAATGTTTGAATTTATTTTGCAGTAACTTTTGTATAATTTGTGTAGAAATAAAATTCAGAAATCTTGTTTTTGATAAGTTCTATACTTTTAGGTAGGTATATTTATTTTCTTTATAATATAAAACAAATATAAAAACTAATAAAGATTTCATGCTAAGCATAAATAATAAGAAAGATTCTGCAGTTCATATTCTATCATCATTGCTTAAGTGCATACAATATTAATGTTGATATAAAGTACACTATGTAATACATAATGTTTAGTCAGCCGACATACATGTTGTGGGCGTTGTGGAGATGACTGTTGCATCAAAGATGCATCAATGATCTGCTGAGCTTGTTGCAAGACAACCTGAGCATCCACAGGTAAATCAGATGTGTAGTAAACCTATAAATAAATTCATGTATAGAATAATTCTCTAACATAACTTCTTTGTATAAAAACTTTTCTACATCACATTGACAGTACATATTTTATTTACAATACTAACTATAATAATTTGTTACTTAAATCTTCATATTTATATTTAATACTCATATAAACTTGGTCTTTGACAATGTTAGCAATAGATAATTTGAAATTAATATTAATGTAAAAGGGGCTTAAAATGTGTCATGACCAATTTATTTGTATTTAACCCAAAAAGGCCAATCTATTTAAAAGGCCAAATCATTGGCGTATTTAAGATTATTTTCTGGGCTGGTCCCTTTAAAAAGGGGCAGAAATAGGCGATATATCTGAGAGTACATAACCCTAAGACATATCTTTACTAAGTTTTTCTCAAATATAGTCTTATGAACATGACCCATAGCCTCCCTTAATATGTCTATTGATTATGGTAATGATTTGTTTTTCTATAAATTATATTTCTCTATGAAATACATATTATTTGTTTATAGTTATATCGCAGCTAAAACTTTTTCATAGTATGTATATGTAATAGAAGTATATACATATGTTTGTTATTATATTCTATATACTTAAGTTAAACAATTTAATAGAAACTGCCTAAATATATCAGAAAGTACTGACAACTTTATATTTAAATTATTTGTAAGAGAAGAAATAAAGGTTTTAAAATATATTTAACATTTATAGTTTTAATGTATAATAAATACTGATTTTAAATACATAATTCTAATTGACACTCCTATTTTGTAAGTATATATTTTTATTCATATCGATAATGAATTAAAAAAAAAAAAAGTATTGTTTTATAATAATTGAAGTAGTTATACTTCAATTATTATAAAACAATACTTTTTATATTTTATAAATTGTAATTAAAATAAATATTATTATTATTTTTTTATCATAGCAGTAAGAACATGATTGGGCTTTTAGGATTTAAAGCTATACACTCTACGCTATATATTAGGAAATGTTTTCTCCATATACATATGGGTTGTTTAATTTTAATTCCAAATTGTCTAATGTTTTCTGTGCTTGTGTCATTTTAGAAAACATTCAGATAGTATGTGTACTATAGCAAAACTATATTCACCTGGTGTCTATGTAAGGCTTGTTGGTGTTGTTGTTGTTGCTGTTGTTGTTGTTGTTGTTGTTGTTGCTGCTGCTGCTGTTGTTGCTGCTGCTGAAAGTCAGCTCGTGGTGGCGGGGCTGGAGGTGGCTCATGTCGGATGATGTACTGCTGTTGATATTGTAAGCCATCTCCTACAACTAGCTGTTGTTGAACTCCATCACTCACTATGATATCATTTGGTTGCTCTGCTTGTTGGACTACAACCTGTAAAATATTCACAATAATAAAATCCATTGCATTTATATGATATTAGATTTATATTCTATGGGAAAATATTTTTAGAATATACTAACTGCAAACTTTGTAGTACATTAATACTGTATTCCATAAAAATAGCTACATAAATCACATGACACACAAGTAAATAAACATCAAATTCTGTACCTCCTCATAAAGTTAGATTAACACTATAATGAAATATTCAAATAACACTATAAATAAATAAATAATGCCAGTAACAATTTATTCTTTGTCTAATCTCAGTTTGCTAAGAAGACACATTGAGATTGCTTATGGCTGGAACACAATTGACTGCACAGATTCCAGAATTCAAACCAATATCAAGCTGCTATTGGCATAATTAGTATGCACATACCTTCAGTCATTAAAAATATGTTTCAGCTAAACCTACACAGATTAGATATGTTGCAGAAAAATATGGAAATATCCTATGTGAAATACCAAGGAAAACCACAAAATCATTGATCACATTACATCTTCCTGAAAAAATCTATTGATATGACAAAATGCATATATATTCAATGATAAATGTTATTTCACTATACTAAATCCAATATAATGGGAAAAGAACACTGGATAGGATGGATCTAGATGTTAATTTTTATTAGATATAAATTAAAATTACAATAAACTAAAGTATATAGTTTATGGCTTGGAGAACATGAAAAATATATATAACTTTATAGATATTCAAGGTTTTCTTTACTCTTCCAAAAGCATCAAAATTTGTAATTGTGGTAAGAACCTATTCATTAAGTATCTAAGTGTAAAAATATAAATAATCTTATACATATATTTTAATCAACCATTCAGTTTATAATAAGGAAATATTCAAGATTTCCCTATTTTACTAGATTAAGTTTAATGAAATGACAATCACTGAACACATTGTAGTAGTCATATCACTAGATATTTCCAGGAAGGTATAGTAAGTAAGAAGACATAATAAATTGGAATATCATCACCTTCATGATTTGTGGTTTTTCTAGCTATTTAATAATATCTCTATATACATACATAATAACTAGCTCTACCTGCAATCCCATCCATGTGGATGTTCTGATGTGAAATTATACTAAAACTGTAGCACATTTTTAGAGATTAGCATGCACAAATACATAGACAAATAGAGAACAAAAAGTTTAAAAATAAATTTTTTTGCCCTTGGTAAGTGTACTTACCTGTATATAGATACATATATATTTTTAAAATTTAATGTACTGATATGACTCCTTTATAATTTTACTATATCTATAAATATATACCTACAAATATTATTGCATGGATATACAGAGAAAAATAGGTCATTAAGAAAACTACAATTATAACAGAATTAATATGTGTAAAGGTTGATGCAAATATTTCAATTTATAAATAAGAAGAGCAAAGAACTTTAATTATATTGTGGAAACAGTAATCAACAATCATCATCAGCTCTTTGTATTTAAGTCTTTATTTTTTTGAGGTCAGTGCAGTATATTTTGCTTTTCTACAGATTAGCTATCCATAAAGAATAAAAACAATTAATAATGTATTAACTGACATTTACCTGTTGGTGAGCATATTGTTGTTCATCTTGATTTACGATAATTCCATCCAAACATATATTCGGACAATATCTTTGTAAATCTTCTAATGTTAATGAATGCCCTTGTCCAACTATTTGATAATACTGAGCCATTGCCTGAACTTAACTTAGCCTAAAAAAAAGAATACAACCATATTTGCTCTGGAGGAAACTAATAAGATTATATATATATATATATATATATATATATATATTATTTAGTACCCTATCTTGACTAATGAAATTTGGCACAAAAGATAATATTAAAATAACACATGATTTGTTCTAAGCACCTGAAATAAAATGAAGAAAATGACTTCAGTAGCAATTTTATTGTTTACCAAATAAAATAAAAAATAACAGATGTTTATTACAAGTAACATTTGAATGAATTTATGGTCTTTCTTTAGACAGCAATAGTATTTTTATTTTGATTCGCATCACTAGACTTAAAAATAAATTAATACCTTTCAATTTAAATAAACACTCATCAGATGTTTCACGATTAAAACAAATGAGTAGGTAATGACTATGGTTTGTTTACAACACACTTAACTGTCTCGCATACGGATTTAATACCTAATTCAATGATTGCATATAATTTACAAATCTTTCTATTGTAAACATTTTATAAGAATTATTTTGAACTCTCGAAGAATATATCTAACGATGACAGTTATTATGCCATACATATCCTGACCACGGTAAAACTGCAGTACCAATCCATGGATGACAAGAAAACTTCAATGGCGACTAGCAAACCATGGCTAATAAATTTTTACTTTCATTATTAACAGTAAAATCTTCTAATTAAAAAATATAATTCCCGAACAATAAGAAAAAAGTCTTCTATAACGTTTACTTCAATAGTATGAAATGGCTTCGATTGCTTTGATACAACCTACATTCTTTTCACAGAGATATATTTGTGAAATATAGCGGAAGAATATTGTTTCACTTCTTACCAATATTTAATAAGGACATTTTAAATGTCTTATATATATAATATAAACGAATTTTTAGCATCAAAATGTAAATTTTTAATCCAAACGCCAAATCTAGAAGCAATTTACATTATGGCGTGTGTGTCACTTTTTTTTTATTTTTTTTTATTATGTTGCCATTTACTGTCGTCCGCCCGTATTATCTGTCAGTTAAAGAAGAATACCAAAGACATTGGACTATATTTATGGTTTCATCGATGGACGTAACTATGTATAATTTCCACAGACGTAGTATAACATTAAGATCATCATCATCTTTGTTTTTCAACGGCATTTTGCCATTGTAAAATAAAGTAGGCAAACCAACTTTGTCTTTAGTTAAATACTGTGGTTAAATACCTAAAAATTGTCCATGTAGATAGGTACTTTCGCTACCTTTCTATAGTGTAGTATATAAATATCTAAGAACAACGAATTGTATAGAAAAAGTGTATAGAAAATGTGTATGTAAAATTTCTGTTCATTTACTTTACTAGATTATATATTCGACACAGTTTATGTAGAAAGTATGCACGTAAGTTATATCTGATATGACATTTACACTAGCCTGCTATGAATTGACAAAAATAGTAACTAATGGCGTATCTTTTGTCCTCTTTTTACTAATTTCTATCTATTTAGGTAAATGTATATATTGGGGGGAAAAGGATTGTTAGCAATGGAATTTGCCAGCCTCATTGCTAGCAATATGCCTTATTAGGTTGACCTCCACGTGGTTCCCACTGGAAACCATCGTGAACAATTCTTGTTGAATTTGTCACGATGGGCTAACTGACCTACTTCATCCTCACCTATCATCCTTCACTGGTGCCCCGCCGGTGTATAACGGGTGGGGCTACCATTCCATTACCATCCATTAAAAAAAAGATGTATATGCTGTGTTCTTTATTCCTCTTTAAACAGTCTATGCTGTATTCTTCTACAAGTCTGCTACAATTGGAATATTGTTGTGGGAATGACATTTTTGTATGAAACTATGTTACCAAACTGTATTCCATCATGACGGATTTTGAATAGGCGCCACGACAGCCATAGTTATGGGCGCTATTTAAAAAACAACGCTTCATTTAATTTTTTTTTATTATTAAAATCACTAATATGTGTTTTAATAAATTACGTAGAAATAAATGAAAATATAAATAAATTTGTGATTAATGTAATATAATAAAAAAAGTTTCTAACTCAATTTTTAATACATTTGATCGGTTGGCAATGTGATATAATTAATATAGTTAAGTATAATTAAAGTTTTTATGTTTTATCTATTTAATTAATTTATTCGTTCTTATAGTAGTAGAGCTACTTTCTATCTATATTACCAATTCTGATGAACTTTTAAAATAAACTGAAATCTAGTAGTGTTGTTCCTACCATGGTTCCTCCTATTTATTGATGTAAAATGAAATTGAATTATATTATAAATAATACGTATTACGAAGATTAAATAGTTATTTAATTAATTTTATTTTAGATAGGCGGTTTCTTGTTAAAATGGTATCTTCTAAATTAAAAATAATTATAGTCATATTATAGTTATATACAATTGTAATAATATTCTAACTATTATATAAATAGGGCAATTTATTTACGGGCATTTTCAGATTTGTTTGACATAGCACAATATTTCCAAATATTCTTTCGTGCTTCTTCTTTCAAATTAAATGGCTGCCATCAATTTCGATTAATGGTTCTGCTAACGTCATGGTTAGGAAGGCATGGTGTAATATTCTTATTTTTGTGGTTCTTGAATCTAACTGGTATTTTTTTTTGATGAGTGAAAATGGAATGATAACTCCGCCTGCGCTAACGGGATACGCTGTATCTGGCTGGTATTGAACAATATGGCTTGATGTTGAATTTGTATACTATAAACGAATACAATACATGAGTGTTAGTACAAATAAGGGGGACCAGACAAGTGTTAGTACAGGTAAGATTAATAATTAAGAGACAACACCTGTAAGTGGGACCACATAAAACGCCAATACAACTTTAGGGAGTCTGTAATGTAAATTGAACTCTCTTTTCCGCGTTTAACCTGTCATTTGGGCCGTTGTGCGTATGAGTCGTAGCTAGTACAGCCAACCCAGCTCCGCCCAGAAGCACAGAAGCTTCCTGGAATCTTCACAGGCCTCACGGAGTGACCTCACCGTTCCGAGGATTTCTAAACGTTGATGGGCCACAGCTTCACATTCCAGGATTACGTGAATAGTCGTTTCTTTGGCGTCAAAACAGCCTCGACATAGAGAGCTGTCTGTAGCTCCTATTGTGTATAAATGTTTGTTTAATGGACAATGGTCCGTTCCCGCTCTATCATTATTTTGAGGTTTTTCCTATCTAGATGTAATAAACGTTTTGATAGTCGTTGATTCAACGTTGGCGCAGCCAATTTTGATTGTCTGCAATAAGTAACCTGTATCCATCTTTGATTTTATATGTCAGCAGATCTCTGACTAGGAAAAAGGTTCATCTATTCAGTTATTAGAAGCAGCAGGAGGAAAACGATTTTATAAAACAATTTTGGGAAGGGACATAAAGGAGTGCCAATTTATTAAGAAAATTCTCTAACCAGGGTGTTGTATTATTGGCCCTCTCATTGGGAAAGTTATTTGACTTACGGAAAGAATTTATTTTATCCACACCAGAGATGGCCTCGGAGAGAGCGACCCACAGAATTTGTGCCCTCCCAGTTTCTTCTTTTTCGCTAGAAGTTTTAGTGCATGCACTAGCTTTACGAAAATTAATGTAATTTGTCATAAACATATCTAACTTGTACGTATTTTCTGGCTCATTCCGTTGTCGAACATTATCGGTGTATTCAGCATCCCACCAAGACTGGGAGAGGATTTCTTTACAGAAAGATAAAAGAATGAAAGATAGAAATTATTAGCAGCTGAAAGTACGTGGGATATACAGAAAGTTTTACGACACTAAAAAAAAAATGTTCTATAGGTCAATATATTTTTATTACATCTTTTTAAAGTACTCTCCATTCGACTGGCGCTTTGTTTCTAGATCGTATTGATAAATCCAGGTTACATCACTTGTAACGATGTCATAAACACGCCGAGACGAGGCTGCTTTAAATTTGTCTATCATATCATGGCACCATTCTACCGTTGCCTGCTTCTGAACATCAGTAAGGTTGTGCAGCACCAAGCGTGAAACTATCCTCCGCACCCGTAGATGCACGTGTAGAATCTCGTGAAGGCTTCCTGATCCAATCTACAGTATGTGCTGAATCTCCTGGTATGTAAATCGTCTATTGTCTTGGATTAAGTATTTCAATGCTATAATACGGCTTCTTCCGTCAAAAGGCGACCACTTTTTTCATCATCCCCCAAAGTTAGCCGATCACACTTAAATTCATTATAACAAATATACATGGTTGCCTTAGAAGGGCCTTCGTCCATGAATGCCATTTAAAGTCTATCGTACTCTTCGTCCGGTTTCAGGCGACACTTAAAATCGTAAAAAATCATAGCACGAAAATGTTCTCGACGCAAATCCATTTTTCAACGAGACACGGTAATTTTAAATAGCTCGCAAAAAATGTGAAGGGAAGTTTTGAATTTAGAACGTACCTGTTTTTATTTATAAGTAATCATATTTTTAAATAAATTATAACTGGCCAGTCTCACATACATAAAAACTTTTTCTCGCAATACTTTCTGAGTGACCTGGTAAGTGGGAGATAAATTTTTAAAAATTTTGGAGAAGGTGGTTATTATTTAAAAAGAAGGAGGTCGATTTTTTATCAAGAAGAGTAGAGAATTTTAGCCAGTCTGCTTTAAAAGTTTTGTATTTTAAAAGATATGGTGTGATTTGTGGGTTTATAATTTGAAAGGAGCTAGAGTTAATTATTGTGGTAATAATAGAAAAATGGTCATTACCAAATGAATTTAGGAGGATTTGCCATAAAATATTGTTAACTAAGGATAGGGATGCAAGAGTAAAGTCAGGACAACTAGAATTTTGGTCAGGTCAGGTCAACTTGTCGGGTTGATGAACCATCATTTAAAACACAAAGGTTCCAATCGTCTAATAAACTTAATAAAAAGTCAGAAACAGAAGCAGTATAATGAGAGCTCCACATGTCAGCAATTAAAATCTTCTAATGTGATAAGAGGGGTAGGAATAATAGATAGGATATGCTGAAGTTCTAAAATGAGGGAGTAGTTTGGGTGAGGAATGTAAATGAATATGAAAGATATATCAAGAGCTCTTGCGGCAACTATTTAAAAATCTGGATTGTGGTGAGGTAGGAAAATTTGTAAGTAACTGTTTTGGATATGAAAAGCGCGGAACCCGTGCATCCATCATCTACCTCAGGCATCATACCGTGACAGCCTAATGGAGCGCCAGGCTTCAGCCAAGTGTCAGAGATAGCAGCGATGACGAGTTTATGACAGTTAAGGCGGTGAATAAGATCTGGCTACTTACGTCTGAGACTTCTAACCTTCCACTATAGGCCCTCTTGATCCATTTGAAGAAATGAAGTTTGTCAGGAGTTGTTGGATCAGGAAAATGACAATAAGATACTGTCTACTGGGGTGTTGAGTAAGAGAAAGCAAAGAAGAAATGTTGGTAGGCCCGTGAAGAGTTTATTTGCGATAGATTTGGGATTGCACAAGAAACTGGAATAGATACCATATCTGCATAGGAGCGTTTAGGGAGTGGAAACCTTAAAGAGGCTTCCATATGGCTGATATTTTGTTCGACCATAACAATTTAATGTTTTTTTGGTTGATCTGTTCGGGTATATAGGGTTTGTGGCCTGATGAGATGAGCTCTTATATAAGGTATAAAAAGTGGGCTCATTTTTTTGTCACATGCATCACCAGTATGCTGTGCACCGCATTGATAGCACCTAGGCTGCGATCTACATTGTGTATGTGTATGGTCAAATCTGCAGCAGTTATGGCATTGTATTGTTGGAAGATTATAAGGCAGGGATTACTGGTAGGGATGTACTGAAACCAAATCTTACTACTACTGTGGTTTATGGAATCCAGGAGACAGTATTACCGGGTTTTCTCGATTTAATATTGAGCCTTCTGACTTGTTCACAATTATTGGAAAGTTTTATGTCAAGAACCAGCCCTTCCAGTGACCAGTCGGTGAGAATATTGCTTACAACTTTTATACGAGATATTTGAAATTTAGGTATTATGGTTGAGTATTTATTATTCGATAAAATGGAGTTATCTAAAAAATTATTCGCATCTTTGTGTGATTTAAATTCTACTGAAATTGTGTTTCTGCCAAGTGCTTTAATACCACCTTCTTTAATCCCCGAAATAGTGTTTTTATGGAGAAACTGAGAGAATTTTAGGAGCCGTATAGAGTAACCTGCAGCAATATCGTTCTATTCTAGTCATATACACAGAGTAAGAAGCAGAATCTGTGTTTTTGTATTTAAAATGCGTATAATACTTGAATTCATGGACATACTAACATAATAATACATGGACTGGATAGAGTCCGATGAAGAGTTCGATTTTTTTGTCACTATTCATGTTTAAGTCATTAGTCGCTTGTCTTTTTCGTGTGATCTGAGAGGAGTTTGAACCTTTAATTGGATTAAAAGAAATATCTGTAGGGCCTCTGTCATCTAGGGGGTTCTCGTCTACACCAATTTCCATCATGTTTACAGTGGAGATAGGTCACATATATATAAATAATACTTACTCCACCACCAATGATCGAACACAACACAAATCAGGACAAAAGCACAATCTCAGCACAACTAGAAGTTAAAGTCAAATAACGCGATCACGTGCCAATCTAATACGCTTCCAAACGCCGAATCCAAAGACATTGTTTAATGCGCCAAAGAAAATTTGCATTGTAGTAGAGTAAATTAAAGTAACTAAACGTAGATGCTTGCTAGTTATCCATGTTTTTCTTAAAATTTGACGTTCAATCCTATTAGTGGTACCTTTAAATTATTACAGGAATAAATTGCTGAAACACACAGTAACTAATTATAATAATATATATATATATATATATATATATATATATATATATATATTTAATATTTGTTTTAATTTAATTCACTTATAATCGTATTTACTGATATTGCTCTTAACTCAGGTTACATGTATATGTATATAACTAATAACGTAGTTTTTTAAAATATTTGTAGTATAGTATTAATATTTTATAATTGTTTACTTCATTTCATACTGTATAATTATGTTAAAGCAAATGCTGTAAATACCTTTAAAAGGCATGTGTTATAATGCAATATGCTGTTGGTGTTCCTTTATATAAATATGAAAATTTTATATTATGAAATAGCTACGTTTTTATAGAAAATATCAATATCAATATTTTGGACGAAGACATATATAAGAATATAAAAGTTTTTTTTTTTTATTTTCAGTGGTATTGTTATTTAGAAAAGGTAACACATATTTGAATTTACAGGTTCCTTTGATAAACTCGCTAGTCCCTGCTAACTCTTGTGACGTCGTGGTTACTTGCTCTGTGTTCTCTAATTTACTCTGCAATCTGTATCACTTGATTAAATTTTGTCGATTATTATAGAATTTTCGTATATAAATTAATGACTAGGCACTAGCCATTTTTAAAGATATTGCTCTTTTTTTATTAATTTAGAAAGCAGTTAAACGTTTAATGTTTTAATGAAATAAAATATTTATTGCAGAATTCTTTTTGAATTCTTATTTCTATGACATTTGGTTACCGTCCTCATTTCTCGTGCAAATGGATGATACCGTGATTTCCCCAGGTATATTTGGTTATAAAAGTTATAATTTTTAAGTTCCTAAATTTTTCTATAAATTGTACATTTTCAGGTAATAAGATGGCAGATTCTGCTTCTGAAAGCGATTCTAGTTCACTTGATGGCGGAGCTATGTTACCTCCCAGCACCGTTTCTCGTGATCAATTACAAAAAAGAATTGAATCTCTACAACAACAAAACAGGTCGGTCTAGTAATTTGGCAATAGGCAATTAAAAATTTGTAATTTATGTAACATTGTTTGACTAGCTATCAAATTTCAGCATGTTTTATACAATGTTTGTCCTAAATATTACCTATTCTTATTATATTATCTGCTTCTTAAGGTTTAATATTTTTCAAAAATTTTCAATTTATTCCTGTCATGGAATAATGATTTTAGATGAGAAATGCAAATAGAATCTTCCTATAATTTCTTAGGCATATATAAACAATTAAACTGACTTAAAAAATAATCTAGCAAATCTTTTGTTTATAGTTGTATTGGTAATAGTGTGATATCTATTAAATTTCTTTAACAAAGTAGCTCCAAATAAATAATTCCATAATTTGTTTTAATAAATATTTGACTGGTTTTGATTTTCAAGACATTTTTAAATGTTTAATAAAATAATATTTATTATTTTTGGAATTAAAGAATGGTAATCAATTATTGTTATTGAAATTTTGTGTTCATTTATTAACATGTTTAAGTATACATTACAATGAAAAATCCATTAAAATAATGTCTAAATGACAGCTGGTAATTTTTAAAACAAAAACCATAATATTTTTTTAGCAATCAATAATCCTGAACAATAGTGTTTCTTCATGTTTATAGTCTATACTTTATTGTAATTAATAGTTTTACACTTTAAATCTGTTGTACTTATTGTTAATATGGAAAAAAGAAATTGATAAGCTACTTTTTAAAGGTGTTTTCTATGTAAAACATTTTATATGTATCTTATGATATAGGCATATATATATATACATGTCTGCCTTATACCTTACTAGTAATTTGCACCTGTTTCAACCAGATAAATAAATAGAAAAATAAAAGATACATTTTTAATAGCTTGGGCTACATTATTGTAATTTTCTTAGAAATCTCTAATTTATTTTTAAATTGATATATATGCTTTATTACTTGCTGCTAGCTTGATGGTTTTTATTGTTGAAATAATTATTAAAAATGGATAGGTAGTTTTTCTATTTATCCATTACAAACAAACACTCAAATATTTTCTCTTTATATTAGTATAGATATAGAAACTAATTATTGTTTTGTAATATATTTTTCAGAGTTCTAAAAGTTGAGTTGGATACATACAAATTGCGGGTTAAATCATTGCAAGAGGAAAATCGTGCTTTGAGGCAGGCTTCTGTATCTATTGTGAGTCAGATTATGTTTTTTACAACTTGCTGTTACAAATAAGTTTACTTGATCAAAAGTAGTGACTGTTACTTGTAGACTCCAACATTATTATTTATCATATAATGTATTTATTGTTTACAGCAAGCAAAAGCTGAACAAGAAGAGGAGTATATTTCAAACACATTACTAAAAAAAATTCAAGCTTTAAAGAAAGAAAAAGAAACCTTAGCTCATCATTATGAACGAGAAGAGGAATGTCTCACAAATGATCTGTCCAGAAAATTAAATCAAGTATGATTATATATTTTTATTTAAAATTATTATGCTGTTTCCTGTTTTGGTTTAAAACTAGTGTGAATTATTTTAATTTGCATATAACACCTTAGATCATAATATTGTTATTTACAAATGATGTGTTCAAACATGTTCAAACTTAACATAAAAAATATTATATATGTATAAATGAAGTGAATTCATCATTCATTAGAAGTGAAAGTTATATTTGTGATATAATACATATTTTATAGATCATTTATCAGGCATTTTTTGTGCACTGCTGATCATAGGTCTCCCCCATAATGAGGGTTTTGCTAGTAGTTGCCATGTTTGGCAGGCGGGTTTGGCTTTGGTGATGTTTTAAGAGGGATGCTGCTGCCCATCCAATTCTGGCTCTATCATTAAGTTCCCTTATGCACCTCTGTATGTATATTGTGAATATACGTAATTAATTTACCTAATGTGTGTACATATTAGACTAAGTATTAAATTAATAATGATATTAAGAAAGTGGTTAGAAATGGATGGATATGATATGCAGAATACTGCACTTGGTGGAAGGTATTGGGGAATGTCTATATCCAGCAGTGGATAGATACAGGCTGAAATGATGTGTGATGATGTGATGATGATTAACTTAATAGGAAATTATTTTTGTCTGCTATGTACATTAGCTGTAGTTGAAGATTTAATGGTAAAAATGATCTATATTAAAAATAACATTTATGATTCTAGTTACGTCAAGAGAAGTGCCGTTTGGAACAAACTCTAGAGCAAGAACAGGAATGCCTAGTTAACAAGTTAATGAGGAAAATTGAGAAACTTGAGGCTGAGACCCTTGCAAAACAAACCAATTTGGAAAGGCTTAGGAGAGAAAAGGTATATTTTCAACCTACTTTAAAAAGATGTAGGTTCTCAATTCGGTTGTATTTTTTTTTATTTCTTTATAACTATAAAGTTGTAAACTAATTTGGAAATATCTTTTTTTATGTGAAAGGTATACTTACAGACGACATAATTTTTTTTATTAAAAGTCAGTTCAGTCAGTTTTTAATTAAAAATAACTGGTATTGCCACAATAGAAGTTTTTTTTTGTGTAATACAATTTTAAATTATGTTGTCTTAAAACAATTTTACGATGTTTAAGCGATATCCATAGTGATCCTGTCATGATTCTAGTTCTGTTTCTAATTATATATATATCTTTATAATACATATTTTTTTTGTATGTATCCTCTGATGAAAATTGCTCCTCTGAGATTCTTAGTAGAAAGAAACTTTTGTGAATCTATTTTTTTAACATAAGGAAATGTTTGAACATAATGCATGTACAATAATTTTTCAATGGATATGAATTTTCATATTTGACGCTCACTTGGTACCACAGAACCCCTTTTTAATAAAAATCTTTCTCCTTCTACATATAATTTTCTGTAACCATAGGGCTATTTAAGATGGGTTTGAGTCTTTTTTTTCAATGGATGATAATGTATTGGTAAACCCGCCTGTGCTAATGGTGTATGCTGGCAGGGCACCAGTGAGGGGTGGTAAGTGAGGATGAAAAGGCAGGTCAATTAGCCCATCGTGATGAATACACCTAGAATTCAGCATGATGATTTCCAGGGGGACCACGTGGAGGTCGATCTGATAGGGTATATTGTTAGTAATGGGATTGATAGTCCGCATTACTAACAATCCCTACCCCCCAAAGGGGGGGTTTCTACTATTGATTAGGTGATATAATTTTAGTCAAGTATTTATATACTTATAAATGTGAAAATGAATTCTTTGTTACCTCTTAATACTTAAATGGTTCCATTAAGTGTTTGGGATGTAGATGAATATTAGCTATATTTTATTGTGGTCAATGTATCCTAGTTACGTAGATATTGTCAAGGATAGAATCTAGTAGAGTACTGATATAACAGTAACATTTGTTTTTATTTTAGGTTGAACTCGAAAATACATTGGAGCAAGAACAGGAAGCCTTGGTAAACAAGCTATGGAAGCGTATGGACAAGCTGGAGGCTGAAAAACGCTCACTACAGATAAGACTGGATCAACCTGTGTCTGATCCTGCCAGTCCTAGGTGAATTTTTCATTTAATATATGTTTTCGCTTTCTGAAAGTCTTAAATTCACTATGATTAACTTTTATCTTAAAAAATAAAGAGAAAAAAGAACTCCATTTTTAAGTGACATCAAATTTTCATCACGTTTTCAATTACTTTGTATTTTCTATCATAAAAAATTATGATAGAAAATTTATATGGGATAAATATGGGAACAAAACATTCTTGTGTTGGTTGCTTATAAAATTTGTTATAATATATTTGACAGTATACAAAATATTGCATTATTTAATGCTATACGCATAGTTTATGGATTTTAAAAGCAGAATGTATTGATCTGTCAAAAAAAAAAATTATTAATTATGCAAAAAACCCCCAAGAAAGTATTATATTTTTATCTGGTACCACGTGATCTAAAGCAATCTGGAATGTATGACGACGTAACATGGAAGTAAACAACATATCTATTACTGATGTTCCTTTGAACTTTTAGTAGTGATACGCGAATCCGAATGATTTTGTTATTCAAATAATTAGTAATTATTAGTTTTTTAATTTCACTGCAAAATCACTGAAAACTTAGGGCATCTCAATAACAACATCGAATTTTAAAATGAATAGTTTTTCTGGTGTCTTTTTAGTAGTATTTGTGTATGCTGGCACAACACTCCCATACATACATACACTTTTACAATTTCTCGAGGAACAGTAAAAAATAAAAAACCAAAAATAAATACTGAACAAACTTGTGTAGGAGTAGTAGATGATTGTTTATTTTTATGTAACGCTACTGACGTCATATTGCTAAAAAGTTGCGTTTCATTGGCTTATTTGAATTATATTTTTTTATTAGCTATTTTTCAAAGAAATACTTAAGTGTATATAAGTTAATTAAAAGTAACCACTTCTTGGGGATTTATATTTCAGACTATTTGGTGGTGTCACTGAATAGTCTTAAATGGTACAGAAATCTTACAGAAATTAGCCAACAGATTATTGAAATGCTTGTTTCTGCAGAGCAAAATCTAATATTATGAAGTATTTCCTAACAAATAAAGTTTTATATTTGGGATTGATTTTGAGTATTAACACATTTTTTGTGTTGTCCAAATAGATAATTGAACGTAAATCTTTTATTGTTGAGTATATAGTTAAATTAGGTTGTTTAATTTATGAATGGAACAAATAAGATGGACAAGAAAAATTTACAATATGCATGCTGCAATAACAATTATATATCCAAAATAGGTAAAATTTTTTAAAAATAAAATTATTCAGTATGATTTACTTGTTTACTTATTAAGCATAATTTGTTCTGGGAATAAAGTAGCGGTTTTACACAAAACATAACAATTAGTTTAGTAATCCCATCTAAATTTAAACTTATCTCGCGCTAACCCTTGATCGCGCGGCATGTTTTTTAATATGTTCGTCCGAATTAGTAATGGAGGCTTAATTTTGCCAGGGACATTAGTAATGGCGATACGGCATCCAATTTAAGCAGTCATATTCAAACGTTGCGCTCGGAAGTTGTGAAATTAAGGTAACAAGTGTGTTAATGAATTATTTAATTGACAAATTATCAAATGGTATATTAATGATAATACTTAAAATATAGGAACCAATTAGCAGTTTCGCAAAATGAGAATAAGGAGAAAATGCATCGTTTGGCCTTAGAAGAGAAACATATCAGAGAAGAAAATATTCGCTTACAACGAAAATTACAACAGGAGGTGGAGCGTCGTGAGGCGCTTTGTCGTCATCTGTCCGAAAGTGAATCATCTCTCGAAATGGAAGAAGAAAGGCAATTTAATGAAGCTTTAAGTGTAAGTCTGATGCAAATAATAATATGTGAAATTTTCCACTTAATAGTTATTATTTTATTGGTGTAACTGGGAGGAAATTCTTTGTATACATTTTGTTTCTAATCTTATTGGATGGAGATATAAGGAGGTTAATTTTTGTAAATATTATAAATTATTATACAGTTAGTAAATAGTCAAAGTTTTAGAGATTATATCTCACAAAAAGGGAAGGATTCAGAGAAAATATTTTTTTACAAAGTAAACTAAATCAAACTAAAAGATTATTGTTTTTATTTATATTTTTTGTATTGATGTGTATGGTTTGTTCTAAACAAGAGTATTTTGATAACTACCACAAATATTTTTTAATGACATAATATATATATATATATATATATATATATATATATATATATATATATATTTGTTGGCAACTATTAATGCTATACATTATTTATATAATTATTGACATCTTACAAATGCACCAATTGATATAAACTATTATATAATTATTGACATCTTATATCCAAATAGGCCCGTTCGCGCAGCGTATCTTCACCGGGTGGCTCACGGCCACTTTCCCCGTATGCGACGCCGTTGCTTCCCAATGCGGCTGGTTTGCCATTATCGCGCCCCTCCTTGCATCTCAATTCACAGGTAAATACTTTGATTATGATAATAACGCAGACTAATCTCTAGGTTACATAATCTGTTTTATAGACAGTTTAATTATTGATATTTTTATTTAGCACCTGACCCCTCAGGCATGGCCCTCACAGTATATGATATGCCAATGGCATTTTTATTACCATGCAACAGTTATCATTTTCCATTAGGTGGGACATAAGCTCGATTGCCATTCCAAGTAATGTAAAAAAAAACCAGCTAGCTATGACACACCAGAAATAATATTGTAATGCTTTCTCTGTAATTTAATTCAGTTAATATTACAGTTTATTAAAATTTAAAATAACAAATAAACAAGTATCTAGGCTATCAAATAAATTTGAGTACTATTGTGTTTTTTGTAGACGAGACGGCCGAGCGATCGGTTTGTAAAACCAGCAGTGCCCGCGGCAGGCGTAGCGGGCGTCACTGGCGTGACGGGTGTGGCGGGTGTAGCGGGGGTAGTGGGTGTGGTAGGTGTGGCGGGCGTGACGGGCATGACTGGCAGCATGGCGCATGTGCAGGCACGAGCGCTGCCACCCGAGCAGCCAGCGGCATCTCTGCGACTAGCCTCCACTGCTCCTGCCATCTTGCAGCCGGCCAGCCCCATGGATACTTCCTCCAAGGACTAAAGCCTAATTCACACTGCCTTAGTAATTATGTCGAGTGAAAAATAATTTAGTTGCTAAACATACCCGAAAAATATAAGTTCAGTATTTTTTATTATATTGTTTGTCACTCGACTAAATAACTAAAGCAGTTTGATAGGCTTATCTCCTATCCGATCTGTTTGGACGACCCGACGAATGAGCACTGATACTCGTATTTCGACCGATCAGACCTTTAAGACAAATAGATAAATGACAAACGATTTATTTGTGCAGATGCAGTGAAATATTCACCTCATGTATGAGATAGAATGAGGCAGCAACATTTACCGTATTATTTGATGAGCGTGCGATTACATAGACTTTAGCAGTCCACAAATAAATTCAGTACTACTTTTTGTAGAAGATTAACGTAAAATATTAACATCAAACGAGTCGCACGATTAGGCGTGGTCGCGTATAGTTCAGACTCCGATCGGATCGAATTGTTGATTATGTAAATCTTTCTTGCATTTTGAATGTACCAATGCAGATTGATTGATTATTGGATTAAATGATTATATACGAAAATACGCGAGAAAAGAGTGATACTCTGTTATATATATCCAATAATATCTGATCGTTAAAAGGTATTATGGGACAGACACAAATATGGAAGACAATATATGGAAGTGGTTTTAGGCAGCAAATGATGATGTTTGATGAGTTGATTCTCTAATATTATATGTAATTATTGATAATTAATATATCTGAGCAGCGTTTAAACGATTTAGAAATACTAATGATACAGTAATTGTGCTCTTACGTCGATGTGTCCAGTAACAGGGATGCAATTCCTTACCGTCTTGTCTGATATAGATACAAAATGATACAATTACCAAGACCTATTACTTAATAGAAGTAAGTTAAGAATTAAAGACAAAAAGTAATATAAAGTGGATGAGACTGGTATAATAATAAAATATGTAGATGCTTGATTTTGCTTCAATTATCTTGATAATTTTTTATTTGTTAGGCCGAATTTTAGAAATGTATGATATTAAAAATGGGGCGAAATAAAAGATGTGATTTTGACAATTCGGATAAGAGAATTGCTTACCTGAGCAGCGAGAGTGAAACTGGGATAGTATTCTTTCTCTGTTGTTTTATTCCATTTGATTTTAAGTCATATGGAAGGAGATAAGTGGATGGTTAGCTATCATCTTGATTGTTATAAAGTGCACATTGCTCACTGCTCACTTGACTTGGCACACTTTACTTCCCTCGTGTTCTATATGCATGGAAGGGTAACAGCCTCGTTAATTTACTGATAAAATTGGTAGCGGATACGAGGCTGTATAAAATTGTGGTTTTAATATGCCTGTTCAATAGGTTACGACGGCATCGAAGCGAGTTACTTGTTCCGATATTATATTGCTCGATTATAGGATAGTCATAGCTAGTTCCGATTATAAATCATATTTGATATGTAACCGAGCTTTGAAAATTTGTGGCAGTGGGTTATCACTATAGGCTGTGTAAAATCACCAGAAGGTGATTTAGTATCGGAAAAAAAAAATTGTAATCTATTCGATATAATTGTATCACACGTTGGGTCTAACACACCACTTCTATGTGTAGCATAGCTATGTATGATACCGTTAGAATGTTGAGTTGCGCCTTTGGAGCTTATTGTTATGTTCTGTAAACGCTATATATATAAGTAGTGTGTAATGACACCATCGGGCTCCATTCAATTATGCAAATTTTCACTTAAACATTTTTTTTTCAATGTTATGATAAAACAAAAATATATGCATTAATATTATTGACTTATTTCAATGACGTGTTTTCCTTGTTAAATGGATGGAAGTATGAATGATTGCCTTGCAAGACCTGTTTCAATTAAATCTTTAATATAAGATACCTTATTTACATACTACATAAACACATTATATAAGTACTACATGCTTTAGTTCTATTTGCGTACCTGTTATATTTGTACATCTAGATAACTAATCTTGAATAAACCAATAATATTTTTGGCATTTCAGCCTTTCAGCTTCAAAATCCTTCGGATTTTATTTTTCATTGCTGACAATGACCGCGTATTTATCTACACTAATATTATAAAGAGGATAGATTTGTATTTTTGTGTCTTTGTTTGTAATGAATAAACTGAAAAACTCTTTGCTGATTTAAAAAATTCTTTATTCACCATTAGAAAGCTACATTCACCCTGAGTAACATAGGCTATATTTATTCCTAGAAAATCTCAAGTATGTAACTCAAGGTGTAAAAATGCTATAAAATATCTTTTGTCGCGTGCGCAGCGGAAACTATTGGTGATAGAACAAAAGTATGTTCTACAATACCGAAGAAAATATCAATTACTACAAAAAACTTCGCGATACTATATCGTCGTAGTCGTAGAATACTAATGGATCTTTATATGTAATCTTTGTCAGATCCGTCAGTATTCTACGGCTATGACGATATGTCCAACTATTATCGTTACGTCACAATAACCACTTTTTAAAATGTTCTAAAAATGTCCATCCGTGCGAAGCCGGGACGGGCCGCTAGTTATAATATATATTAGGAAATCTACAGTTAAAAATAAAATACAGTAGTTAAATCCCTAGTTAAATTGAAGCTAAATTACTTTTTATCAGTTTTGATATTTATATCTATACAAGAAGTCTGATCTGTGTGAAAGGTAACATTCTTATTAATAAATGTGAAAGTGAATTTGTCTGTTATCTCTTGGCGCCTTAGATGTTCATACAGTCATCGTGAAATTTGAAATAAACTATTAGGGATGGAGAAGAATATAGCTTACTTTTTAATACGGTCAATATTTCAGTCTATGTGATAATTTTATTTTTAAAACCATCGGACAGAATGAAGGAATGTTTTGTCCGCGGAAATATTTTTTTTACGTATACGTTGTAGAATGTCATTCAATGTTCTGTAACGACGGATATGAATGTAAACATAGGAGTTTTTATCATTGCGTGATGTCGCGTAGTGTAGAAAGGGTATTATTAGTAATAGAGATCAGACAGCTCGGTTACTAATAATATATCTTTTTTTTATACAACTTAGAATGGCAAACAAGCTGACGGTCCACCTGATGGAAAGTGGTCACCGTCGCCCATAGACATGAGCAGTACCATGGTCATCACAGAGTATACTGTTTCGTTCATGATACCCCCCATGCGTTGTCATTCCTGAGGACTTTTTATTACAACACAGGAGGCAAACGAGCATACAGCTCACCTGATGGTAAGTGACTACCATCGCCCATGATCACCCACAACTCCAGCGGCATTGCAGGTGTGCTGCCGGCCTTTTTAAAAGAAACAACAGAGTATACTGTTTCGCCCATGATTCATGCGTTGCCACTCCTGAGGACTCATGTGTTATTCCTCTGTACCCAGTAAATTCACGCCATATCCCACCCTTCAAACCGAAACAGCCATGCAAACACAACTGTTTCACGATTGAAACACGAATGGGACAGAGGTAACCAAGCAATCGACTTTTGTACAGTCTCCCTCTGGTAGAATGTCATTATCAGGCCTTATCAAGTCGACCTCCACGCGGTTCCCCCTCGAAACCATCTTAGTTAATTGTTTATAATTTGGCACTATGGGCCAATTAACCTGTTTTATTTTCATCTATCACCTCTCATGCGGAACCTCGCCAGCGTATACCAATAGTGCAGGCGGGGTAATCATTCCATTATCACCCATTAAAAAAAAGAAAAAGCTACCTACTTTCAGTGAATGGATTTAAATGAAATTTTATAACCAAATCAATTTGGATCAAATTCTAGATTTACAATATGCAGGCACATTTTGTTTTCATTCAAACGGGAAAGGCGCGGGTTTCAGTGGAAATATCTTAAAGTATGTTATCTTTATAGAATGTAGGTAGGTACACTAAGAACTAAGTAGATCTTATACAGAAGTGATAATTGGGCAACTGACTGAGTCATCAACAAAGTGGTGAAACTGTGTTCCTAGTAACACAATATTTAGAATGTAGTTTCATAAGTACATATACGTAGTTTTTTTATTATAACTATGTGCATTATCCATAACTATCAGCGTGGAGATTCTGAATTTGATTGTACTTTTTAAAGACCCATTGATATTGGTTCAAAGATGACAAAGATATTGTTAACATAGGTGTTTGTCATCAAATAATTTAAAATTTGCAAGGAAAGAGGAGTAAGTACTATCTTAAAGACGCGCGGACATTATGACTATAGTCGTAACAGGTACAGTATTTTTTTTCTACGGGGCGCTAATACATTATCAGCACTGCGTGCACTTGAGCGTGAGCTTTGGTTAAGTTTTGATCATTACTGTGTGTAAAACCACCTGCGCATTAAATTATATTATTTTTTAAAGTTTAACAATGTATGACTGCAATAGTGAATAAACTATTTATCTATCAAAAACAACAAGGTTATATTTAAACGCAGGTGAAATGGCTGCGACGTGATTTACGTTTATAATTAGATACTTTTGTGCAATCGTTTGTTTTGTAATGCACTGCTAGAAAAATTACTATTGAGGACGGTTGTCGCCTGCGGGCACCTTTAATGGTCAAAGAATAATCGCATTTTACACACGCATCGTAAACCTAAGCAAACCCAGCCATGCTAGGATAAGGTATATTTGTCTTGGACCCCAGGGCTACAGGTAGAGTGATTTGCATAATGCCTCACACGATGAGTTTGACTCTATAAAAATATTTTTATGATAAACAAATACAAAGCGGCGAATGAATATATAGTAGTAGTTGATACCTAACAAGTATGATCAGTTGGCCATAACTATGATGACTGTTGCAATCTATTGAGTTACAATATAAAGGTCTTGTGGTACCTAAACGAATTTGCGATACTTACCGTTCCTTGTAAGATGTTTTAGTCAAAAACATCCAAGTCCGGATTATGGTTTTATATTTAACGACCTGTATTTTTTTAAATTGGCGATAATAGAATGGTAATCCCATCTACGCTATTGGTATACTCGTACGCTGACGTGGTACCAGTCAGTTATGATAGGCGAGGGTGAAAGCATGTTAATTGGCCCATTATTTCAATTCAATTTATTTGATAATAATATTACAATGTGTTTAATAGATATAATAAAAATTTAAAGACTATACAAGTGCAAAATTACAAATATACAACAGTTTTACAAATTACCAAAGTCACATACAAATAAGTTAATAATAATTAGTCTGAATTAATATAAATAACAATCCTGACGAATTCAACAAGAATTACGATACTACTATAGTTTCCAGGGGGAACCGCGTGGAAGTCGCCCTGATAGACATTGCTAGGAATGGGGCTGTTAGACCTCATTACTGATAATCTCTTTAGTTCTATATAGAGGATTAAAGTGATATACTTATGTTTTTAAGATTATACGAGTGTTGAATCCTGCTTCTGAGCAAAAATAGTCAAGACGGCAGTACCCACCTAGGAAAGTTACATAAAATTCTGAGATTGATTAATACGGGGAATATATTAAGCCAATCTATTAAGGAAATATATTAAGTCAATATCAATTACTTTTATTTTATAGAAATAAGTTATTAAATTTAACAGTTTCTTTTAAAAGCTTAGTGTATGAAACAGAACAGAAATCAAATAGTAGTATCTGTAATGTAATATTCCGGTATAGTAGTACTGTAGTGTAATATTCCGGTAGTGTCTTCTCATAGATATGCAAAACATCGGCTTCGCATATTTTTTATTTAATATATCATAGCACATGTCGATAATGCAGCGTTCTATAAGTGAAAGAAAATTTGAGTTGATCCATTAAAAATGAAAATCAAGTTTTTCTTTTCTTTAGTATCTATTAATTTAGACGGTGTAGTACCATTTGCACTTTATTCTTATTTCGTCAGGTACTATTTGCCTCTAACTCGGCAAGGGGCGAGGTTAAACCATTTTAAGTAGGTATAAACTAATTTTTGTTAACGGTGTTGTTTTTTATGTAGGTAATATCCAACTTATAGGTATCCTTGTAAAATATGAACAAAATCTAACCATACATACCATCAATATTTAAATGTCTTGAACGTGTGGTTAAATAAACCAAACTTGAAATTAGATTCAAATAGAAACGTAAAGCGGTGACGGAGAGCGAGGCACTCATAAACCATATTTACCGAGAGACGAATAGTTGGCGTAGCGTTATTGATCCTTCTAATAATTATCGAACACGTTTCATGTCACCATGTTTAAGCATATGTTTAAACATAAAAGTGGACGAGTATGGCGGATACACGGCAAGGCTGTTGTTTGTAAGTTTACGCACGGAATCGTTAACTAGAGACAGGCAGTAGGTAGAGCTAACAGAAAATCAGAGATAGTTAGAACAACGTTCATTATGCGATAACCATGGACATGTATTTGATTTTTATTGAATGGGATCTGTATATGTAAGTTTATCATTAATTGGTGATTACTTAATATTGTTCATTAAATAAAAAAAATAGATATACTTAATATAAACAATCGACTTTATTTTCATAAAGTCTATTTATTAGTAAACTGATTAATATTATTTATTGAAAGAAGGAATAGGTATGTATTGGTTTTAAAAAGTTCACATTAAACACATCCCAAGGATTATCTCTCGTCTCCCTAATTCCTTATTCTTATACAAATGTAACAAATTTCCAATAGATATTGAAGTAGTAACATTCTAAATATGAAACGTTATAAAGATATTTATTTACTCTGTCATGCTTAAAAGGATGGATGGATATAATATTTTATAGTAATATTGGATACTTTTGTTCTA